ACTAAAAAAATTCCCAACTCTTTTGAAAAAAAACTCAAAAAATGAAATATACTCAACACTTTTGCATGGAGGGATCAATAAACCACAAGTCCACAACTGCTAGCCCTCAGAACATGAGCCTATCCACAAGACGTATATAATTCATAATACCAAGACATTAATTCATATCCATTGCCAAAACTTCGGTGCCATACATCCAAAAATATCATCCACTACATATGCATTCACAAAATCAACAAGACATAAACCACCACGTTAGTAGGTTACAAGCATGTTTTCTTGGGACATCTCATATAATGCACTGAAAATCTAAAATCATGATAATCATACATCCACTATATACATTCAGTCCAAAGAGCTTTTCAAGCTTTTCTCACCGAGCAGAGAACTGAAAATCTGAAATCATGATAATCATACATCCACTATATACATTCAGTCCAAAGAGCTTCTCAAGCTTTTCTCACCGAGCAGAGAGTGTTGAATTAAGTAATACTTGAAAAACTCGAATGCCCTACAACCTCGTTCAATTTCAGCTTATTTATCCTTAAGGAATAATCAAATTATCAATTTGTAGATATCTTAGTGTTTTGTAAGTCTTTAATCAGTTATTGCCCGCATCAGGGTCATGGTAGCCCCTTCCACCACAAGAACATGGCACCTAAAATATCAATTAATAGGGTGGCTAAATGCGCGCAAAGAAGCGCTCCAACTCCTGGGTGTTTTGTAAGTTTAGTCAGTTATCGGCCACCACAAGAATATGGCACCTAAAATATCAATGAATAGGGAGGCTAAATGCGCGCAAAGAAGCGCTCCAACTCCTGCAGCGGCCACCACAAGAATATGTCACCTAAAATATCAATGAATAGGGATGCTAAATGCACGCAAAGAAGCGCTCCAACTCCTGCAGCAGGTATCTCTTGATAGCAAAGAATAGCATTTTTGAAACAGAGTTGTCCAGCAGATTTACCAAGTTATCCCTGAGTATAGTGGACGAGGAACCCTTCTTTCTTCCCAATCAATAAGGTAAACCCAGGGTAAGCCTAGCACAAAGTTAGTAGTAAAGTTGGAGAAACCACCTTGACAATCAACCACTTTACCCACTTTCTCCAAGTTGTTGTGCACTTCCTTTCCTTTGCTTCGAATTTACAAGAGAGCAGAAACAATGCAATATAACTAGAAATTGATGCACCTATGCTGAAAATCATAGTCAGTCCAGAACATGTTTTTTTTATTATCTGGATTTGTCTGACTCTAAATGTCAGAAACTCCTTGATGAAGCTGATTCCATAATTTATTTGACCACATCATGTGGCATTCCCGCCAATAGCTCTTTTATCAGCCACTTCTTGACAGGCAATGACATCGAGAAAAGTGTGCTCTTTAATTCATTGAAAAGTTCCAGTTGATTAGTCACATCTCGAGCTTCCTGTTGCCCAGTTGGCTTCTTAAGTTCCTATTGCATAACATCAAATGACAAAATGTTTAGCCAAAACATCAACTGAGTTTGAAACCTTTAGGACCACACTGTGAGCAGTGTCAAGATGTTTAGCCGAAACAACCCTAAGATGCATGCCCTGTGACTTAAACCAGCCATCATTGTCTTTTAGAGCTTGGTGTGCATTGGTCCAATCTTGTAATACCACGACTGCATTAGGCCCCTCAATAGCAACTAATGGTAGCTCTCCATAAGGAAGAAATGCTAACTTGAGGTGAATATAATCAAACTCAGGATCCAGAGAGTGCACGAGGAGGGTTCGTAGTGTGGTGTCGGCACCTAGGAGGTTGAGGAAAGATAGGTCGACGTCGCTGGTAGGATGCACTGTTAGCTTGGCAAGGAGGGCATGGAGATCATTGATTTCTTTCATCTTTTTCACTTAGAACCTATTGGATGGAAACCTGAATAAGATCCATATTTTGTTGGCATTTAAGGTAGAAATTTGAACAAGGGTATCCTGAGAAAGGGAATAACATTATACTCATTTTAATTTCTTATTCAATTTCAATGTTTAAGTTTGAACTAGAAGAAATCAGATTCGAATGTTTTCCTAGTTGAATGAATTCTATAATAAATAAAATGCATCTCAGACCAATACCATCATAGTTGAGTCTGTCAACAGTACAGATTACATGTAATGATGAATAAAATTCAAGCTGTTGTTAATAGACTACCTAAAAGCTCTCACTCAAGAAGGGGATAACAAGATGAACAAGTCAACAAGAGTAGAATAGAAATAATAAAAAGAAACTCTACCTACACAGATTATACCGGCTACAGCGGCTGAAATGCCGAATTGGGAAGAGGCGGAGAAGAGGTTGGAGTTGTACCTGCAGCTGGTATGGAAGGTGGCGAATGCAGGGTGCACACCCAAGACAAAATCTATCTTCTATCTATTATATACTAAAAGTCCATTAACTTTCCTACAAACGCTCTCAATCCGCCACGTGTCAGCCCTACAAACACTCCTAGACCGCCACATGGCACTGTATAATCTCACCGTCGATTTTCACTTAAATTGGTGGATCCGATATTTTAGACCATTGGATTAGATCTATTATTTAAGAAAATAATCCCTTCCTCTGCTGTGGGCCAGAAAAAGAAAAAAAAACTACGTACGTACGTGTGACTTCGTATAACCGTGGGCCAGAAAAAGAAAAAAAACATAAGAACGTAGTACGCTCTCCCTGTCTCTTCCTATTCCTATTCTTTTATATCTCCATCTCTCTCCTCCTAATTCTTTTATGTTATCAAATTAAAAACGAGTTAAGTTGACCATAATTTAAATGTACATAGCTAATTTATATTCTATTAAAACGTTGCTCTATTTATAATTAAATTGACAATTTTACATCCAATGTTTTGCTATATATAAGCAATTTGTTATTGTGGTATAGACTGTGCATTTTGCAAGTTTGCATGCCATCTAAATAAATTAAATACTTATTAACAACATATATTATATATCTATCTATATATCTATCTATTATATACTAAAATATACTAAAAGTCCATTAAACTTCCTACAAACACTCTTAATTTGCCACGTGAGACTCCTATAAATATTCCTAAGCCACCACGTGGTACTCTAATAAATTAGAAAAAATATATAACTTGAACTGGTGAGCCAATTGGATTTATCTCATAAAAAAATCCTTCCTCAACTACTACCGTACGTTCTCATGTCCTTCCCCTCAATCCCTTCTCCTCATCTCTTTCCTTTTTTCTGTATGGTAGTTAAGATTTTTATTTTATTACTTAATAATTAATTTCTTCACTTCTATCTCACCAGAATGGTTGTGGACTCTTGATTGCATGTCCCATGCCTAAATATGTAAATGATTAATGATTTGATGCATGCTTTTATAAATAACAAATCTATTTTTAACTAAAAATTTAGAAAAAAGATAATAGTTACATAGCAAAATAATCATAATTTTAAAAAGTTGCTCCCTCTATTTCATATTATAAGCCATTTTAACTTTTTTCTTAATTAAATTTCTTTAGATTTGACCAAATGTATAAAAAAATTTTAACAACATCTATCACACAAAATTGTTTTGTTAGATATAACGTTCCATATATATCCATAATATGTTTTGAAAATTTTACTATATTTTCTATAAACTTGGTCAAACTTAAAAATTGACTAAAAAAGTCAAAATGACTTATAATATAAAACGGGGCCAGTATATCTGTTTTTATTTAGTTTGTTTGAACGGTTGTTTCATAATTAGACAGCTAAATAATTTAAAATCAGTATTACCAATATTTCACTATAAAAAATAAAATATGTTATTTGAACTGCCACCTATTCTTTACATAACCCAAATAACATCCTATTTTTAATTTATTTGAACTGTTGATTTATGTTACTCATATTTTACCATGTAAAATTTAAAATACGTAATTTGAACATAGACCAACAAGCAAACAACACTGAAACATTAAAAAATTGACAACATGTATTATGTCATCTTAATCATTCTACATAATAAAAATTAGAAAAATACAAAGTCACCATGTATGACCTTTTAGAGACATGTTAAATTACCAAGTGTCACATTTTAAAAATTAGTAAAATCTTATATATTAAAAGAAAAAATAAAACATCTAGCTAACGGTTTTCACCTAGATCGATGACCTATTAACATTATATCACTACACACCCAATCCTTCCCGTCACTGGCTCAAGCTCTACACTTTTCATTCCTCTTACGTTCCTATTTAACTAAAATATAAATAATCTATAATTATAAGTTTCATGTCTGATTTCTAATCTAACTATTGCAATGTTTATAATCAAACCAACGATATAAGATCCATATGCCTATAGTTTAACACAATCGGCCTAGCCTATTACTTACGATTATCTCAAATACAGCCTACGATACATGCCCACGCGAATGCGCGGGCTACCTTCCTAGTTGTTGTAACTTGCAAGACCACGAAGAGGCTGAGGCCAATGCCGATGTCGAGGCAGCGGGGCAGAGGCTGACAGTGACGGGTTTCTTTCGCGGTGCGGAAGAAGCCGACGCCCTGGAGGTGGCGTGGAAGAGCCCGAGGCCGGCGGCGAGGAGGAGCCTGCCCGAGGCCGACGTAGAGCGCCGTCGTGGAAGAGCCCGAGGCTGACGGCAATTAGCGACGCTGAGGGCAGCCTACGACGGAGTCCTTGTTCTTATCACGGCGCCCTGGAAACGGCGGCGAGGAGCCCGAGGACGACGGCGAGCGCCGCGGAAGAGCCCGAAACCGACGTAGAACCGAGGCGGCGAGGGAGAGGTCGAAGGCGCTCTTGTACTTATCGTTGTCGAGCGGGGAAGAATCCAAAGTCACGGGAGCGGCTAGGAGTAGTCCACGGCCGAATGCGAGAGGAGGCGCCGGACTTACGCGGGTAGGACGATTTTGGTGTGGTGGGGTTTGTGAGGTCACGACTCACGACACATTTATTCAAGTAGTCGGTGGCCAGAACGTGGAAATGAAATAATAGGAACTATAGAAACATTGATTGGAAATTGGTAATTTGGAAATTCGAAACTCAAATGGAAATTTAGGATGCTAGTAGTATTGCTATACAAAGAGCAAACAACAGAAAATGGGGTTGCATTGCGGTGGACATTTCATCATTCTAAACAGGATTGAAGTTGCTCTGCTTGAGAGAAAAAAACAAAAATGATATATTTGAAGCAGTTGATAGAAAGACAATCCACTGCAACTCAAGTAGACTATCTAGAAACCGTTCATCTCCAGTAGATATGTTCGTCTCTTCATCAGCGCCTTCACAGCAAATCTGAAAGGTTCATCGAATGCACTTGAAACAAAAGCTTCAGTTTCCTTCCGACTGCTGTGACCACCACTGCCTCCATCATTGGAGGGTTTGATCACAACCAGGGTGGCACCTTGCAATGTCATGCCACCAGGTAGCTCAAGGTATGGGGCATATTTCAGCTTCATGTTGCAGGCTGGGACCTGAGTTCTATTGGAACATGCTGAGGCTGACAGTTTGTTTTCTCTAAACTCTCTAAGCTGCTCCATCCCCATGTACAATGTCCCTTGCCCATCGGCATCTGCTAAAACCAAGCTCCTCAACGTCGGATGGTCCTTGATAATTGACCGGAGAAGATAGTGTCTTGTTGATGCAGCAATCAAAGAGCTGATAGTCCACACGACACGAAGTTTAAGCCCGCCATTGGTATAGAAAGATTCTGGCATGCTTCCATTATCCTCTACCGACGACTCATGCTCTGCGCCTATAGGCTTGCGATCGACCAGGGTACCTCCCAGAATCACACAATTCCGAAGTGTGCTACCATACTCAGCCCTCCACTTAAGCAGAACACCCTCCTCGGTCCCAACATCTCCCGAGGGAAGCTCCACCCGGAGATTCCAGACATCAGAGAAATTCCTAAGCACATGTACCGGTGAATGCTGCGCAAGCGGGAACAACGGCCTGCCCGTGCCATTCAGGTTGCGCATACTGTGGAATGGCTTGACGATTGTGAATAGCATAAGCTTAAAGAAATGGGAGAAGATGTTCTTTGGCTTCGCCGAAGACAGGTTGAGAGCATCATCAGCATCACCATCTGTGGCCACGACACGGTCAATCTTGACATACACATCGGAAACCAGAGGAACAAGTCCGCTGAACCGCTTCGACACGGCAGCGCAGCGGCCAAGCGAACGCACGTCCTCCAGCTTGTTCAGAATCAGGAGGACAACTGGATCCGGCAGGCAGTCGAATTGGTCGAACTCCGGAGCCGGGTCTGCGTGGATTCGAGCCCTGGGATGCATTGTCCAACTCAAAGGTGAGCACCTCTTTATTCCCACGACAAATCAAGGATTCCCTCTTCTGCTACGGCTTGGTGTAAACACTTCTGCTCTTGAAATGAATCGTCCAGCCAACTGAACAGCCCGTTCGAAATTGAAGCGATTTCCTGAAACAAACGCAACAGTAAGGTACGGACACAAAATTCCGCAGGGAATTACCATGATGAACTGAATAAATCAACATGAATCACACAAAATCGATGGCAGCCAACGTGCTGAACAGACAATTCCCCATACCAAATGCTTAAAATTGATAATAATAATGCTTCTGGGCGACCAGAAGAGCTCAACTGCAACAGGGATTACAGCTCCACAGCATAAAAAAACCAAAGTAATCCAAGAAAGTACCTCAAGGCCACCACGAGCCTGCCGTCGAGCAGCTTCGCGGCACCCTTCCCAGAAATCCTCTCTTCCGCCGGATCCAACTCCGGCGAGCCCGCCGCAGCTTGGAAAAACCACCCCCAAGAAGCTCCAGGAACACCACCAACTCCCCTCTGGGAGACACGGGGAAGCGAATCCGCGCGAGGGGGAGGGTTTAGAGGGGAGCAAGGAGGCGTCTCGGCTCGAGGGGAATTTGTGCTTCGAGACTCGACTACTCGAGAGGCGGTTTCTATAGCGTAGCGAGAAGCGTGCCGCTACCACCACTCCACCAGCAGCTCAGCTCGACGCCGCTTTAATATACGCCCTTCCCACGGAGGTAACGGCCGTCTCCCGGACTCGGTAACGGCGTCTCGGGGAGGGATAGGCTCGAGAGGTGGGCCCCACCGAGCAGCGACCCGGTCCGCGACTTGCGCGTGCGTTTTGGGCGGCTTTGCACGCCGGCTGGTCGGCAAGTCTCGGATTGGTTACTCTTCTGGTTGTTCCTTTTTTGTGTGTGTGGCCAATTTTAATTTCATTTTTGTTTGGCACAACTTGTGGTTACAATAACGCTTGGAGAAAAAAAAACGCAGTAAGACTGTCTCTAACAAGTGACCCATAAGGACACCTAAACTCAAAATAGGTCTCCGATAGTACTATTTCAGTCTCCAACAGAGTACCTATACGGAAGACCCATTTTGCGTGCTATAAGAGGCATAACCTAAATTTGAGTATCCTCTCTCCTGAAGAGCTATTTGCAGTAAGAGTTCTTTTTTAGGTTTTATTATTAGAGAAGACCAAAAATAGATATTGAACTATTTGACTTGACTGTAGCGCTATGTAAATGTGAAATGGGTCTTGTATTTTGGGTTTTATTGTTAGAGATAGCCTAATGAAGCCTTTGGAGTTTGGATCATCTTACGACGACGTGCGCATCGATGTTTTTTTAGTTTTTATATAAGCTTTTCCACCATGCGTCCATTTCACCAAGCATACCGTGCGTGCACAGAAACGAATACCTTACTCACCCTCACACGTACTACTACTTAGTGGTTCGGTTCAGGTCCACTCTGTGGATGATTACGAGTCGGTGGCCGTGCTCCCATAGCCCCGTGCCACGAGAGCCACAAGATCAACGGACAGTGGCAGGGGCAAGTGAACCACCACCCCCAACACACGCGCACGTCAAGGCCGTAGCATCACCCCCACCCCCCGTGTCGCCACACCGCCACGGTGGAAGCCGGGGATTGTGGCGCGTCGTGACGGCTTTTTGTCGCTTCGGAGCCTCGGATGGCGAAGCCTCGCTTTCCGCCCGTCCGTCCCGGCCCGCACGCACCGCACACATATGGGACCAGAATCCCCCCCATTCCTCCGTCTCCGTGCGACCTTTGCCTGTCAATTCCACTGTAGCTGGGGACAACCACTCACCCGGTGCGTGCCTGCCTGCCTTGGTTGGTGCATTTTTCCTGCACAGTGAACACCGTGACGACGGAGCGGCCAGTTGCCCAGTTGGATCGATCACAACCCGCGTGCGCCGCGCAGTACCCGGCATATGATATGACACGGTCTTATAGCATCCCAGCAGCTCCTCTATCTAGTCATCCATCTGATATTTGGAGTATGGAAGAGAAAAACAGTGCTCCAGTAGAGTCTCTATCACATACTCCATTTTTTGAGGTCCTCCAAACCTAGCCCTTCCTAAGCCAAATATGGAGGTTCTCTCTCCTCACTCCATCCTCAACTACCCACTTCCCAAGATTTTTTTAAGTGGAGAAAGGTGGGAGGAATAGGAGTAAAAATGTGTGGTAGTTGAAAAATATTAGTAAAATATAGGATGTTGGTATATGTAGGATGTAATATGGATGATCTGTTAGAGTGAAAAGTTATATAGGGTGAGAATCTTTTTATATGGCTATCTAAATAGGAGTATGGAGGATGAAATTTAGATGAGCTACTCGGATGCTCTTAGCCGATACAACGACGATGACGAGGCCGGCATTACGACGGCGAGTACGAGCGATCGAGTGATTGATTGATCGGTCCGCCGGCGGGCCGCGACCCTGCTGCGCATTATTGCGGAAAACGACCCTGCCCCTAACGCGTCACTCGCTCGCTCAGCCGTGTGTACTCTCCTCGCTCGCCGGCTGCACATGCTGCTGCCGCCGCCGCCGATGGCAGGTTGGGTTTGTGATTGTACTACTGATTAAGTGATTATTAGCCTCTGGGAATCTTAGGACGACGGTTGTCTACAGCGAGATTAAATGATTGGTTAAGAGACTCTCTACTCGTCAATCTCACGCCACACACGCACGCAATGGATAGTACTGGCGCCACTGCGGACGCTTATCCAACCACAACTACTCCACGTGAGGGCGTGAGGCCGACATCGTTTAGAATAGTGAAGAACATAAGGGACATGATGATGATATTAAAAAGCCGGGATTGTTTCGTGGAGCCAGGCTTGAGCTTTGACGTCGTTGCTTTCAGAAACAACACACAGGCGGCGCCGAAAAGTGATGTGTTTTTTTCTCTTCTTTTTCTTCGGCGGCCCTTGATTTTGTTCCATTATATCCCGCCCTGAAAGTGAAGCTTTTTCTGTCTGTAGTCTGTACATTTGTAGTATATGAGAAAAGGTGAGTACAGTTGTGTTGTCTGAATCTTTTGCTCATTGCTGCACCTCTACTCTTTTCTGAATCTTTTCTTTTCTTCGTTTTGGGAAGCAAATGCATATGGGTCGTCGCGATCATGGCGTCGATCGTTATGCAGTATCTTTGTCTGTTTTTTAGCACCACATGCTTCTGGATCGAGATACTCCAACTCCCTTCATTTTTTAATAGATGACGCCGTTGACTTTTTCTCACATGTTTGACCATTCGTATTATTCAAAATTTTATGCAAATGTAAAAGATATAAATCACACTTAAAATACTATGAGTGATAAAACAAATTATAACAAAATAAATTATAATTACGTAAATTTTTTGAATAAGACGAATGGTCAAATATGTGAAAAAAAGTTAACGGCGTCATTTATTAAAAAACAGAGGTAGTACTTAATTAGTATGGAAGACTCTACTGTTACATGTATCTAGTTGACTGAGTATGAATCGAATCATAGTGCGAAAATCAATTTGTCATTGTTTAGGTTGCAGTGTCTGCACAGTTCAGGGTTTCAGGCTATCAATGATTCAGAAACAGATTTCTGTGACATGCCAGTGCGTTGGCTAGATCGGAGACCTCAGACACTATCTGATTAGAACTAGTAGTAGTAGTATTCTACTGTGAGCCAGTGAGTTAGGCTAACCGCAACATCCAATCCAAAAAAAAACAATTCATCCTGGAAAGCATGTGTCTGCTATGCTATACTATCTCATGGAAGAAAGGAACGAAACACCAACCCTTTTCTTTAAAAATACACAACTTGCAGAGCTGCTCCTTTCAATCTTTTTAGACGTCATGTATACTACCGAGTATTTCAGGTGTCTCTGTACCATTCAGAATTTCAGATACTGTGGATATGCTGGCAAAAGTTTTAAAAATACAATGAGCTTACATGGGCACTACTGAACCACAGCTGCTTAACTCAGTCTAGTAGTCTCGCACGCACACCACGTCACCTGCATTTCCCGTCCAAGCTCTTGCCTGCTAATCTATACACTAAAATTCAAACGTGCAGAAACAGAATCAATCATAGATAAAACCTTATCTGAATTGATACATTCGATCATTGGTTGATTTGCAGCAATAATGCAATTTCCATGACATGTAGTAGTAGTACTGCAGTGTGGCATGCATGTCGAGATGTTGTCGTCTCATAGGTGTCATGACTCATGACAATGAAGTGGTCGTCTTCTCAGTAACTAATGGAGAGTATTCTAGTAATTATTAGTATTGCAGGCAGGAAAATTTCCATACACGAAGTGTACACATCAGGGATCATTGTCTTCTGCTGAGAATGATTTTTGTTTTTCCTTTTTCTTCTTCCCCCGAGAGAGATCTCCAGACCTCTATTATGGCAGTTCTTGTAGAGGAATCAAAGTTTCCCTGTTGTGAGACTCTGACGTGACAATTTCACTCTTACAGTTCGGATAAAAATTCAACCTGTTTCACAGAATTGATGACACGAATTTTAATTAGGACAAGTACGAAGGTCCTGCCATCTTGACAAGTCAACTGATTTGTGATTTGCATCCTAACTAGCAGATTTCTCGGCAAATATTCCCAGGACCACATCTCAATATCACAGAGATTTTTCTTCGGGCCATTGCACAAAATGATAAGGCTGGACAATTCTTCATGGAGCCGCACTAATGTCTTGAGAACAAATCTGACAAAAAAAAAAGAGATAATATAAGAGGTACAGATTAAGGAAGAGATGCCGACATTTTCTCTGGTATGGTCGGGATGATCAGCCGGCCAGGACGTGGAAGACACTACCACTAGCTGTGCGGAGATTACAACAACTAATTAACCAGTAGGCGAAAAAAGACACTAGAAAACCGTGGTCTCAATGATTACCTCTTCTGATAGTCTGACATCACAGACGGAAATGGTTCTGAATATTCGATCATTCAGTGTTGCAAGAGTTAACCTGCAGCAGCACACATCTGAGTTTTTCAGCAATTCACGGCATGTTGCAGTGCTCAGGTCTATACTTGTGAGATCATTCAGTAGTGTTTGTGTTCCATTGCCAATCTGATCCTATTCAGTTTCAACCATAAATCTTGAGTTTATGTACGCTGGAAGGAGCATACGCGTTGTTACAGTTCTGATTGCTGAATGTTCAGTTTTTTTTTTTTTGTCAAGAATCTGTGTGAGCCTTCATGGTTATAAAGGGCATCAGCAATCAATGGGATTGTGTACAGTACTGCTAATGTAGTAGCAGTGTTTATTGCCAAAGCAGGTAATAAGCGTGAGCCTCTTATCAGTTAAAGTAACTAGCAGAAAGACCACGTAATGTGACTATGTGAGTATGCAAGAGATGGGAAAATAAGGTGGGATCCATCTTCAACCAACCTATCAAAAGTCTTGGTGTGATTAAAAAAGTGAGATGAAACCCGTCATAACATATTTTATTTTCTTGCTACCAACAATAAGATTATAAGACTGTAAACTGTTAGTAAATATTTGCTGCTCTCATAATATTTGTTACCTGGTAACAAGTAGTATATATTTAGTGCTTACTACTTACTTTAACACTATATTGTGAATGTCCTAAATGGGAAGCAATGCCAGAGAAAAATATTGGATCATCCAAGTTCACGCGACATTCCTGATTGTGTTCAGGCAAAGGCATTAGGCATACACAACCAACTCACGCATTTCATATGTGAGAAATGCACAGGAAAACTACACATTAGCACACATACAAATCCACTCACATTCAACCGGTGAGTTATCTTTGAACAACATGCGCAAAAAGAGAAGGCACGTATCCTCGAGGTACAAAAAAACCACCTTCGAAGTTGAAATATAAACTCTATACAATCTGCTTTAGGTAGCACTGTTCATGTACTAGAAGAACACAACAAGTGCCAAAAACTTTTTTCTTCTCATTTGTAAAGAACACATAGGTGCAACTCATGAACATCACAACTACAACACGATTTTGGCATTAGGATGATCAACATTACTCTATCAAACCCACGAACAGATGATGATTACAGTAAAACATCATTGAAAAAGCACAGCAAGAATCCATTGGTGCCAAAAAACTGCATGTTCTTCTTCTCCTAATTTAATCAACCGATTACTCCACTGTTCTTGCTTCCTCATCAGTCCTTCCAGAAGAGGAACCGCGCCTTCACGCGGCACGACTTGGACACCACCTTGGCGTCGGCGGCGAGCCTGTCCACGACCACCGCGCACCGCACCCTCACCGGCACGGCCCACGTCCTCACGCCGCCGACCTGCAGGCGCACGGGCACCTTGACGTCCACGTCGAACGGCACCGACCGGAGCCGCCCCGCCGCCGCGATGTCGCCGAGCAGGCGCTCCGAGAACCGTATCCCCAACCCCTTCGCCGTCGCCACCAGCACCGTCACGTTGCGGGGGCCCTGGTAGAACGCCGGCCACGCGCCGTCGGCGAGCCTCACGCCGCCGTACGACACGGCGACGTGGCTCCCGCCGCCCTCGTAGTGCACGCCGATCTTGCCGTTCGGGTTGTCCGCGCGCACGGTGGCGTCGAACTCCGGCGAGAACGAGACGGGGGCAGGGGCAGCGGTGGAGGAGGCGTTGCCGAGGATGCCGCCGAGGCCGGACACGGCGAGGGACAGGAGCGTGTAGTCCGGCTGCCTGGGCTTGAACACGAGGTAGACGACGGCGGCGGAGGCCGCGAGCGCGGCGGCGAGGAGGACGAGCGCGAGGAGGAGCCACGAGCAGACGCGGGCGCAGGAGCAGCGGGCGCGGCGCCTGGCGCGGCGGGTGTAGTGCTGGAAGAGGCGCGCGTTCTCCGGCGGCGGGACGCGGAACACCTTGTCCTTGGGCATCTGCACCACGTACGTGCCGGGCTGCGGCGCCGGCAGCAGCTGCTGGTACCGCCGCGCGTCGGCGGGCGGCGGCGCCGCCGCCGTCGGCGGGAGGGGCTTCTCGAAGTGGAAGCTGTAGGGCGGGCTGGAGGAGGGGTCGGAGGAGGCGGCGGACTGGTTCATCTCGCCGGAGAAGTCGGAGCTGCTCGCCGCCGCCGCCGGGTGGACGCGGCCGTGCGGCACCATCGGCTGCTCCTCGAGGCGGGCGTCCGAATCAATCTGCGCGTTTTATGCATGCATGCATAAGCTCAATTAGTCATAAATTAAATTTTGTTAAAAAAATACTAAAGTGATCGATTCATATCGAACGGTGTCGATGCGATGGGTGTCAGTGCAAATCAAATTTAGGCCGTCGATGTAATACTGTACCAGTACCATTTAGGAATATCAACGAAGAGTTTTCACCTAAAAAATCTAAACCAGAACTATTGATTTAATTTAAAGCTCTCCTTTTTTTTAAAAAAAAAAAGCAAACTGTCTATGTTCTTTCCACCAATAAAACGCAGCAATATAAGAGTATTGAATTTTGCGAAGGCCGAATCTGTGAATTATGTGCATTTCTGTATAGTTGTACTTCCAGATTGACCATTTCAGTTCCTGCAGTTTTTTTGCTCAAAATGACTGTTGATGCAAGCCATCGATCGACTGCAATTTAAGGCCATGCATATATACAGTGTGCAAGCAAAACACTCTCTATGCTCTAGCTCTGGACAAAAACCTTTACCCAACATTCCAAAAACACGAGCTTTGATCAAGAGAAACCAATATATACATATGCAGTACATAACCACATTCCCAAAGTTCAAAAAACGGCGCCAAATCAGATCAGAAAAATCAGAAGCGGGTAGAGACCAAAAAAAACGAAAAAAAATTAAAGCCAAACCTTGCACAGCTTGCTGGACGAGACCGCTCGTCGTTCTCTCCTCGATCGATCTCGATGTGTTCCGGAATTTCTTCAGGATTGTGATTGCGAAGAGAGGAAGGAGGAGACGGCGGACGTGCGAGGTGGTCAGGACAGACGCCGGAGAGAGAGAGAGGCGGTAGAGTTTGGAGGCGGAGGGGATTATATAGGAGACGCGGAGGTGGGGCCCTGCACGCGGATCTCGCGGGGTCGCTGACAGGTGGGGCCCGCCTCGGGCGTGCGGGTGCGTCGCTTCCCGGGGAAGGAAACGGGGGTTGGAAGTTGGAACCGTGTGCGGGAGACGGGGTTTATGGAAAAAAAACCCTGTCGTCTGGTTGTCACTGTGGGAAAGGAGTAAAACGAAATCGATCTGCAAACGCGGGCGAAGCGTGTTCAGATCACAGCAGTAGAGAGTTGAGTAGAATACACGGTGGCAAAACGAGAAAACCATTAAAATAATTAATTAAGTTTTATTTATTACTATAACTTAACAAATTTGATTTATTTGATATCGTAGAATAACTTTTATATAGAAAGGTTTGGCATAATACATACTCCATCTGTTCCAAAATAAGTGCAGTTTTGCATTATTCATTTTCAACGTTTAACCGTTCATCTAATTTAAATTTTTTTATGATTAGTATTTTTATTGTTATTATGGATGATAAAACATGAATAGTACTTTGTGTGACTAATTTTTTTTAGTTTTCTCATAAAAATTTTTAAATATGACGGACCGTCCAACGTTGGACGCGGATATCTACGGCTGCACTTATTTTGGGACGGAGGTAGTATATTTTAGGCAAATTTTGCTACAGGACACTCCTTATATGTGGTTTTAGCCCTAAGACACTGCCCAAACTCACTTTTGGGGGGAAAACACTCCATAAACGTGGTAATTTGCCAGTGGACACCGCGCCGATTAAAATAATAATTTCCGATTGAAGAGGAGAGAGAAATCGTGTGAAATGTCAAAAATGCCCTTGGGTCCACATGTCAGCTCTATCTCCCATCTATCTTCTCCTCTTCCTGCCCACATGTCGCTCCCCGCCGGTCGCCGACCGTGCACGCGTAGACAGCGACAGAGGCAACAGCGAGCAGCAGAAGCACCCCGGCCCTCCGGTGGCCCACCAACCGCAGCGCGCGGTGGAGCAGCTGCAGCCGCTCCTTTTCCCTGCCGCCTCGCAACCCTCACCCCCTGCCCCCACCCTTCCTCCCGCCGCCGGCCGACGCGAGCAAGTCGTAGCTCCCGCACCGCATCCCCAGCGCCGACGCCGAGCCACTCATCGCCACCGCCACCGCCTTTCTCTCATCCCAATCGCCGAATCACGACACCGCCGCCGACGACGATGGTGACGAGTTCGAGGAGGAAGAGGACGCGCGTAGCTCCTCCCCCGCCCGCCACCACCCGCGCCCATCGCATCCAGCTCATCTCCGTCGGCTGCCGCCCGTCTTCGCCGGCGGCGTGGAGCGGGGCGATGGCTGGCGTAGCACGCAGGCCGCCGAGTAGGTGATTCGCGGATCCGGCGCCGCGGAGCGGGGCAGTGGCGGACGACGACGACGACGATGGTGACGAGTTTGAGGAGGAGGAGGACGCGCGCAGCTCCTCCCCTGCCTCTACTATAACTCATTGTTCTCCGAACTCGCCAAAGGCCCTAGGTTCGAATCCATTGCCGCCCGCCGCTCGTGCGCAGCTCCTCCCCCTGCGCGAGCACGGCCGGCGGCCAGCGGAGAGCGACATGTGGGCCCAATGGCATTTTTGACATTTCACGCGATTTCTCTCTCCTCTTCAACCGGAAATTATTATTTTAATCGGCGCGGTGTCCATAGGCAAATTACCACGTTTATGGAGTGTTTTTCCCAAAAGTGAGTTTGGGTAGTGTCCTAAAGCTAAAACCACATATAAGGAGTGTCCTGTAGCAAAATTTCCCTATACTTTATCATTTTGAAAAACATGTACTAATAGAAACCGACATAGAAACTATGGCCAAAGGCCTGTTTAGTTGGTGAAATAAAATTTTTTGGGTATCACATCGGACGTTTAACTGGATGCCAGAAGGGGTTTTCGGACAGGAATGAAAAAACTAATTTCATAACTCACTTGGAAACTGCGAGACGAATCTTTTGAGCCTAATTAATCTGTCGTTAGCACATGTAGGTTACTGTAGCACTTATAGCTAATCATGGACTAATTATGCTCAAAAGATTCGTCTTACGATTTACATACAAACTGTGCAATTAGTTTTTCTTTTTATCTATATTTAATGCTCCATGCATATGTCCAAAGATTCGATGTGATGTTTTTGGGAAAAGTTTTTTGGGTAACTAAACTTCTCAACCCAATGATTAGGATGGTGTCCATAGCATTAAATAAGCTGCCACCTAGAATTAAAAATAATGTGGCAAGTGAATAAATGAGGAAAGAGAAAAAAACCATGTCTTGCATGAGACATAGTTTCTACACAACATTCAAGACATCATGTGAGATAAGTAGCATTAAATTTAATTATAGAATATTGGTATTTGCATTTTAGAAGAGTAGTGTCTAGTACTAGTTTCTTGAGGCCATCCCCAACCTAGAAACTATCTAGTAGTTTCCATACTTGACATGTCATATAGACACCATGCGTAGAAAATATGTTTTTAATGGATGGTGTCTTCAAATTAAGTTCTCATCCAATCCCCTCTCTTCTCTCTCCTTTTATCCACCTATCCCCTTAATTTTATTCTTGGTTCTTGTGTAGAAATGGTTTCTTGCATGAGAAATGGTTTCTTCATATTTTTACCTCTCTCATCATTAACTCTTTTGCCATATAGAATTTTTGCTTATGTGTCAATGTATTTAATGCTATGGAAAATAGATGACATGGAGGGTTGAGAATGGCCTAATAATGTGGAGTTTATGGAAACTATGTTTAGTGTCTTGGTTTGGGAATGGCCTAAACAGCCCGTAAATTAGAAACCGGTGCCTATGAACTGTGAGATTTCAGTACTGCATGATCCCAGTACATTGACCAGCTGAATTTGCGTACTACTACTGTCAATCTGCCGTAGCAGTGGTTTTTAACTGCGACGAACTTGCCAAATCAGCCAATCAGTATTTGTTGCGAGTTTGTGAATTGTTAGTTTGTGACTCATGACGGCGGCAGCTGTTGCACAGCTCAGAAACGCGTCCAGTGGCACGAACAATACATACCGTCAGATCGGTAGTACTACGGGTTATTAAGCTGGCTGACGCCTTGGAGCCTGGAACATCGACCAGCTGTGTTGCATGGACCAGCCGCGCAGTCAAAGCCTCAAAGGCTTCTGATTGAACCAAATATGTAAAACGAGGAGGCGCTCGTACGATGGTGGCCAAGTAATGCGTGCCCACGACCACGCTGCCGGCCGCGAAGAAGACGAGTCGACGACGTGACATCGCCTCCTCTTTCGTACTCTGAGGTTCAGACATGGACCGGTACATTCTGTGTAGGCAATTGCCTGAAGTCTGAACAATTCTGCTTAAGAAAGAAAATGAATTAGTGCCTAAAGACCAACCAACGGTTGCCACACAATTTCTTTCACATCACAATTCACAAGCAGAAGTGCAGGACACCCTCAACTTCTGCTTGATAAAACAAGTCTTCGTTTAATTTCAACAGCGAGTAATGCAGACAACAGGCAGAACGAATGCTGTAAAAATATGACAAAACTGTGATGTTTTGACCTTCTATTCACAGTAGCAAAACCAGCTGCCCAAGTACACATATTAAAAGCAAACATTTTTTGTCTCTATTTCCAACTGCACCAGCTCTCCTTTACATTAAAAGATCAGTTTCATCAGATAGTAGAAGAAATCTACATTACATCATAGAATCGATTGTTCTATCTGCTTGTAACCACACCATACCGCCAGGGAAAAAACACCTCTTGCTACTACAGCCAAATGATAGGAAAACTAAGGAGAAAAAAATAAATTCAATACCAAACCATCAAAACCTCAAACAGGAGAAAAAAAATGCATCCACAAATCTACAGCAAAACTTTGTATTTTGCGGAATGGAAGTATAGACCAAAGACCCCTGGAACTAAAAGGGGTGCTTCATCGGTTGAACCCACGGTTAACCTCTTCGTGTTTAAATGAAGAAAGATTTGCGCTCATTTGGTAACATCTCCTCCGATGAAATTCTTTCTTTCCTTCCTAGCAATTCTGTGACATCACTCAGTGCTGTTCACTTTCATCACTTGCTTCACAAGTATTCTCGCAATCCACTGCCTGGGCAGCACTCTTGGTACCGCCATCAGAGAGCTTCTTGAACACTGCGTCTATGTCATCAATTGTTTTCACCTCAATAGTGTCCATGCTGCTTGTAGTCCCAATCGGTTCAGGCTCTTTACCATCTTCAACTGTATTATCCCTATCTTCAATGTGTGTTCCTTCCGGAAGCTCATCGTGCGTGGTGAATGTTACAGTATCACCACATCCGTTCTTGCCTTCGTTTTGTTCGAAGGAACTATTCGCAGCAGCACTTGACTGCTTCTTCAAAGCAGCATATATGTCATCGATGGATTTTGCATCAATGACATCCATGCTGCTTGTAATCCCCATTGGTTCAGGCTCTTTACCATCTCCAACTGTGTTACCTTCAATATGTGTTCCTTCTGGAAGCTCATCATGCATGGTGAATTTTACAGTATCACCGCATCCATGCTTGTCTTCGTTTTCTTCGAAGGAACTGTTCATAGCAGCAGTTGTGTGCTCCTTCAAAGCAGCATATATGTCGTCGACGGATTTTGCATCAATGACATCCAATTGTTCAGAACTCTCTATGGATTCTGGGTCAATATCAACACCAGAAACCTGTGGGGTTTCATTGTCCACGGTGGACTCAACAACGCCATTGCTTGCTTGTTTAAAGGCCGTCTCTATATCCTCCAGAGAATTGGCATCAAGAACGATCATGTTTGTATCAGTTTTAGTTAACTCAGACTCATTAGCAACATCCACTTTACTTGGTCCAACTACCAAGTTTGCTTCTATTGGTGCATTGACAAAAGATGCTTCTGTCTCATCAAATAGTGGCTTCATCTCTGTGTTAGTTTCTTCAAAACGACTTGCTCCAAGAATCCGTCGCCTCGGATTGTAGACAGTCTGCTCAGGGTCATCATAAGATGCTCCTAATGACCAACCAAATTCAGGACCGGTGCCATTTAGGTCATCAACCAATGGAGAATTCTCCTCATGTTCGAGCATACTGGCATATTTCATATTTGAAAATATGTTACTTGAAATCTGAGGGCTAATCAAGGAGCTCTCTGCAACACCATTGGAAGTGTTATTATCAATATGGGAGTCAACATCAGGCATCTGCTGGTCCGATCTTGTTGCTTCTACCCGGAAATCTCCTACCGCATCCAGTTCTGATAGGAAACTTTCATCAATTACATTGTCCTCCATGGGCTCAGGATAGATTTTATCAGCATCATCATCAGAATCAAGTGGATATCCTGCAGCTGTTTCTTCCTTCAAATCAATCATATCCACCTTGTTGGTTTCAGAAGCGATGGAAATGAATGGATTTGATACCTCTTTATTCTCAACTAATCGAGATTGGATGGAATCACTTGCTTGAAGGCATGACGGAACAACTTCAGAACTCGGGCTTACATCACATCCAACTTCAAAGTGCTCCTCAATTACATGAAACCCAGTCAAGGCAGCATCTGAATCGGTAAATATTACTGCTTCATGCTTTTCTTGCACATTGAAGTTCTCGACAACCCTCTCTTCAGGGATAGGGTGCAAGTCCCTAGATATTACTGGCAGTGATTCATTACAAAATTCAGATGGGAACTCCATGGACCCATGACCCAAGTTATCTGAAGGCATTTCATTGTTTGAATAGGATATGGAATCAACATTTCCATTATTTTCAGCTGGATTTCTTGCGCCTAGAACAATTGTCTTTGAACTTGATGCAACTTCAGTATTAAGAAACTCCTGAAGGTTCTCTGGTCCTGAATCATGCTCTGCAATTGGCTTGGGGGATGAAACCCAGTCCGAGAATTCAACTGACATGTTATGGGAAGAGTTAACACCAAGGCTGCTTTCACCTGCACAAGAAGGTAGTTTTTAGATAATTGAAGAGAACTCCTGACTCTACATCATGAGATGGACATAGCCATGCCATTATTAAAATGTTTCAGCATAAAGCTGAAATTACAAAATAACATCACATAGCTGAAGAAATATGATTCAAATAAAGCTGTCAAGTACATATTCAGTTGTTTAACTGTGAGGTCAGATTTTCTTACCATTTCCATCTTCCCAGCTAAACAGGTCAGCTACTGGATGAAGTGTCTTGGAGTTCCCAACTGAACTGAGCAGGTAATCATCTTCAGGACCCTTTCCTTTTGTTGAGGAAAGATATGCTTCTCTTTCCTGTGATCTTTCAAAGACAAAGTGTTGTAGAGCAATCTCACGATCATCAATGTCACTGTTGTCTAATTCAACATCCACGGAGTTGATGCCATCCGAGCATTCACTTCCAACATCCGCAAGGTCGCTATCCTGTCTCTGCAGAGCTGGAGACCCATGCTCATTGGGCAAATCTTTTTCATCGAGGTCCTTGTGGTCCTCCTGATCGGCAACTGAAGAGGCCAAATCAGATTCAGTAACAGAACTCAATTTAGACTCACTTTTATCACTAAACTGTCTTTGGAAATTACTTAAGCTCCCTTCCACTGTCTCGGGGACAAAATATGGCTTGAATCTAGAAAATCTCTCCAGGGTAGCATCTGTCCTTCCAATGTTGAAGCTATCGTGCCTTCGGAAGAACATGTCACGATGAGAAGCTTTCACTAATTCTCCAGGATTTACATTATTATCTGCAGAAACATCACCATCATTGGACTGATCAAGAGGAAGATCGAATGGGTTTTTCCTTGTATGCAGAACTGAGGGTGCTGAGCCAGGAATTGCCGCTTCTTCTGAATCATAAGGAAGATCAAACGGATTCCTCCTTGGAACTGAAATATGTGGTACTTGTACATGGAAGCGAGACAAGTCGTCAACACCCCTCCCACCATCATTATTATCAATACCTATCAAGTCATTGTCGATTTCAAACCTTATGTTCTTCCTGGATCTTCGTCTGGCCATCAAAAGCTCCAACCTGCGGTTTCTTTCCATCTCAGAATATCCAAGATCCATCAGATTTTTTTCATCATCTGCTGTCCAAATAAATGCAGCTTCCTTTCCTTGTTCTTTATTCTTTTCCTCACCATTCTCTTTAGCATCATTATTGTCAGTTTCATCATTACTATCATCATCAGTTTGATGATCCTGTGAGGAAACATGTGAATCAGTGTCCGAATCATCCTTTGGAATTGTATCAGGATGAGTAGAGCTTGCACCCAAGAGCGGGTCAATCTCATCAAGAATAGGTGCAATGTCAGTCATGGAAGCATCAGGAGAAGAACTCTCAGCCTGATCAGAGTCAAAACCAGATGAACCATCATCACTACCAACTCCGTCCTCACTACCAACTCTTGCCCATGGTGAACCAAGAGAGGAATCGAGTAGATTGTCCTCAAAACCCTTGCTAGTATTAATCCTAAGTTCATCAAGTGTTTTACTCTGATGCGTGGAAATGGCACAAGCTGATTTGCTAGTTCCAGCTTCCCCTTCCGTTGGTTTCTCTTCAGAAATATCTCTCACTCTGCTAGCTGTTGAATCTGTAAATACTGTTTCTTGATTCAAATTTTCCTCCAATTCACCACGTCCATTAACATTCTTACTGGTCGAAAAAATGCCAAAGGGTGCCTCTTTCTCATCCAGACCACTCCGAACACCTTCAAAGAAGCTAGTGTGCCCATCAGCCTTATCCTTAATGGACAACAAACCTTTGGAGTTGATGTCCTGATTAGAGCTCAAGTCGTTTCCAACTCTAGAACCTTGATGAAAATTGACCATAGAGGGAAATGGCGTTAACGCTGCAGGTATTTCATGCCGATCAAATCTATCGTATTCATGCTCAACCCTTCTCAGAAGGGGGACATTATCTTCCAGCTCAATATGCTCACTAGCCCTCTCTCTAATAAAAACCGTCTGTTTAGTTTCCCTCTCTTTGAAGCCAGTTGTATTTTCCCTCAATTCAGGCACTGGTAATCTCTGGCTCGCTTCAAAGTGAAAATCACTGGAAGGATTTCCAACCTTTAAGGATGAAATCTCTGGAGTGATCTTGTTATCTTCATCAGCCTCAGGCAGGTTTGTTTCCCCATAACTCAGTAGGATTCCAAGAAGAAGAGTAGTACACATAATTACAGGAGAAGAAGAAAGTAGGAAAGCAAATAACCCTGGTGAAGATCTATACAATAAATAGAGCAAAACACCCAATGTCAAAAGGATTGGATGTTCAGAAACACATCTATAGCCATCTTTAATGGAGGACTTCAAAACTTTCTTCAAACATCGCGCAACTTGTTTTGTATCAAGGGCCATGGCATGCACTCTTTCAGCCTCCAGCACAAACCTAGAATAAGAAAATCACAAGCAAGATTAGTTACAGTAAGAAAGGTGACAGAATTTGATTAATTTATACATATAAAGAATTTTGAGAACCTTTGTTAAGTAAATCTAACCATCCTAATTACACAAATTTTTAGGCATCTGAACTAATGCAGATAGTTCTAGTACAACTACAACGGATCAGGCAAATCCAATTGCGCGACTTCACGACATACTAACCGCACAAACAGATCCATTAGAGAACTATAATTGCATTAGGTTAGGAGTGTCTTAGCATAAGAATACTATGCAAGGCAAGTCAATAACCAATTCTTTGTTCATCAATTCAATTAGCTGAGAACTTCTCAAGGCACAAAAGAATCCAGCCCTCGCCCACACCAAAATCCATCCCTAAAGCCTCCGATTCGAACCCCCATAAGCTGATAAACTACTCCAATATCAGAGTAGGGGCAAAATCTGATCCCAGCAAAACCATCTAGCAAGAACACCCACAACACCACCACTACCACCACCTTTACTGCCGATCAAGCAAGGGGCAGGCAGATCTTCCCCCAGTTCGACCAATTGATCGGGAAAAGCAACAAAATTCAACGCATCCCAGAAGTGGCAACTCGATCCCATCCGCTACAGCTACAGAGCCTCTCGGTTCACTACGACGGCATCGCAAAACAACATACCTTCGCCGTCAGGCAGCAGCACCAGCACCAGCAAGCGAGATCGGGGAAAGCTCCAAGGAGCAGAAGAAACAAAACCGCCGAAAATCTTGGCTGATCAGGCGAGGAGGAGGAGAAAAAGAAAGGCAGAGCAAGAAGGCCTCGCCTCGCCTCGTCCCCCACGGGGTCAAATCAGTGTCGTATGCAGTGGAATGGTAGTAGTAGTAGTAGTAGTAGTAGTAGTAGTAGTACAGGTTTGGGCTGCCGCCACTTTCGGCGGCGGTGGAAAGGAGGAGGATGCGGCTTGGTTTGGTTTGCTGCGGTGCCTGGCTGGGGGCGGTGGGCGGCGATGGCGATGGCGATCGCGGAGAGGAGAGGAGAGGAAAGCGGCGGCGGCGGAAAGCGGAAGAAGCTGCCGGCTTTTTCAGCCTTTCGCTGGCATATGGCAACAGTTGTCCTCCTCCCGCGTCTGACCGTGGTGGTGGTGGGCGGCGGCTGACAGGTGGGCCCAGCGGTGTGCTTTTGGGGCGGTGGGTCCCGGGGCTTCGCGGGAGCCGGGGAGGGTAACGACAGCGGTGAGAATGGTGGGCTGGCATGTTGTCAGGCTGCTCCTCCGGGGTGTCCGAGGGGGTCGCCGGCACGCCGTGATTGCTGCCTGCGTCTTTGCTTCCCACGTCCAGATTACCGCGATTATTACTGCTCTCTCCATCCGATAATATAAGAAATTTTAGTATTTATTTAGATTTATTATACTATAATGTATTATATTCATCTAAAATCTCCTATATTAATATGGAGGAGTAGTATTATTATTGCATGTGGTCTCACCATTCATCCAAAATCTCCTATATTATAAGATGGAGGAGGAGTATTATTACTGCACGTGGTCTCACCGTGAGAATTTTTTACTGCCACGACGGAGAGTTATATTGTTGATCATTACTAGGGTCATGTTCTCTTCTCTAACAAGAGTTGAATAAATATTAAGATTTTTATGGCACGCTTTTCAAACTGTTAAACGACGCGTTTCCTGTGAAAACTTGAAAGTATTTTTCAAGTTTGTAATAATTAAAACTCATTCAATTATATGTTAATACCATCTTATTTTATGTAAAAAAAATTAATTTTTATCTTTACATACAGAAGAAAAGAACACCACCTAGTACTCCCTCCGCCTTAAAAAAAAAACGGACGACCTATCTCTGTACTAGTTTCATGCGTAAATTGCTGCAGTAGTTCCCCTTGAACTTTGTTGACGATAAATTTATGAGTTATCAAAAATAAAAAGTTTACCTGTTGCAGTATCACAACTCCTATCTCTGTATGGCCTGACACCTGGCCGATCCTTGCGTCATCGCTGCCGCTGGTGACACTGTTCAAGCGTTCATGGACGACCCAACATCCATAATTCCAGATCCAGCGAGCAGCGTAAAGCACCCAACCACTAATACCACATCTTCTTCTGCACGCTGTGAGTGTGTGTGTGTGTATGTGTGTGTCAGCTGCGTGTGCTAGCTGGTTGAGGGTCCATCTCCATGCAATGCAACCGCAGAGAGAAGAAATAAAGGTAATCCAATCTAAAACCTCTCGATCGATCGCCGGCCGAACCGAACCGTGCGTGCGTGATGCGTCGACGTCGTGCGCGTCGTGGCTTTGGCCTCCCCATGGCGAAGTCATGGCATGCACGCACATCGCGTGAGTTGCTATCTTCTCGGTGGTCACGCGTCGCACGCATACATGTGTGCTGATATAACTAGTATACATATACTTCTGCTCTCTGTTTTTTTTTCTCCCTGCTTTGAGCCAGAAAAGCAGCTTGTATCTTGCTCCTTTCATTCTAAACTAAACAAATCTAATATAAAATGTGACACATTTATTTAAGATTCGTAGTATTAAAATGTATCACATCTCATATTATTTTTATCTACTTTGGGATGAAGAAAGTGTATAGAATAGAACTATATGCTGATGGTTCCTTTGAAATGCAATAATTTTATAGGATTATTCTAAGAATCAATGCAATTTCTCAAAATAAAAATAAAATACTCCGTTCCATTGTTTCAAAGGAGGTCTGAGAGAAGAAACCATTTTTTGACAAATTGCAAGTTGGCAGGGAGAGAAGTCGAAAACTATCAGTAGCTATAAAAGGATTGGATGTGATGTTTGAGAAAAGGATCAAGTACTTCCTGTGAAATGATAATAATAACAATAAGTACCAGAATGCCACCCTCTGAAAAAAAAAAGTACCAGAATGCCACAGCTCTGAATGTTCAACACATCTGCGGTACAGAGAGAGAGAAAAAGAAAGGAAACTGGTATTATGAAACAAAAAGAACAAAAACAGCACAAGAACACCAAAGGAAATTAGGTATATCGTTTTGCGAATTGTGTAACGTCGCAACTTCTTGATCATGTCATACATGATAGCTTGTGTTGGGTTCCAACTATGAAACCATATGTCAGCTCTAATCATTCATCTCCGAGGCTTATGGCCCCTTTTCTCTTCAGCCACCACAGCTAAAGCAAGCAGATTCCAAAAGCCAAAACTGGAGGGCACAGCATTGCTGCTTTCCATGGACAATCCTAAATATGATAATGCATCAGTGCACTGCAAAGTATGTTTATCTCCAAGACAGCTATGGCTTTGAGTACCAGGTTTGCAGGCTGCAGAAAAAGAAAATGTGACAGGGTGTGTAGTAGTAACAAATTGCTATTGATTGGCAAGTGGTAAATGCTCAACAAGATAGTACACCACAAATGCAATAATTGGTCTTACATTGTTCAAACAAACATGACGAATTTCCAACAGAATTCGGGCAATAGAGATGACAAAAAGGGTTCTCTAATACAAAAAAGAAAACAATAATTAACCGGCTTATCTCCATGCACTACTTTATTGGACAAAAGGGCTAGTCGCATAAGAGAACATCTGATAGTGCCTGCATGCCATCAAGGACTCTGTCAGCAATGCAGAATTACAACCGACGAGATCTTCCTCAAGTTATGATCCAAACAATGAGCAAGAACGATACCAAGAATCTGCTGTAGCGTCTGGCAAATACCAAATACAGAATTCATTTGAATTCTGACATTTCACAGGCGTGTGGCATGTTGCTCCACGAGGAAGAATTGAACATGATACCGTCGCCAAGAACAGGTCTGCAATCGATACTCAAGTCATTGCCCAGAAGCATTGCTATGGCATTGTTGAAAACTGATGGATCAGCTGTATTCCCAGAAAACAATGCATCTGGCCTGAAGTTTTCAGGATGAGGTGAAGTGTCCCCAGGTTCATATTTAGGCCCCATTACTTGCTCTCCAGATCCCATTGAAGTGCTTTGTGCTGCAAAACAGTACATCATAAATAACCGAATAATCACATCAAAGAGGGATGAGGAATTTCAGAGTCCAACCTGGGGAAACTTTGGAGAGCTGAAAGATGTCAGGCGATGCAGCGCTAACAGGAGGGGTGGATTCAGTGAATGAATTGCCACTGAAAGGAGCACAGTCATTGAGGAATGGACCAGGATGTTGTTCTTCCCAGTATTCCTGACACATATCAAACTCTGGGCTAAGAACCGTAGTATTACATGGCGTACCGACAGAAGAACTAGAACTTATCACAGATGTCTGTTGGTTCTTCCCGGATCTTAGGGTCTGAGCTTCATGAATCAACTCTTCCAAAAGGCCACTATTCCTTGGCGACGCGCACTCTGATTTCACTGAAGGGGTTGCTGCTGGAGACTGCAGGTAGGGATCAACTAACTCAGTAGGCTGCAACGCAGGAGCTACAGTGTACTTGAGCCAGCTGTTTGGATCAGATTCAGTATCTTGGAGTGAAGGGAGCTCCATCTTCAAAGGACCACTTGTGGGCCTAGAAGCAGAGAAATTGCCATTTAAAAAGGCATGGCTGCCATTAAGTGCACCCCCGAAAGGTGCAATAATCTTGCTGGTAGAGTTGGCTTCATGGAGATAGTCAAAACCCACAGCCTGCTTGAGCTTCTCAGAGTCATTTGAGAATTGATCCACCGAGGAAATCACACCGTTGATGGTATCGCTCAATCCAGGAAGCACACCATCAGACTGTTTTAGCATCCCTGTCTGGTTTACCTGATCCATGAAGCTACAGCTTTTTGATGCAAAGCTCTGGCCAAGGAGATTGCTTATAGAAACGGCTGAAAGATGTGGTGCATAAGGTAAAGCCTCTGAATTAGCAATGAAATTGTCACAGGTAAAATCTGGTAGGTAAAGACCATTTGCATTCAGAAGATCGTTTGACAAATTCTCGCCACAGTCAAAATCACTGGAGCACTGCTGATCTTCATTTGAGGATTGATTGCATACGCTGGTAGGATAGATGGGTAGGCCAGCTCGCTGGCATCTCTTTATTCGAGTATTCCAGTAATTCTTTATTTCATTATCAGTGCGCCCTGGCAACTGAGAAGATGTGCTCAATGTAAGTAAAGAGGAAAAAATACAGAAAATATGTGCAAAGAGTTCAGGATAAATGATAAGCTTACTCTAAAGACTTAGATACACAGGATACATATGAAATAATTCGGCAGACAACAGCCTAATTTTCACTCACATCATTACGTGGACAAGTTTGATCAGTTCAAGAAATCATAGAAACTCAGTAAGTTCACACTATTATGACAAAAAATTAATTCGATTCTGTGAATCATGAAAGTTAACAAGATTGAAAGGCCTTAGATGGTTACTCTAAGCTTGCGAAGAATAATAGCACTACTTGGTCAGACTGAAATAGATATCAATTATGTTACCTTGTGAATTGTAACTATGCTGTTTAGAGTCCTAGACAACGGACAATTTAGCTAGGCTTGTTCCCAACCCCTTCTAACACAGTGAACAATCCAAAATGAACAGATTTAAGGCAAACAACTGCACCAAACAATTTTCAACCTTCGACGTAGCACAACTTGCTCTCAGTAACAACAAAGCTGGTGATGAACACTATTTGTATTCTTTGCTACTCACATGAAGAATACCTAAGCCCATCTTCCCATATGATCATGACCGCATCCATGCAGGAGTAAAACCGACAAAGATGAACTTGAGAAGATAAAGCTACAGAAGAATCATGTAAAAGTGAACGGTATGCTTAGATCTAAGCTTAGAACCTTAAGAATTGTAAATCAATTTTGGAAATTGAAAGCAGTAGGGCTTCATGCAGGTTGCTACTGTACTACATGAGAGTCCTTTTAAAAATCACCAAACCTAATTTCTAAACCAAAAGCTTGATAACTTTCTGCCTTGCACTAGAAAAATATAAGTTAATGTTTTAGAGCATACAAGTAACACCAAGGAAAATAATGTTTAATACAATTCTAATCCGTGAAACAAAATACTTCACTTGATAAAAACCCATAAAAGTATCCTTCAAGAAAGGCAATCAACCAATCACTACAAACGAATTCTACAACTTGGAACTAAAATTAAAATGATCTAATAGCACACCAATTCTCCCTGGAAACATCAAGTTAGGTGGTGGATGAAGAACTGCGCATATCATCAGATTAGGCAAAAGATCAAGTAAACCTATAATAAGCTTTTAACTGACCATGACTCAGGGGAAATCTTTAGGAGTAAGAACAGCAATCTCTCAACTGCTTAGTATGAACAAATACGTACAGCAAATGGGATCAAACACCGGGGGGGGGGGACGGGACTTACATGAGCGGCCATCCGAGCCCACTTGTTCCCCATCTTGGAGTGGAGCTGGATGATGAGCCTCTCCTCCTCGGCGGTGAAGGCCCCCTTCTTGAGGTTGGGCCTCAGGTGGTTCGCCCACCGGAGGCGGCAGCTCTTGCCGCACCGGAACAGCCCGGTGTTCTTCTGCACCGCGTTCCAGTTCCCCTCGCCGTGCTTCTTCACGTAGTCCACCAGGATGGCGTCCTCCGCCGACGTCCATGGCCCCTTCTTCAGCGGGGGCCCGCCGCCGCGGTGCGGCGACCCCCCGCTGCTGCCGTCGTCGGCCACCGGCGAGTCCATCTGCTCCTGATGGATCATATCGCAGTCGCTCTCGCTCTTCACCCGATACATGGCGTCTCAACTACACCGGAAAATTTGGAAGCTTTAGATTAGATTACTACTGCTACTACTTGAATTATGACAGGTAAAAATTTAAAAAAGAAGAAGAAGAAGAAGAAGAAGAAATCGATCACATAGTACCCATGAAAAAAAAATTATGGCATGGTTAGTGACACAGACAAGTTACACCAAAAGATGATAAAAGACAAACCAATTAGACATGACTACATGAGTGATTGAAAAAAGCAGGTTTTGTACATATGCAATGACGAGAAGCCGAGTGATACTGATGGATCAGAACCTCTTGATTCCCAAATTCGGCAGAGGGGAACACCGAAACAGTGAAGTATAGAACCCAATCAAAGATTAAACCGAACCTGCTCAGCTCAAGAGCTCCCCAAGCACAACAGCTCACCAAAGACGATTTTTAAGTGCAAGAAACGAGAGAAAAGGTGGTGTCTTCCCCCATAATTCACAGATCAACCAAAACAAGCAGCGCGAACACCACTCCTGAGGTGACGAGAACCGAGAATTCAATCCCCACGGAACAAAACCAGCCAAAGAAAGAACAAAAAAAAAAAAACCAGAATTCCACCACTCCCCACCCCACCCAGATCATCCCCTCTCCACCCCAAAAAAAAAAAGAGCCAGAATTCCGCAAGAACAGGAGCTAACCTGGCCGAACCCCGCAGCCGGGGGGCTCAAAATTGGGGCTGAATTGGAACCGAGCGGAGCTCCAATTGCCCCCTCCTTTGCTCCTCCCAGCTCGTCAGTAGATTGGACTCGCAGGGGGAGCGACCTTGCGGACGAGCAAGAGAGGGATCTCGCCCACCCAGGCGAGACGCCGCCACCGCTTAAGCCCACCGGAGTGTGCGGAGAATTTTCAGCAAGAGAGAGAGATCAGAGAGAGTTTTGAGGACTGGATGAAGAGGAGCTGAGCAAGAGAGTGGGGCGAGTCTGCAGGATGGGGGGAGTCTCTCTCGCGAGGGGCGAGATTATAAAGCTGAAAGGTACAGCAACGCTATTGGGCAGGGCCGCATGGGCACCCCATTTTTCCTCTCCCTCTCTCTCTCTGGGGTTGAATTTGTTTTTATTTCCTCTTTTTTATTTAGTTGCTAGCATGATTATATTTTTGTCCCATGTATTTATTAATTATTCATTTCTCGAGACAACAAACGTGTGTTCTGGGAATTCTGAAAATTCATATTTTTTTCACGTACTAGTAGCACATGTTAGGCTGTGTTTGGTGTCGAGGGTTGAAAACCATTTTATCACTCGTAAAACAAAGTGATTAATTAGCGAAGATTATTTAGTTATTAGCCAAAAATTAGATTAATATAATTTTTTAAGAAACTTTTCTGCATAAACTTTAAAGAAAATCTGTTTAGTGGTTTAGAAAATATACACGTGAAAAAAAGAGAAAGTATAAGTTGAAAAATTAGAAAGTATAAGTTAGAAAATGAGAATATTGAAAACGCCCTTAGTCGGTCACAAAATAATGCATAAACACAAGAGGAAATCAAACTGTCACTTGTGAAGTGATATTTCCAAGTTCCGAACGAGATCAGGAGGAATTTAAGAAAAAAAAACAACTTAAAAACAAACGACTACTCTGTTTTTCTATTATTAAGACGATACCACTTGAGCTACTAATGCCTCCACTTATACACTCTAGTGCTTCTATTAGCGTATACTCCCTCCGTTTCGAAATATTTGACACCGTTGATTTTTTAGCACATATTTGACCGTTCGTCTTATTAAAAAATTTAAGTAATTATTAATTCTTTTCCTATCATTTGATTTATTGTTAAATATATTTCTATGTAGGCATATAATTTTTCATATTTCACAAAAGTTTTTGAATAAGACGAACGGACAAACATGTGCTAACAAGTCAATGGTGTCAAATATTTCAAAACGGATGGAGTATAAGTCAGCTAGAAGATGGACGAAATGATGATGAATATACCGCTTGATGAAAGCCGAGACACCTCTCGATCTCTCCTCATTCTACACACAGAGAGAGGAAAAACTAGGTCCAATTTGCCCAAAGCGAAGGGCAACCTTTATGCTAAAAATCCAGAGAATTTTCCACACCTGGTAATCTCATGCGCTCCTCGCTTACCGCTTATATCTCCGCACCGATTCTGCGCACCTTCTACGTACCTACGCTTTCCCCTTCGTACTACTCTGATGAGTGTCTCTGCCCTCCCAATTCAAGCCATCATTTCTAAACGACATATTTACAAATAAAAAATAATTTATCAATAAAATTTTATATACATGTTTTTAGCGATCTAAAAAACAAAGACTAGAAAATAAACTTTGATAGAAAAACATTAAAATCAATCCTAAATTTAAAGGTGAAAATTTAAATTTTGGCAGATAGACCCATGTCAGGGCATGAACTGATCTGATCATCAGCTTGAGATCAAGCCAACCCCGGCCCGGCCACGGATCAGGAGCGGAGCAACCGAGCAATCCGTGGTAAAAGTAGCCGGATCTACGAGGAAAATACTCCGTAGAAGTAGCCGCATATTTGTCCGGTTGCTTCCGCATGCTCGCGTAGTCGCGTACTCCGCACCCGGGGCGGCATCGCGTGCGGTGCGCCCCGGTTTTTTGATCGGCTAAAACACGCAACGACGCGCGCGAAGCCCTCGTGACGAGGCGAGAAACGCACAGTGGGTCGCGCGCGCGCGCGCGCGCGGCCGCTTGCTGGTTCGGGACGACGGGTTTGCACGTGGTGGTGGACGGGTGATCGTCCCCGTGCGCCTCGGCCTCCCGCTACGAGAGGAAACTGCACATGCGTTGCTCGGTCGCTACGCCTGCCGAATCACACTAACGCGCAGATCCAAAGTTTGGTTTCAAACTTCAGTCCTCTTCCATCACATCAACCTATCATACACACACAACTTTTCAGTCACATCATCTTCAATTTCAACTAAAATTTAAACTTTGCGCTGAACTAAACATGACCATTTAGCCTGCTCAAGACAATTTTGGTGGTGTCCGATGGGTTTACTATAATTCTGCACAAACAAACGGAGTCAACTATAATATATACTCCCTTCATCCTAAAAAAACAAATCTTTTCACGAATATAGCATTTCCTAATACATTTAATTTAGACATATTTCTATCAAATTCACTATAGTATTAAAAAATATTATACTCGTGCATTGGTTTTTTTTATTTTTTTTTACGAAGGGAGTACCAAGAGAGTCTGCAGAAGAGGGCACTGAAAGTCTGAAATGACACTGCTTCTCAGGCTGCAAGGCTACAACTTCATATCCTTTCGGCCAAAAGAATGCAATTCCAAGTGCGTGGGGGGTAGGATATCAGATTTCTGCTGTTCCTCTACCCTAAACTCCATAGGTTAATTGCTCCGAACACTTTTCTAGTGCACGCACGGATGGCTTGTTTTTCTCTTATAATTGTTGTTTGATTTTAGTGCCATACGTTCTCTAAGCACTTTTACCGATCTACTAGTACTATATAATTCCTACTGGATGTAAGTGCCTGCTTTTTTACATACGTAAGTACTGGACGTCTGGATGTAAGTGCTGCTTTTTACATATACGTGCGTATGAAGTTGGTACTAAGATCAAGGCTAATAATACAGTCGACCAGTCTCTTAGCCTATATATATACTCCCTCCATTCCATAATATAAGGCACAACCACTTTTCTTAAATGTTTCATAATATAAGTCATACATGCAAACATGCAATTAACTATGACATCTTCTCCATTAAATTATTACTTTTTTAAATCCTCCACTCACATGTTATCTAATCCTATTGGATGCATGTATTATATTTATTAGGATGATCCAAACTACAAGATGATAATAACTATTTCTTGGTCTTTTGGGTTAAGGGTGGTTATGCCTTATATTTTGGAATGGAGGGAGTAAGAACACCCACAATGGTAAAGTAAGGTGCTCTCTATAAAACATGTACACCTCAGCAATATACTAGATTAATAGTAAAACACCTCAATAGTATGTCTACATGGGTATCTATAGCTCTCTAATACATTGTCTCGTTTTTCTCTATAGACTATCTCCAGCTTAGTAGATAGCTTTGCTCTCTCTCTTCATTTAATCTTTTCCAAGTAGAAAAATATGCTGACATGGATCTCTGGTAGAGAGTCTATAGATAACCATTGCGGGTGCCCTAATAGTTAGCTCTTTACTATTAATATATGGCCCACTTGTCTTTTTCACAGAGTTTTTTGGTTCTTATGTTCAAGCTGCTTATAAGTTTATAGTCCGCTTCTCCCCTTTTCTCTTCTCTACCTCAATATTTAGCTGGTTTATAGCCTACTATTATGCATGCTCTAATAAAGAACTCGTCTTTGAGCCTCTAAAAAGATGGGTATAGTATCCCAGCCACCTAGACCACCTAAAAGGAAGGAATTGGTCTTTGGGAAAAGTTGCAGCACTAGTTCCCTAAAAAAGGAAAAGAAAAGGTTACAGTAATAACTGTAATTGTAAATCATCGCAGCTCATCGCAAAGAACGATACAGTACTATAGCGTGTGTGAAAAGTCCTTGCAAATGGAATTGAAGTACAGCAGCAACGCCGACGTACGAGGCCATCAGAATCAGATCAGTGCTCACTCCAAAGAGATGAACATTAACTCTGCGTCCGTGTGTCAATATGTCATGTGTGTACAACATGCTTATCCCTGTGGACCTCGCGCGAGTACTACTGTGGTTGGTTAATTTGCGTCGACTTACCGCTGGTCTCAACGAGGACTACGGGTACACGTACGCCGTCCATTCTGAAGTGCAACAGTAGGATTTCATACAGATCTTGTCAGAGCTTAATATGATGCCAAAACTTCTTTTGGTACCAAGGTAAAAAGGGAAGGTAAAAAACATATTCTGGCAAGATTCCGTCCCGTTCAGGCGTTTAGCTTCGTGGTAGTAGTTCATTTCGGTAACCGGTGTTTGGCCAGAACTTGTGCTGTGTAGGTGAATGAATTTCTCGTTCTAAAAAAAGAAGTAAATGAATTTCTCGGCCGACCCGGTGATGGAGAGATGTTACATCTGGATTGGGTTGGTCTCCACGTGCATCGTTTCGGCGAGACCAAACTCCAGCTGCCTGCGACCAAAACCGATCACACGCAGCGAATGCGAGCCAAGGGCTAATACTTGATCAGTGGCCGCATCACACACGCCACAGAACACAGCTTAGCTAAGGCCCTGTTGGGGAAAAGAATATTTTTGAACGTCATATCGGATGTTTGATCAAATATTGGAAGGGGTTTTCGGATATGAATAAAAAAACTAATTTCATAACTCGTATGGAAACCGCAAGACGAATCTTTTGAGCCTAATTAAACTGTCATTATCAAATGTGGGTTACTGTAGCACTTATGGCTAATCATAGACTAATTAGACTCAAAAGATTCGTTTCGCGATTGCTATGTAAATTGTACAATTAGTTTTTGCTTTTATCTATATTTAATAATCCATGTATGCGTCTAAAGATTCAATATGACGTATTTAAGAAAAAAAAATTTGGTAACTAAACCAGACTTAAGTAGTAGTAGTACATCCCAGCTATAGCCGTGCACGATTGACTCAAAAAAACAGCATGCAGGACTATATTAAACATTCAGCTATGTTCTGTAGAAATTCGGGAAAAGAAAAATATAGGATCTCAGTGTTTCAAACAGGTACTATAGTCTATTACTATCTCCGTCCCATAATATAAGAAGTTTTAAGACCTTATATTTTTGCTTATGCTTATGCTTATTACCTAAAGTTTGAATTTTTCAACCTTAAATCTGGAGTTGATTTTGAGGTTTTTCTTCATCGAAATTTATTTTTCAGCCTTTACTTTTAGATCGCTAAGAATACGTATATAAAAGTTTTATTCATAAATTATTTTTCATTTACAAATATATCGTTTGGCTTATTCGCTAAATAAGCCAACCGATGGGCACATTAAAGTTGGACACAATTATTAAGATAGTAGGTAGAATTAAGGAAAAAGAATGAATTACCTCCCGCCCAAACTATCGTGGTCGACCGAATTACCCTTGAACCCGGAAACTAGATATCACTCGCCCAAACTTTTTATACCGGATGAATTAACCCCTCGACCGAATCCAGAACAGTTTTATCCTGGCGTACACATGGCAACCCAATTAGCATTTTCTTTTAAAATAATAGTGGGACCCATATGTCATACCTTCACTTCCTCTCTCTCTTCTCTCTCTCACTCTCGCGCAGGCGCAACCGCGCAAGGCATGCACGGCGGAGGCGGACCTCCCCCGGGTGGCCAGCGGCGGAGACGGACTCCTCTAGGCCCCTCGCCCAGGCCTCGAGGACACGCCCCTCACCGGACTTCTCCTCCTCGTCTTCGTCATCATCCTCCGGGTTGCGTCGCTAGGCGGATGCCGTGGAGGGCGCGTTGAAGTCGGCGAAGCCGTACATGGTGGAGGCTGCAGCGAGGAGCAAGGCGTGCACGGCGGAGGTGGCGCCGTCGTGGCTGCCTAAGCGAGCTCCGTCTCCACCGCCGACGAACATGCCGTCGACGCAAAGCCCCCTGGCTTCATCCCGCTCCGTCGCCATGTCCGGGAGCGGCACCCATGCGTCGGCCTCGGTGTCGTTCCCGCCGACTAAAGCGCTTTCCTCTCCTCGTCATGCCAGCCGGCGACGAACACCCACCTCCCCGCCGCGGCGCACGTGAAGAACGACCGCCTCGGCGCATCACGCATCTCGTCCTCAACCTTCGCCGCTTTTCCCCGTCCACTTTGATCTCGTCAACTGGCAAAGCAGCAGCAGGTGGCGGGAGGAGGGAGCAAGAAGCCGCCGCAGACGCAACCGTTGCGAGGCCGCCGCGCATGGGTAGGACTGCGCCAGTGCCGCCGCACGCGAGTCCACCATCATCGCCTACCAGGAGAAGATCTCCGACGAGACCATCACGCTGCTGTCCCCTGCCACCAACCCCGCGCCTGGCGCCGAGCCGCCGCCGACATGAGCCTGCAGGACGGCGTCGAGAAGGAGGTGGTGGCGTCCCATGCCGCCGCTGCTCCCTCCCAGAGGAGTATTTCGCCGCCGCCACCTCTACGTCCGACGCCGCCGCCGCTCCCTCCCGGAGTTCGCCGCCGCCGCCGCCTCCATGTCCCGCACCGTCGCTGCTCCCTCTCGGACCGCGTCGCCGAACGCCTGCCGCTGCGAGACCCGCGAGAGAGAGAGAGGAAGAGGGGGAAGAGGAGTATGATAGGTGGGTCCATATTTTTTTAATAAATAATATGTTGACTGGATTGTCACGTGTATGTCGCGTACATCGCGTAGGTAATTTGTTCGGTATTGAAAGTTCAAGGTGAATGGTGTCTGGTTTTGGGGTTCATGAGGTAATTCGGTCGACCGCGATAGTTCAGGAGAGGGGGTAATTCGTATCTTTTCCTAGAATTAAATGGTGGAAGATTGTGATTAGTTGAGAAGTGAAGGTATGTGAGGAAATTGAATGGTGAATATTAGTGGATAAATTGTTACTCCCTTTATTTCACAATATAAGTTATTCTAGCATTTTCCATATTCATATTGATGTTAATGAATCTAGACATTTTCCCACATTCATATTGTATGTCTAGATTCATTAACATCAATATTAATGTGGAAAATGTTAGAATAACTTACATTGTGAAACGGAAGAAGTATATTTTAAGACAAATTATAAAGGCTAAAATTTGTTATATTTTGAAACGGGAGGAGTACTAATTTGATTACGGGTTTAAGTTCGATTAAAGAAAAGACCGACGGGTTTATATATATGTTCAGATTTCTTTTCGAAACTTTCCCTGTCTACCTGATGAATCCCTGTAAAGTTTTTTGAGACATGGACACGTCGCGTTCCGCGAGTCACCGATGTCGTCCGACCCAATCAGGGACCGGGGACCGGGACCGATCGACCGACCGAGACCGCACGCAGTTTTGGCACACGAAAAAAGCTCGTGGGGTGGGCCCGACGCCAATACACGCCACGCGATGCGAGCGTGGGCCCCACTTGGGCGCGACCTGGGCCCCGCCCCGCTCGACGTACGTATATTGGGGCGTATAGGATGAGAGTTTCTCGTCGCGAACTCACGCAGGAGATGAGGCAGCGGGGCCCACATCCCCTCTCCTCGCGAGAAGCGGGAAGCAAGCAAGCAACTCGGGGCTCCGACCCGAACATGCAACCTGGATTTTTCACAATTTGATATTTTTGAAAAACTAATTTCACAAATAGATTCCTAAAAACTTATCCCGAAAATGGTTCTACTAGGGCGCCGTCCTCCTGCCATCGTGGCAGATCGGCGCTGAGGTGGCAGGGAGAGCACGCCAATGTGGCTGGCACCCCCCGGTAGAGGAGAGAAATGTACAACTTTTTTTAAATTATTTTTTATATTTTTTTTCAGACTTAGTAGCACACAAGAACTAACTGTAGAAAAATTAAACTCAAATGGACCAAATATGTGACTTGTACAATTTTCCAACGCTATACCGAAAATCCCCCCTCCTCTTTGCTCTTCGTTGTTTTGGTTTTGCCTATAATAAAAAAAAGTAGATTAGATTTCGAACATTCTAGCCTTTTTTTTACATCTTTTACATCCTATAAAAAACTTAGGGTTTTGTGTTTTTTTTACATCCAGGTGTCAATTTCACAAAACATGCGTAACTTTCTCATACGGACTCGGAATTAAGCAAATAATATATCCATGTACATCTACAGAAAAAGTTTTCGAGGCAAGAAGCTTTTCGGTAGAGCTTTCAAAAATTAAACAGGTCACATATTTCGTCCATTTGAGTTTAATTTTTTTATGGTTGGTTTCCCCGCTTTGTCGGGTTCGGTGAAATTAAAACCTCTAAATTCCGCTTGCAAGATTATGTTTTCGAGGCAAGAAGCTTTTCGATAGAGCTTTCGAAAATATGTCACATATTTCGTCCATTTGAGTTTAACTTTTTTTATGGTTAGTTCTTGTGTGCTCTTAAGAGTGAAAAAAATCAAAAAAATAAAAGAAAAATTAAAAAATCCGGGGGGAGGGCGCTAGCCACATTGGCGCGCTCCCCCTGCCACCTCAGCGCCGCCCCACCACGGTGGCAGTAGGACGGTGCCAGAGTGACTGGCGCCGGCGCCCAAAAAGAACCATTTTCAAGATAAGTTTTTTCAGAGGTCTATTTGCGAAATAAATTTTTCAAAAGAACCAAATTGTGAAAAATCCAGAACATGCAATCCTCATGGGAGGGAGGCGTGGGTCCCACCGGAGCCAGGGGTGTGTGGGGCCCACCACCCTCCCTCTCCGCCTAAGCTCTCGCAAGTAGAAACTCCCAAGCTCAAGTGGCGCCTGACCATCGCGCTCGCGCCGCCGAATGCCCGATCGATATGAATTCACTTTTCACTTTCTGAATTCACCTCCCTTTCAACTCCATGATCTTAAATCCCACCTCTATTACGCATGTTTGATATGCTGTTTTCTTTGATTTCTTCAGCTGTTTGGACTTTTAACGTAGCACGGACGGTGATATCCACCGTGTTATAAGTGATTTTACAGTACTTAAGTAGTTTTTTTAAATATAAAATTTGGTATCTTTCGATACCTCCGATACTACGAATTAAAAAAAAACTCCAAATGCCTCCTAAAAGCTATAAAAAACATCCTTTTTATGTTCCGAAACTTGTGGCCTCTCTATTTGTTCAGGCCAGTGCGTTGTGCGTGGTGGTGGTGGTAGCAGTTGAGCTGAGCGATGGTCGACGACATCGGTGTGTTTCCGACCTCCCATGTGGGCAGACTGAACACACTCGGTCGAATGTTGCACCGGTCAAGGATCTGCTCTGCCTCGCCGTGCTACGATTACGACTTGACGCCTAGCTGGCTGGCCGGAAAAGAGGAAATACTGTGCATGCGCATCAGCAGGCTCACTGCCTCACTGCCATGCTGAGATCGGTGTTAGTTAACCTGCTGAAGTCTTCAGATTCGCCCTGTCGAATGTACGTACGTACATGCAGCAGGAGCAGGGTGCTAGTAAACCGGTAAACCCCCCAAGCAAGTCAATACTGGTACAGAGAAATCACACATCACCGGTCACCGCCCCGATCTGTGTTACCGATGATTGCCGTGCAGTTGCCGATCCAATTAATCCACCAAACGCAAAGAGACCGTGCATGCATGCACGATGCATCTAGTAGTATTTGGTAGCGGCGCGGCATACGTACTTGGGTACGTGTTTGGACTTTGAAAACGCGTGCAATGCTCGATCTGGTTCTGGTGCAAATTATGTGTATGTGCCTGCAACTGCAAAGTTAAGGTGTGACCGTGTGAATGCTCGATCTCGTCAGTCGTAGCTGCTCATGCTGACCTGATGACTGGAGTACATCAGGCGGCGGAACACTTGACCTGCTGTGCTGTGTACTCCCTTCTCCCCATAAAACATGAATCTAGAATTAGATGTAACATATTTTAGGATAACGAATACAGACAAAGATATATTTAAATTCGTAATACTAAGATGTATCATATTTTGTATTAGGTTGGTTTAGTTTTTTATAAGATGAAAGGAGCAGTAGTCAGTAGTGGCGAAGACAGCGTGGGGGCTAGGGGCCCCTTACCCCCTAATAGACTATTAGAGCCCCCGTTATACCCCCTAAAATTTTACTTCATATATTTATATTTTGTATTAGAAATATAGCCAATTTATATGAGACATGTTTTAATTTTTATTGGCCACTTTAGTTTAGTCTTTACTATAATTGTATACTGGCTTCACCACTGGAAGTCAGCACGGATGTACCTGGAGAGCGGCGCGCGTGCCGTATACACAACGTATAGTCGGTCGGTCGATCCAGCGTATACGTGCGTACAATAGTGGTTTGCGCCGCCCCAACCCAAGTCGGCACTTTCTTTACTCAACTAAATAGAGGCTTTTGCTCGTTTGTTCTGCTTTGCGGCACGGCTGCGGCTAGCTGCTCTAAAACTACAACTACACGAATTGGGTCTGTTTGGCTAGCAGCTGCAGCCAATGCTCCTGAATTGTGTTGTGATTGCTGCTGCCGCGGCTACACGACCGTAGCAATCTCTCCCGACCAGCCTCATAGTTAGGTTATTCATCTCAGAGCACGGCTATTGGGTCTGTTAAGCAGGTGTTGTTGTAGCTGCGCTGCAGCCTTCAGGTGGGACGAGGCACTGCATACCAACGTTGCTGGCTTGTAACTGCAGCCCGTGCAGTAGCTGCAGCAATGGCCTGTTCGGCAAGCTGTTTGCGGTGGCTGCAGCTGCGGCTGTGGCTACACCGTGTGCGTGCGGCACGATTGGTGTCGGCTGCAGTCCAGCCACAAAACAGGTTAACATGCCCATTTTCCTTCCATGTTATTAATTCCAAATGATCTAGTACACCAGTTTAATTGATTCTGTTAAATTTGTGCGCAATTCTCATGTACTATGTCTTTTTTTACTACTCTATCCGTTTCAGATTATAAGTCGTTTTGACTTTGATTAAAATCAAACGACTTATATCACTGGTGGAGAAACCATCTTTACTCCCGGTTGGGAACCCCCTTTAGTCCCGGTTTTTCAACCGGGAGTAAGGATCCGGGACTAAAGATCTTTAGTCCCGGTTGAAATAACCGGGACTAAAGATACATCTTTAGTCCCCGGTTGGTACCACCAACCGGGACTAAAGAGAGAGGATCTTTAGTCCCGGTTGATGTTACCAACCGGGACTAAAGAGACAATAGCGGCAGTACCAGATGTTCCCCATTTTCTTTTTCTTTTTCCCTTTTTATTTTCTCCCGAATCAAGTAGGCAAATCCCCAAATCAAAATAACATCCCAAATTCACATCACCAAACCCACATCACAAATCATAAAATTACTTATACACACAAATCAAATACATCACAATATCCTAAGAAATTACTCAAATACATCACAGATCCAAACAATGAATCACAAATTTATAACTTCTCAGTCAAATACATCTCAGTGAATCATCACAAATTTTTTTAAAAAAAACCAATGCCGCTGCTGCCGCCGCTCGCCACGACCGCCGAGCGCGGCCCCGCCTGCCGCGGACCCGCCGGCCGCGGCCCCTCCGCCCGCCCCGGCCGCCGCCGCCCGCCACCGCGCGCGACGCCGCGGCCCCGCCGCCCGCCACCGCGCGCGACGCCGCGGCCCCGCCGCCCGCCGCCGGCCGCGGCCCTGCCGGCCTCCGCCGGGCGCCGCCCCACCGCCCGCCACGGCCGCCGCCGCTCGCCGCCACGCGCGGCGCCGCCAGCCGCCGCCCGCCGGCCGGCCGGATGGGAAGGGGAGGAGGGGGGAGGAGGAAGGGGAGAAGGGGAGGAGAGGAGGAAGGGGAGGAGTTGGAGAGGGGATGAGGAAGAGAGTTAGATCTGAGGAGAGGGGATAAGTGTGGAGGAGAGGATAAGGGATAGGGATTATATACTACGTGTTTAATTTTAGTCCCGGTTGGTAAGATTATCTTAATCTTTAGTTCCGGTTGGTAGTACCAACCGTGACTAAAGTGGTGATCTTTAGTCCCAGTTATTGACACCAACCGGGACTAAAGATTCTCGGCCCCTGACATACATCTGACAAGGGATAAACCGGGACTAAAGATCATCTTTAGTCCTGGTTGGTAGATCAAAATTTTTATAACCGGGACTAAAAACAATCTTTAGTCCCGGTTCTTTTTGGATCCGGGACTATTGTGGATTTTGCCGGACCGACGAAAGATGATTTTTCCACCAGTGTATTATAAAAAATTATAGTCGTTCAAACTACTATAAGACAATATTATGAAAATATATTCAATTATTGATCTAGTGAAACTAATTTGGTGTTACAAATATTACTATTTATCTATAAACTTAGTTAAATTTTAAAGTAGTTTAATATTAATCAAAGTAAAAAAAAGTTGTAATTTGAAACGGAGGAAGTACTAATTATGAAAGACTGATGTCAAGCAGCTAGCTAGCTAGTGGTGGCATGCATGCGTGGGCGGGCGGCCGTGTCGGTCGTTGCATTGGCTAGCTTAGCTTGTGCGCGTTGATGACTGGTGAGCTAGGCGCAGCGCCGGCGAGATCGATCAACCTACGTAGATAGGCGTACGCGTTTATTCGTTCGATCTGACGTGGGTTAGCGGGCAGGACAAGCGATCTGTTGTGAACAATGGCCCGATGGCCGCATGCGCATCATTCAAACGCGGCTCACATCGATGAAACTTTTCTCAAACTCTTGTATGAATGCATCACATCGATCGAGTTTTGTGAACATGTTAGATGAGAGAAGCTTACGACCATGTTTGAGAAGAAATAGCAATTATTTGGTCCTTCTTATTCCAAGTAAGATATAAATTTTATTTTGGTTTTCATTAGCACACTAAATCACCATCATTTTTCTATATACAGGTAATTTTCAGGGCAATTTATTGGCTCCGGTTTTTGGCACAATTATAAAAGTGTGATGAAGATGAAGAGTTTCTGAAAGTTGCATGTCGCAAGTTATAGACTACGGTTATGCAACTTTTTGTCAATTATGGTTAGAGATTTACAAATAGACTTCAATGATTGTGATCTCCTTACGTTAGTTTGGATTCTTTGTTATCCTTTGTGGTATGTTTTATTTGTTTGGAATTACGCTCTGAGTGCTACTATGTAATAATTGACTATAACTCTTTTGAGCAAAGACTGAGATTTTATATTCCATTATCTTAAAAAAAACTTAGCACACTAAATGATACGTCTGGTAAAAAAACATTATATGTAGGTAAGTTGTTTAAAATAATTAAAACTTAATTAATCATATGTGAATGGTTTTCTCATTTTATATGTCCATACTTAATCTTTATATTAAGTGAACTCAAACATGACCTTTAAGCATAAAAATCGTCAATACATATAATTAAGCAACTTTCAGTGTCGTCAAATTACAATTATCAAATTGAGTAGGACTCAAACTATAATCATTAGTTTGGCACCAAAATCTTGAGAAAAGAACATCATCATTACAAGTGAAGTCAGACTATAATTTACCAAAAGGACATCTAACTAGTAGCTGTTAACTGTGCAGAAATACTACTCCTAAAGACTATACCAACACAATTGTGTTGGTTACTCTATTGTATACAGTCCTACCCACCCCTTTTAATTAATGAAGTCCACTTTATTTCGTCGCAATAGTTCCAAAAGGAATTGTACCAGCACCAGTGTTAACCGACAAATCTTAAAAGGAAAACACACCTCTCGTCATATATAGCTCAATATCAAACGCGACATTTTGTGGCCGATGCGTGTGCTTTGATGCGTTGAAACACGCATCTTGCATGCATGAGTTCATGAATATATATATAGTACATTGCATAGCGAATTGAAAGAGAGGCATCATCATGTTGATTTGTCTTTGATATACAGATCAGTGTATGCACCAAAGTCTAAGTGTGTATTTTTCCCTCATCGTACGACGACGTACTACGCGTGCATCACATGTACGGAGCCTCTGTCTCTCTCTTTTTTTTTGAGAGAGAGAGAAGCCTCAGTCTCTTTGTTATGTAAGGTAGCTGATAATCCAACCCCTAACCAAAATAGCCATTCTAGGTAGCCACTTAGTTTCTTCGATTCATTCAATTTGCGGACCTGATCTTTTTTTATGGTACTACTACTTGATTTCCCTACATGAGTACTTACATGGACAAGCAAGGTAAACTCTACATATAGATGATCGATCCGGCCTGATATGTATCTATGCACCTCTCTGCAAAATTATTAGATGTGGATGGCACATCTGCAAAATCGTGATTATTTCCCGCGAATATTAACTTATATATATATATATATACACATCACCTTAATATAACAATAGAGTATATGTTTTTAATATGATAAATAATTGAACATATATATAAAAAATCAACGGTCTCATCTATTAAAGCCTATAACATCTTGCACCTGGGCTCTAGTTATAAGGGTTTGGTGTTGTGAAATTTGAACTTGTATATTTGCGTAACGATACATTTGTATTAATTTACATTGTTACTTTTTTATAATTATATATTCTCTCGAGAAATGAAAATGCTTTCCCTAAATAACAATGCATTGGTTGCTGATGTTACTAGCCAACAAAAGAAGGTGACCTCCCAAAGTGATGAGCTAGCTACAAAATTTTCGGTGCACAACGCAAGCATGCCTGCATATATATCCCATCCACACACACACACCCTTATTGCGTGCGTTCGTGCTGCCGCCTACGTGCATATGCGTGCTGCTTTCGCTGTACGTGATCGAATTGGGAACTCTTCTTCTCTTCGATTGTTGCATGCACATACCGTGCATGCCCCATTGCACCAATAATTTCCTCCGATGGCGACCTCGTCTCATCAGCAAGAGGCGAGATCGATCGTCGTCGTCATTGGGCGGCGGCGGCTGATCGTTCGTTCGTTTCATAGGTCGGGGTCACCGATGCGTATGTATGTATGCAGGTTTTCCTCTCATATAGCTCACCTCCAATCGCGTATTCAGTACACAACACTCTACGTGAGTACGTGACGAGTGCAGCAGTGCAAAAGTAGGGAGAAATAATCATGCGCGAGCTGGATTGAACAAACTGAAATACTAACACTTTAGTTACGTTTCAAGGTGATTAGTCAATAGAAAAGGGGAAAAAATAGTGTGCTCCATATAGGGCCTTCGAAAGGGTGAGATCTATTCATGCATATATGTCTCACAGGTTGGGGTTTTTTTCTTCTTTTTTACTCTTATATATGTCCATGATCTCTCAAATATAAGGGTGGTAATAGACTTAACTTTTTAGCCTAAAAAAATTTGAGAGCTTAATTTCTATACACTTTTAGCTTAGGAATATATTTAAAGGAGTAGATAGGATTGTGAAAAAACCCATAGTCCTTGATCCATTACAACCGCTAATTAAATACTACCAAGATTTTACACCACAGAATATGTGGATCTATTGAGACGCGTCGTCGCTCCGCCTTGAGGATGGGCCGACGCCGCTTTGCCACAAAGCCGAGCCGTCGCCCGGGGGGGGGGGGCGCCTCGAGGTGACGAACTTGCCACTGGTGATGGAGCCGTTATCAACCTCCGCGTTAGTGCCGCCGATGTCATCGCTGTTGTCCGAGAGCTGGCCAGACAACAATGAGAGAGCTCACTCCGTTGAAAATTTGCTGACAAGTGGGGCCTACCATATGCACGTCAGCAAAATCAGAGGAATTTTTGGTCCATACTACCATAGGACCTACTTTGCACGGCTTTTAATAGTTGAGGGGTAGAGATTTATGTATTGTGGTTTAGAGACCTTAGACAAACTTGATGTAAAGTTAAGGGATGTCATGTGAACTTAATATTATTTTCAAGTAAAATTCACATTGACATCCGGCCCAGCCCAACACACATATGGGGCCTGGTCATGAGCTGATTGGCTGACAGATCATACGTACTCCCATCAAACTCACAAATAAAGCTCCACTCGTGCGTGCTTGGGTTATTCGAGTCCCACATATGCCTTGTAGTATTACGTAATAATAATAATGTAATTACAGCAGTCGTGATAAATACGGACACTATTCGTTCGTGTTTAAAAGGTTATTTTGAATGCCCCCGGCCCCGCCGCACTATCATACGATCTCGTGCGTGAGATCGCTTAAATTGTAGGCCTCCGACTCATCAGATCGCTTAAATCGCGGTAAATTCGCTGTCCGAATTGAATCTCCGTCGACGGCAATGGCTGAATCCTCCGAATCTGCGTGGCCGCAGCAGAGTCAGCAGCTGCAGATTAGCAGCACAATGCCGGCCGGTTCTGCATGGCCGGAGGAGGAGAATCTCGAGAATCTCGAGCAGCCGCTTCCCCTGCTGATGCCATCGTCGGAGGATCATCGCGAGCAGCAGCTTGTTCCCGTTCCATGGCTGCAGCAGGATCAGGATCAGGAGTGGCATGAGCAGGAGCAGTTTCTTCCCCTCAAAAATCAGAATCAGGAGCAGCTTCAGGATCAGCAACCTCTGCAGGATCAGGAGGAGACGCGTAGATATTTGGGCGTGCCCGGAATCCGGTTCGTGCCGTCGGATATAGAACTTATCCTTGACTTCCTCCGGCCGAAACTACGCGGCGAGCAGCTGCCCAGCTACAGCTACATGCATGTCTGCGACGTCTACTCCGACCATCCTAAAGAACTTAGTAGGTTTGCTGTGTTCAATTTGTACATTTTTTTCTTTGTTAACATATATATGTATATCACACTATATTAACATATCACTATTTTTAGTATTAACATAACTATGATATTTTAGTTTTGTTTTTTTCTTAAACTGTGCATCTTTATCTGTTCTTTGTTAATATATATCACACTATATTAACATATCACATTATTATTTTTGTGTTAATTAACCTGCTATATATCACACTATTTTTCGAGTTTGCTGCTTAATTTTATGCACCTTTCTCTATTCTTGGTTAGCATATTTCACACTGTGTTAACACATCACACTATTTCTGTTTATTAACATATCACATTATTTTTTAGTGTTAACCTATCACACTATTTTTTTTAAGTTTGCCGCTTAATTTATGCATCTTTCCATGTTCTTGGTTAACATATATCACACTTTATTAACACATCACACTTTTTTTTTTGTTCTAGCGAGTAAGCTGGGTCCCAGCCGCGAAGGAAACTGGTACATGTTTTCACCTAGAAACCGGAAATACAACAAAGGCAAAAGGCCTAGCCGAAGCACCGGTCAATTGGGTTTTTGGAAGTCGACTACCAAGAACGAGGCCGTCCTTGACGCCCTCAGCGATAACATGTTGATTGGATACAAGGCATGCCTCACCTATCACGAATACGATGAGAGCATGCCGACGCCAAAGTTGAAGAAAGAGAACGCGATCAAGACGCCGTGGAAGATGTGGGAGTTCGTGTGTTCCAACTCCAACCGGCCGTTCGACGCGGAGGAGGAGCCCATGCGGGTTAGCTACTATCATATCAATCGCATGACTATATATATATTTTCTATTTAGAATAAGCTTATAGAATCACTTTTAAAACAAATGTACCCACATTTGTATTTTATGAAACTGATGAGCAGCCAGAGGTTTAAAAAGTTTGATAAAATAGTTGTTGTGACGATTAGTAGGAGTATAGTAATTCTACTGTGTGTTTTTTTTTTCTTTTTCTCCTGTTTATAAATAGCTCAACGACTGGGTGTTGTGCAAAGTTACCAACAAGGACAACAAAGTTACCACCAAGAAGTTCAAACCACAACGCAGCAAGAAGCCGAAGAAGCCGAAGAAGCTACAGCAGGAGGAACAGCCACAAAACCAAGGCATTGTGATCAGGCAGCCGTCAGAATCCGGCTCGGCCTCCTCGTCGCACCAAGAAATCCCTGGCTCTTCTCTTCCCGGAGCCGGAGGAGACGCCGCGGCCGCGGCGGCGACGGCGGCGGCGGTGGTGGATCCTATGCCATTGCATATGATTCCTCCTTCTTCATGGAATTATTTCAGCACGGGAGTTACTGCAGATGGTATTGTTATGGATGACAGTACGGGAGTCGATTCATATGGTTGTGTAGATGGTGCTGGTGCTCTTAATTTCCAGAGGAACATCTTCTACCACCGTTAATTTCCAGAAGAACATCTTCTACCACTGAAGATGGCAATGGCTTCTGTTCTGTGCAACAGTTTAATTTTTGGCGTTTTTTTTATCTTTCTGTAAATTTGAGTACAGTCTTTTATACTGTAAGTTTCGTGACAGGCTTTTGTGATAGATTGTACGGTAGGCTATTTTGGCTATACGATATGAGATGTTTATTAACTGGGACTACAATCTCTAGTGGATTTAAGGATAGAACGAATAAACTTTTTAGTTAACTCAATAAATCAGATTATGACAGTTTTATTTGGTGGATAGAAAAAATAATCATTCTGCTGGAGTCCTTTAATTTTCTTTTCTTTTTTTTTTCGAACGCGCAAATGGAATTTTTTTTCCTGCACACATGACGGACTGAATGAATTTCTGAAATATGAAGTTCTGAACTGCAATATGGTTTGGCTTATTGTCTGAATGAATTCTGAAATATGGAGTTCTGAACTGCAAATGTGCAATGCAATTTGGTTCTGATCTTTGAGTCTTGAAGTAAACGTAACTCAATTAATTAGATTTCTAAGATTATTTTTTAAATATCAAGATATATCGGCTAAATCTTCGAAGCTATTTATATGGGTAATGGGTGGGTAATGGGTAATGTGTATTAATAGAGGATTAGAGGGTATATGCGCATTTTTACGAGCGCTTGCATCTGTGTCTCGAAAAAAATGAAAAATTCAGAGCCTCTCTACTTACAGCCCCATCGGATGGCCTAATAAGCCAAAGAAAAAGCCAAATTTTAAATTTTCAAGCTTAATTTTAAGATTGATTTTGACATATTTTCAACATAGTTTCTTTTTCAACATTGGCTTTTAAGTCACAAAGAACACATTATAAAAGTTGTACTCACAAATTCATTTTTATTTCCTAATAAGCCGTTTTGACTTATTAGGAAATAAGCCAAACGATGGGGACCTTTAACTACCACAAAACGCTAAACACACCAGCGTCTTGGGCTTCCAGTGTTCCAGTGTGCCTCCGCCATGGCGGGGAAGCAGCTCCCCTCCTCCCTCGCGCGCGCGCGCGCCGCCTCCCCGCGCGGCCTCCTCGCCGCCGCCGCCCTCCTCCTCCTCCTCCTCCTCGCCGCCTCCTACTCCCTCCTCCTCTCTCCCTCCTCGCCCGGTGGCCTCGCTAGCCCTAGCTCCGGCCCCGGCTCCGCCGCCGACACCGCCTTCCTCGCCTCCCTCGACCGCTTCCTCGCCTCGCCCCGCCGCTCCGCGGCCCCCGCCGCGGCCCCCGGCGACCTCGACGCCGCGATCCGGGCCGAGGAGGAGGAAAGGCTCTACGGGGGCGGCGCCTGGCCGGCGGCCCCGGCGCCTCTCAGGGTCTACGTGTACGAGATGCCGAGCAGGTTCACGTACGATCTGCTGCGGCTGTTCAGGGACTCGTACCGCGAGACCTCCAACCTGACCTCCAATGGGAGCCCCGTGCACCGGCTCGTCGAGCAGGTCAGATCGAACTGCTTTCTGCATAGTCGTGGAGAGTGGAGCGTGCTTGGGTTTGAATTTTTTTTGTTCGCAAATGGTGACAAGATTGAGAAAATTGATGTGGATTGCTTGCTGTTTTGGGGTGAGAAGCATTGTGCTACTGTATGATGCGACATTGCAAGTATTCTCTGATGCTTTGGAAGGTTTGGAGATGTTACTGCTACAAGCTTGTGTATACATTAGATCTTAGTGGGTTGATATATTCTGATCCCATTAAGGACTTGTTACCATAGTTTTTCTTTTCTAAAAAAATTGGCGATTGATTAGATACGACCGTGTGATGTATTTGGGATCCGATGCTATCTTGTGAGGTGCATGTGCTTCTGGGTTGGATCCAATTCATAGAGTAGTTTTAGATTTTGATTTTTGTGGCAAGTTTTGTGAGAAGTGAGCTCTGGATATTCCTGACCAGTGACCACATGTAGTTTTTGATGCTAGACATCTTTGTGATTCCTGTTACATTTGCTATTTAGTCTGTACAAATTGGTAGTCATTTGTGTTTCAAGACAGCGGTTGAAGTTTGAACAATGCTCAATTTTGTTTTAACATTACAGATTCCGTACTTAGTGATGTACATCATGTGTCAATCGAGCTTCTGATGTTCTCTTTAAGATCCTGGAATAACTATCTCAATTTGGAAGGATATAATTAACCAGGTTTCACTTGTCGGCAGTATGTTTTTCTTTTTTTCCAATCTCTGATTTGTTATCTGCTCACATATGCAGCATTCTATTGACTATTGGCTGTGGGCTGATCTCATTGCGCCCGAATCACAAAGACTTTTGAAGAATGTTATCAGGGTTCGGCGGCAAGAAGAAGCAGACATCTTCTACGTACCATTCTTCACAACAATCAGTTACTTCTTGCTGGAGAAACAAGAATGCAAGGCACTTTATAGGGTGTGGGAGCATCTCTCAAGGTTTATTTTTCAGCTAGTGTTTGTTGTAGGGTATGCACATGGACTAGCTAGTGTTTATTTACAACTAAAATTTTGATAGTTCCTGCTGGCAGTCTGGCATTCAATACTCAGTAGTAAAGAGAGTTGAACTTTTCTCTAGTCATAACTGGAATAGGGCAAGGCTTTACCTGAGCTCAGTTTTCTTACCATTTTTTGTGATGGCTTTTCTTGGTTCACTTGACTGTAGGGATCATTTTCATCTATTTCTCCACATGTTGCACAATATATTCACCTAAGTTTATTATCAAGTGGACTTTGTCCTGAAATTTGTTCACCTAGGTGGCTAGGTTTATTTACAGAAGGATATTGTCATGAAATTTCTTCACCCAAGTTTATTTGCAAGAGGACAGTATTGATATTGTTGTTTTGTTGGTGTTAGGAAGCTTTGAAATGGGTTACTGATCAACCTGCTTGGCAACGTTCAGAAGGCAGAGATCATGTAATTCCCGTTCATCACCCATGGTCGTTTAAGTCAGTTCGGAGATTTGTGAAGAAGGCTATATGGCTTCTGCCTGACATGGATTCTACTGGGAACTGGTATGGTATTAATTGTCTGCTGCTTTGCCTTAAATAGCTTCTGCGTGCAATAGTTGTGTTACCAAACTCAGTTTCGCCCCTTTTCTCAGGTATAAACCAGGGCAAGTTTATTTGGAAAAGGATGTCATCCTTCCATATGTTCCAAATGTTGATCTTTGTGATTCTAAGTGTGTATCAGAAACTCAATCTAGAAGAAGCACATTGCTATTCTTTCGAGGAAGACTGAGAAGGAATGCTGTATGCTTCTTCTTGTCATTTTCCAGTTTTCGACAGCATGAAATACATGCACGCAATACTTCAAATTCAAGTTGGCTTATGTGAATCTTAATTCTTTATTCTGTTTTTTGTTTAGGGAGGCAAGATCCGCAGTAAACTTGTGACAGAACTAAAAGATGCAGAAGGCATAATCATAGAAGAAGGGACTGCTGGAGCTGACGGCAAAGCAGCAGCTCAGAACGGCATGCGCAAGTAAATATACAATTCTATTTTATTTGTATTGTAGCTGTTACTGAATATATTTGACTGGCAGGTCTCTCTTTTGCTTGAATCCGGCTGGGGATACTCCATCTTCTGCTCGTCTGTTTGATGCAATTGTTAGTGGTTGCATACCAGTTATAGTCAGTGATGAACTAGAGCTTCCTTTTGAAGGAATACTTGACTACAGGAAGGTAAACTTGATTTATCGCAGTATTAATGCACTGTTTTCTCATACCACATATCTTAGTAAAGGTTTTACTACGTACTCCCTCTGTTTCAGGTTATAAGACGTTTTGACTTTGGTCAAAGTTAAACTGCTTCAAGTTTGACTAAGTCTGTAGAAAAAATAATAATATTTTCAACTCAACACAAATTTATTATGATTCAATTATTGATTTAATGAAACTAATTTGGTATTATAAATATTACTATATTTGTGCATAAACTTAGTCAAATTTAAAGTAGTTTGACTTTGACCAAAGTCAAAACGTCTTATAACCTGAAACGGAGGGAGTATATCTGCGTGGAGCTCCAAAAATTGATGTCTTGCTTGAAGAACGGGATGCTGTGCTACTTTCTATTTGCATGCCCCAAACAATCAACAAATGGCCATGTATATGTCAATAGTCAGAGACTTAGGGTAGCTCAATGGCCATGTTGTCAGCTAGTTTGACAGGTCTGGATTCAATTCTACAAAGGCTATTTGTAGCAACCCTACTTTTCTGCACCAGTTAAGTCTCTGAAGTTTCTGTGATTTCCTTTTTTTTTTTTTTTTGGGGGGGGGGTCTGTGAAATTTGACATGCCTATTAGTTCAGTATACTTCAGGAGTTTTTTTACTTTGTGTACTTGCACCATGTGCTTATGCTTGTGATAAAAAACAAGGAGAGAAACTACCTCAGTGATTTTCCATTATAAATTAAATAAAGGCCCTCGGTGATTGATCCACTATAAACTAAAGAGCAGTTGGTTGCTATTCTGCATATACTTCACAATCTGTGGATACTTCATGTCTTGAATAACCAACATGTTTACTCGAGTCTTTTATGGTAGCATGATGGTTTTTTCATGTATTTCGCATTTGCATTTGTGTTGCTGCAATTTAAAGCACATATTTTCTATAATGAACTGCAGTGTGCAATGATTGATTTGTTCTGCAGATAGCTTTGTTCGTTTCGTCAAATGACGCTGTTCAACCTGGTTGGCTGGTGAAGTACCTGAGAAGCATTGATGCCAAAAGGATCAGACAAATGCAATCAAATCTTCTGAAGGTTAGCTTGGTATTTTAACATATATTGCATGAAGTTTTTCGGAAGCTTCAATTTTGTGGACAGCAATTTTACTTGTGATTCATTTACAGTACTCTAGACATTTTCTATATTCAAGTCCTGCTCGACCTCTTGGACCTGAAGATCTTACATGGAGAATGGTAATTCTATTCAAACCTTTGTAGCATCCCTAGATACTTAAGTAGCTGTGCCATGAAAAGAGAGATTTTCTTGCAACAACTTTTGTTAACACCACAAGCATTCCCATCACTCTATGCACATCATGCTTTAAAGAGCTAAGGTGTTTCATTTGCAGTTGCATTTTTATTTATGTAAATCCCCTCAATGAATTCATATGCCCACTTATGGAACCTGAAATGCAGATTGCTGGTAAGCTGGTAAACATCAAGTTGCATATTCGACGGTCTCAACGCGTGGTCAGAGAGTCAAGGAGCGTATGTACATGCGACTGCAGAGTGGGGAACAGCACGAAGATGTTTTGAATCTACCTTCTGTTTTGTCTTTCCTACTTCCATAGCTTAGCGATTCTTTAGTTATTACTTGCCCGGGCTTCTGATCACTAAGGCGCTTGTGTAAATTGTTCTTGAAAAAACACATCATAGTTTTGATCCATTTTGCCCGTAACATGTGTAATTGGGGTGTAACAATACTTCGGTTGAAGACTTGCAGATATGCAGTGTGCCAAATCCTGTGATGATAGAAACTTTATACTCAGATTGCATGACACCCAATGTTAAGGAACAAGATGTCCTCTGATGTAATCAAGGTTTTATTATTTGGCACATGCTTCAGTGATATTGTGGAATGACTAGCAGTTCTACTTGCTTGAACTTTACTCTTCATCGCTAAAGTAGGTAGTAGCTTTTTGCCTGATCTTGTGATGGTTGAGAAATCCAAAGTCACGTCGTAGGTAAAAGCGAGCATTACCGGCGCATCGTATTTTTATAGTTAATTCAACGAAAAGATCTGCAACTACTCGAAAGTTTGCAACCGCATTGTGTACCTAGCTTTGAACCAATTATAGAGAAAAATCAAGACAAATCCAGAGACTTTCGAAGAACCATATGCCACCATATCAGCATTCATCCAAATATCTCAGCTTCTGAATTCACAGCTGACCGCGAGGGGTTCAGTCCCAACTTTGCCTACCCAAACATCATCGACTGTAGTCAGATCAGCAGCATCACATCCCCCCCCCACCCCCCCCACATAATTTTACAAAATTGATCTTGCAAGGCCTACAATCACACATCGCAAGAGACACCACGAGAATGGGCATTGCAAATGTTGCACTAATTTACTATTACTACTTCCACAGCGGCAAACGAGGTTAGCCATTTGAAGTAACCAGCTTCTCCATACTTCTAAAGTCTTGAACATAGTCCACTTCCTAGTACCACCAAAAAAGCAAAAGGATCTGCAAAAGCAAGACAACCAGTGAGAGCTTATCCCAAGATAAGTTTTCCACAAATAGAGGAAAACAAGGAGCTAGTTTAAAAATCATAGTAAGTACTAAGTACACCCTTCTTAACAATCTGAGATGCTAAATGACAAGTTGGTATACTTAACAATATTCACAAGCCCCTTTCTGGTGTCATGTAAACGCTGCCAAATGCAATGCAGTGTTTTGAAAGAGACAGTGAACCTCAGATATGATATTCTTGTATTCAAAGTAATTAAACAATCAGAAGCAACAGCAAAGTTCTAAGTTTGAATCTCACATCAACTTGGCAGGACAGTAATTACGTTGACAGATAAGTGAGATAACCAATGAAGTAAAACAAATTAGTCATTTGAAATAAACGATCAACAACTACTGTGGCTGTGCTGTAATATGTCTCAATAATGGTCTTGAAAATAAAGAATCTCCAATGACAGGGTCACATGAGTAACCATATCCTTGCAAGTTGCAATGCATTCCTAGAACACAGTTATGTGGAAGTACGAATTATTCAACTGCAAACAAGCTATGATAGAAGACCTATAGGGAGAAGGGGGTTTGGTTTTTTTTTTTGGGTGGGGGGGGGGGTGTTCTCAAATGTCAAATCCTAGCTTTTAATTACAGGGGCAAAATTCTGTATGGAGGATATAGCTGCCTACAGCAAATAGTTGCCTTACTGCATAAAAGAAATTCACTGCAGATTGTTGCCACTCACAATGACATGAGGAGTGATACAAAACGTCCAAAATAAAAGAGATTAGTTTTGAGTTAATTATGATGGTTGACCTACTACAGCCTACAGGGGTAGTAGCCTAACAGCTTATTATTTTTAATTTTAGGACCAAGTCAGAAGTCCATATGAAAGGCAGCGCAGCATAAGCATGCATGGCAGCAAGAATGGACATAGAAATAATTGCATGCAGAATGGAAATCAGGTGAGAACAAGAATGCATGAGCAGGACAAGCAGGAATTTCTAACAGCAGAGAAATTATTAGTATGCACGGTGGTCAAAGTTGAAAACATCAATAAGGTGAATTTTTTTACCAGGTAAATATATTTGCATGTTGATAAGATAATGCACATCTTCAACAGTCAGCTAAAAAAGCCCCGGCAATTTGAGGATCCACAAAGGCAGTTCTTAGCTCTAGAACCTACACCCCTAGATTCACATCCGATGTCGCCATAGTCATAAGTCAGTTCTGTCATGGGAGGAATATGCTTCAGTGCGAAGAACATGATGTGTGGATAACCATCCTCTCCATGGTCAAATTGAACTGGTTGCCAGAAGGTGTTAGGGTTGCAACTATGGTTCATGAAACGTGCAACATTTCCCATTTTCATTGCACTTATCTTGATGGGCAGCGGCTCAAAAGTATCAGCTGAAATATTTATGCTGTGTTCCCCTATCAATTCAGGCCCATAATTCCATTTTAATGTCTTCTCGCCAGGACAGACAGTTCGAAAAAGATAATCATCTTCACCATCCAAATTAACTTTAGTATCATCAACAACCTCACCAACATACTCACAAATAAATGACCCAGCCCGTATAGGATCCCATGAACGAAGACCCCAGCCTCGATTTGTTGTCCTGAAGACCTCAAGGTGGATCCTTACTCCCTTTTGGGCTACCCTATTACGACAGTTGATTGAACATCGGCAAGATTCACCACATTCATATACCATAAGCTTGCGACATACAAGCAATCCGGATGAACTGTACGGTAAGTCACCTCCATTATGCTGTGCACAATCACAACTGGTATCACCAGGCAGACAAACACTAGTGCATCTGCAACCCTGAAATGGCTTCATAGAGCGGAGTGGCTTCAAGTACTTGACCTGAGTAATATAGTTGAAGTGCCCTGGTCCTTTCTCACTGTTAACATCATTGATAAGACACACTGGGAGATTTTCAGCACCTGATGATAGATCAGGGTGCAAAACTTTGCCTCTAGCAGCTGGATTTTCTACCCATCTCTGGCACATCTTCCAGATTGCAACTGCATCAGGCTGTCCTGGCTCTCGCTGCAACTTGTACTTGAAACAATTGATCCCAGTCTTTGTTCTTTCTTTCCAGGACTCATGAATCTTATAAAGACCATCATAGATATAAACTTTCCCAGTCAAGCAAGCTGGATCCTTGTAACCACGTACAACCCGGATCACGTTCTTTCTGGACAGGCTCCTCTCAAGAGCAAGGTTACCCCTCTCAAGCTTCTGGTCCTGCTTCTCCTCACTGTTCCTGCTTATACCTCCAGAACCACTGTAGACCAGTGTATCTGTATCATCATCATCATTCTCATAAACACCTGCAGCAACAATACATATTGCTACAGAGTCATCCTCATCACCAAACTTATTCATATAATCAATTCCACCCATGCTAGGTGCATGCAAGCCGATAATGCATAGCTCCATCCTGAAGTAGAAAATATCCCCTACTTCAACTCCAGGGACAGCTCCAATCCTCTTCCCAATGTTAGCCCTCAGATTACTGGCCAACATGATGGCACCAGCCTTCAGGTCTGCACGTTTGCTAGTCTCTTGTGTCTCATCCAATTGAAGATGCCTACGCCGCAGTGCCTCGAAGGTCATGAGAAGCACTTCCACAACCTCCCTGGGATCGCTGGATGGAGGCATCAAGGAAATCTCATTGTCAGTAGCAGCCTTCCTATTAGAGGTCTTAGGGCGTTTCTTTGTTCCGTTGGAGCTGTCGGTGCCCAAACCATCACTTACATTATATCCTTTGAGATGGGATGGCCTCTTGATCTTCCGTCCAGATGCTGATGTTTGGTTACCACCGTAAGGCTCATCATCATCATTGTCATCATCATCCAGTGATATCACACTTGGTTGTGTTGATTTGCAAGCTGAGATAGGAGTGGCGTCAATTGGCCCAGTTGCACTAGCACCTACATTTGGAGTCCCATTTGCAACAAATTCACCTCTGACAGTTTCCTGACCACCAAAAGCAGCAGTCTCGCCTCTACCAGCATCCTGATCACCGCCAGCGGCAGTCTTGCCTCCACTAGCATCCTGATCACCACCACCAGCAGTCTTGCCTCCACTAGCATCCTGACCACCGAAAGCGGCAAACGATCTGACCGCAGGAATGTTCAAAGATCCAAAACCCCCAGGAAACTGCCCAGCTGGTGCGACAAATACCAACGGTGGGGCTGTCAACCGGTTAAGCACATCGATCCCCAATGGTGCAGGGAACATTGGAGCCAAAGTCCTCAGGGGCTTGACTTCCAGAACATCCTGATCAGGAGTAGGCATGAAATTTGATTCCCGGTTCATCTTCACTAGTATCAGCTGACTATCTGCATTAACAAATCACAGGTTAATCCCGGCACATCACTGTTTGCCAAAATGAACAAAAAAAGGAACAACCTTTAGCATCTGCATGCGACTTCTCTAACCTCTATTCGCACAATTCACTTCAAAAAAAAAAAAAAGAGAGACAACTTTGACACTTGACAGATGCAGGGGCCAACACTAACACGGGGCATGGGGGTTCAGCTCAAACCCCAAAGTTTTCATTTTTATTTCTTTCGGAAACGAATAGAGATCAGTACTGCAACATGCATCAAAGAACCCCTCCCACCCCAAAATAAAATAAAATAAAAACTCTGTGTGTGTTAAGTGGAGGGAAAGAAATCAATCCCAGGTCAGGATGGATACCCTACCTACGCCGCCCCACGAATCATCGCGGAAGAGGAGGTAGAGAGAAGAATGAATACCTTCAGTTCGTTCGATTCGATTCGAGAAGAGACGAGACGGAGGTCAGTGGAAGGGGAGGCCAGCCACACCGCCCTCTCCGAACCAGCTCGCTGGCCCTGCGCGAGAGCAAAGCTGAGGTGCGGAGGAGGAGAGTGGGATCGCGAAGGAGAGTAGGAGCACTTGCACACGCCGCGCACTCCGAGGCCGCTCGCCAGCGGCGCGCGCGAGGAGGCGAGGAGGAGGCGGAAGGCCGGCCGCGGCCGCGGCTCAGCACAAGGAGGGAACACACACAGAGTGAGCAACCGAGGAAGCGAGCGAGAGAGAGAAAAGAAGGCAATGGTCAATGGAGGAGAGGAGAGAACATCAAGAGGGCATTCTGGTCATTCTTTATTTTTTTTCTCGGTTTTTTTATTCAAAATTAAAATCCCTCCTCGTTTCCATCCGCAGGAGTGGAAAGGAATGCTTTGAAGAAATTTTGCATATTTTTTTGTTGGAATTAATTTCATTCCTAAAGAATTAGTAGTAGCATCTATTGGAAAGCAATAGAACGTTTTCACGATATTCTAATCCAAACCACATATTATGTTTTTCAATAGCCTGTCAAATAAGTAATAGAATGTCTTCACGATATTCTAAATCTATTTTGCGTAAAGTATTTCTAGAGATCCACGAAATTCTAAATCTAATTGGCGTAAAGCATTATAGGTAAGTAATAAATTAATTTTACAACATTCTAGATCCACATGGTTTATCGTATTTATGAAGAATCAATAGCATGTCAGGTAACTAGGTAAGCAATAAAATGTTTCCACTATATTCTAAATCCAGTTCGCGTGCAATATTTCTAAAGAATTATTAGCCTACTGGGTTAATAAAACGTTTTCACGACATTCTATATCCAGATTATGCATCACATTTCTAAAGAAGTAATAAAGCATTTTATGATCTGGATCACCTATGTATTTTAAAAAAATCAAAAGCTTGCTATATAGTATGTGTTTTCACAATATTTTCGAAATCTAGTTCACATAGTAAGTGCTGGGTACTTGGGTTGGGTGAACAACCAATCATTGAAACAACATGTAGATGCATATGGAGGCCGATGGATCCAGGCGGCGACGGGTGATGGCGACGACGATGAGAAGGTGCTCGATCTTTGCGAGGACGGAAAGTGGAAGGAGGAGCGGTGTGGGGCCCACGATTGGCAACCAGGTTTAGCCAGCTAGTCCAGATGTCTAAGTTTGGCTAGCTAGAAATCCGGTTAGCGGGTCTGCTATCATTTATAGTTCACAGTTACCAAATTTTAGCTTAGAGAGTGTGATAGTCATACTGTTGGAGATGCGTTAAGAGCTCTAAATGACAAAGGGTTGGCATTAATGTACCTGGAAGATCAATTTATTATCTCTAATCCATAGAGTGCCAACCTTTTCATTAAGCACCATTGGATCATCAAGTCTATTTTTCTCTCTTCTCAATGAACGTCTTGCGATCAAGATCCATTTTACTTCTTGATGCTACTTCCATTGTAAAATATAGGATAACTATTTTTTTTCGATGTTTCGTAATAAGACATGCATACATGTGAAGACGATAAATTGTCTTTCTACATCCTTCGCCCTCAAAATCTTTTGAGGTTATCCAAATGAGAAAACGATATTATCTTTTTATTGATCTTTTAATATAAAGGGCTAAACGGCTCGAGCAAAGTGAGACTGAACAAAACACGATTCTGATAGCTAATATAACATCGTTGTCTGCCGTCACATGGCACCATCATTACAACACGTCACCATGAACCGCTGCAACTATTACATCTCCGTCTCTACATCTCCATATTTTATACTGATGATGTAACTGATGTTGCAAGATGCCTTGGATGAGCAACAAGTTTCAAGGCCTCACTGGCTTTGCCGAGAGAAACAGGGTAGATAGGATGGACATACAGAAAGGGCTTCCTTTAAGCATGTATCTTCAGTGTCAATAATTTTAAGTTTCATACATCTTCAATCCTAATGTCATCATAATTATCGCTGTAATTTGACTTTTGTATGCCTGGATTTACTATAAACGATAACGTAATGTACAATTTTAACTGTGAAACACTAAAATGTCGCTTGCAACTTCCACCATGACAATCATATCTAGGGCGAGACAGGAAAATATTTAGGCAGGAGATGTTCTGACTCAAGGAAAAGTTAAAATGCACCAGAGCTGCATGAAAACCAACGGAAACAAAATTTTTTCTACAGTGCTGAATATCTCTCAGGTGATCCTTGAGACTAGTGAGAATAACACTTGATCTTCCAACCTTGCTCTCCTATGAAGATCGCAGTCTAGAAGGTATTAACAATGATAAGATACTTAGATTTTATAAGAAGCTGTTGCTGATAGAGAGAATTATTGCTTACTTCCACAGTACTCAGGTTCAAATCCATAGAATCAAAACGGCTGTAGAAAGAAGAACTTCAAGTACCAGAATAAGCTCTATTTATTATCGGAGCCAAAAAATAAAGAACAATCCTCAATATATGTAACGTGGGTAAAAGCATAATATGATTTGAAACACTATATAATATAACATGTGGACCTTAAGACATCTAATATTTTTGTCATTTAGTTACTCTTTCAGGCTCAACAACTTCAATAATCTTCCCAAACCCATGCATAGGAGTAATGTTTATTGGATAAGAATGAAGTGAGGCGCTAAATTTTGAGTCACAAAAAAAAGAAGCAAAAATGGCATAACAGAAGGTGCATCAAGCCAGCAGCTAATCAGATGCACATGACTCACCAGAGTAAACAGACAATCTTCCCTTCATGGCAGAACACAAGAGGTAGTTGTCCATCATAAGTTGCAGGGCCATATGGGCAGTACTGTCTTACTGTCCTCTGCAGCTCTAGGATATATATACTGCTTCAATCTGGGCAAATTGTAGTTCATGTATGCAAATACTCCACACATCTTTCTTCTTCTCTCATTATCACACGTCTTCTCATGCACATGGAACAGAAAGGAACTGGGACCTTTTATTCAAGATAGGAAACCATAAACTATGTATCAAATAGAGGAATGAATGTTTCAAAAATTGGACTTCTTACCGCATAGCCAGACCCACAGTATGCAGTTATACATTCATTCTATCCACATGATAATACAGAGAACTGAGAATCGTGCTGTATCTAACACCACAAATCATTGAGTATTTCATAGGATTCTACGGATAACTGCTAAAATCATGCCATGATGCCAAAGCATAAAACAAGAACAATATAATCAGCTAATGGGGATCAGATATACTATATCAGTTCACTTCCCTCCATGTCGCATGAACCCCAAGTCCTTAAGTATGGAGTTTACCCCCTGATGTTCACATGAGAAATATGAACCAAATATAATGACTAATCAAATGATAGTTGTAATTGCTTCTACTGCCATCTTTAATCTTTCAGAAAAAAATGGAACAGTTGGCTCCATCACAACACTATGGCAGATAAGAGATGAGACTTTAAAGTTATTTCAATTAAACATTCATTTGCTCAAGTGCTTTAAGCAATCCAGACATCACAATTCACATGCATGTACACAACTACCACACATAGAACAAAACGAACAGAGCACATTAAAAATGGTAAACCATGAAGCTCGATTTTGTACAAAACCATGAAACTGATCGCTGCAATTGTTAGCATACATTTACAAACTGTCAAAACATGATCTCAACTACAGATCACGACCCATCTGCACAGCTCAGCTCTGAAATGAGAGCCCAGGCCAATCAAACAGATCTATGAAAGAATTGTGTGACATCTCTCGACGAAATCGTGTGACATCTCTCGACGAAATCCTCCAAACTTACAAGTTTACAACAAATTGTTGCAGCAACATCCCTCAGATCATATAACAGCGCACTAATACCAACCTAGAAAAATAATCGCGAAACGGATAAATGTGGAGAAATCAACTACAGAGGGGGGAGGGAGGAGGTGTAGCGGGTGGCGCGCGCACATCAGAGGAAGCCAAGGAGGACGGCGGCGCCGAGCACGAAGAGCCAGACGATGTGGACGAGCAGCAGCGCCTGCCCGGAGACGGGCGCGGAGCCGGCCCCGACCTCGCAGTACCCGCGCCGCGCCACGCGCGCGCCGGCGCAGGCGGCCTCGGGGCACCCGCACCAGTACGTGACCCCGTCGGCGCCGCAGACCGGGTCCGGCCGGAAGCACCGCACGGGGCAAAGCTGGGCCTCGCTGCCCCCGTCCGACACGGGGGCGGCGCAGGGGTCGGAGACCTCGGCCTCCGCGGAGGACGAGGCTAGGGTTTGGGCGAAGAGGAGCGAGAGGGACGCGAGGAAGAGGACGAGGAGGCGGAGGCGGGCGGTCGGGGTGTAGGAGGGCGGCATGGCGGCGGAGGCGGAGTCGCCGGCGGCCGGTGGTCGCCGGCGAAGGGATTGGAGGGGATCACGGCGGTGGTGGGGGTGGTTGGGTTTGGAAGTGGACGGCGAGGCGGTGGAACGGGTCGGAGTTTAGACAGGGGCCGAAGCTTCGGGTGGCGTTGGTGGGTGCGCGTTTGGTTGGACTTGGCTGGCTGGATCGCGTTGGCGACTTGGCGAGACCGGCCGCCGTTGGGTTGGCCGTCTACTCAGTTTTGTTTTTGGAAGTGTTTACTTTATTATCATTTTAATTAACACTATTAAACTGGATTTGAGAAAAGCACTAGTATTAAAATTTAGTGTTACCAAATTATGGATCAGCAATAAACTAAACATGATCTTATAACATAAAATCTTACCTTTTGATAGTTTCAGAGATTTTAGGTTGGTAACGAACTAAATATAACCTTGCTAAATACAATTTTCCAGAATTTGGTAGTTCTAAAAATTTCCTTTCATAAAAATACTATCAAAACTTAGGAAGACATCAAACTAATTTGACATTACCAAATTTTAGTCTATCATTTTGGTAATAAAATTACTCTCTTTCATTCTTCACACAAGTTTCATTAGCGATAATCCCCGTTCAAAAAAAAGCGATCAGGTATATCGGAACATTTGATTTTTCAGATACCTATTTTCATTCAGCAATCTTCTGATGGCGTGCCACAAATTATTTCCCGATTCGATTCTTCTCTTGCGGTGCTAAGTCGCCGTCCAGCCAACATGTGTTACATAGTTATGCAGGCAACCGTATTCATTTTTCACAAGTTACTTTGCAAGCTGAGAATTTTGCAATGTGACGGACAAATATATCATCAGGTAAGGTTGCAGTTAATAGTTTTGGAGGCAAGGTCGCTAAAATGCGATTCAAATGTCAAGATACTGCAGGAAAAACATCATTGAGTCGTTCAATCTTGGGTGAACACCAAAAAAGGCAAACGCGAAACGAGCAATTCATCAAGATTTAAGGGACAAGTTCAGTCAAAAGTCAGATATCCATTCACTGTCCAGCATCAAACTTTCCATGAATTTAGTACCATAAGTACATGCGAAGTTTTAAAATCCGACAGAATGGCCATGTCCCTGTGTGCCAGTAATGACATCAAAGATTTCATCAGTGGCCAAACGTAGAACATAGTCGGGTCTCCTCTTAATCAGCATCCATCTCCTCAAGCGCTGCCTGAGCTGCAACCTTGGCCTGCTCCAAAAGATCAGCAGGAACCTGTATGCAGTATGCCAAGTGAGCAAAGTTCACAAAAATATGGACAGAGTTTATTTATTTTTAAATAACAACAGAACACCTTCTGATGCTGGCGATTTGATTCATCACATATCCAGCTTAATTCCAACTCAAAAGCTTTGTCCTTAGCTTCATCATGTACTCCATAAATGCTGCACAGAACAAATTATAAGAAAGTGAGAACTGTTTTTTTTTTGTCAGACAAGTAGCTTTATTCAAAAAGGATTTCTAAATATTATTAGAGAAAAAACATCCCAAACTATTTTGTTAGTCTGCTTTGTTCATTACCATCAGTTGACATCGACAGTTCATGCGAGCTAGAACCTACCTTTAAAAGAAGAATCTACCTACAATAAAATGTTCCAATATGATTATGTAGCCAACTACTCCCACTATGCCAAAATAAGTGCTCCTTAAGGATTAAAATTTGTCCCAAAAAAGTGCTCTTTTAGAGTACTACTTATCCTATCAATCACCACCCATTCAAATTCCTCCACGTCTTCCCACTCCTAACTATCCCTCGTTTAATAAGAGCAAGTTTAATAGTATAGCCAACCACTAGCTCCAATTCATCTATAGCCAATCTAATAGCTCATCTATACAATAGTTACATACTACACTATTAATACCTGGTCCCACCTGTCATACACACACTGCGTCTTGTAGTCCGTGTTACAGCTGGCTACAAATCTGTAGCCCGCTGCTTTTCTCTCTCCTTATTTATCTCTTTAAAATATGTTTGCAGCTGGCTTACAGCTTGCTATTGTACATACTCTAAGAGGTATCTAGGTCATTTCCCTCCCCTCATAATTTGGCTTTCCAATGCTAGAAGGCGCACTTATTTTGGGACAGAGGGAGTACTTTTATTTTAAAGCAGAAATAACTAAATGATTATTACTACCTCTGTTATATTTTAGATGATGTCTAGGACATCAACACAATTTCCGATTCACATGTTTGATCATTGTTCCTTTCTAGTCATACCTTTAAATATTATTAAAAATACAACTACATGAATTTATTTTTGATGATAAATCTATTAATGTCACTTTCCACATATGAAATCTGACCCTTTTTGCATTAATTAGTGAGTAAAGATTTCAAGGTTTAACTGCACATGTTCTAGAACGCCATTTACTGGGAGTAGCAAATAAATCTTATGCATGATGTTGCAGGTATAACCACTAGAACGAAGAATGGCATCAAACATATGTGAAATCAAATAATATATAGAAAAATATGAATGAAAAAAACTGTAGATGATATGCATTCAGTCAAAACAAAGTGCAAAATTCATGAACACAATTATATTATTATTGTTGGAGAAAGGGTGTTCAATACATACATCTTTGCAACCTCCACAATGCCTTCCCGGCAGGTAAGCTCGGAAAGCTTCAACTTCTCTATTTCACTGAAAGACAGCATTTGAAAAGTTGGAATCAGAACTATTCTGATGACCAAGATGGTGCAAATCGAAGCAAAAGCTAATGTTGGATGCTCAACAGTAGCTACCAACAAGACATCAGATCCACACACAGATAGACAATTACAGAATTGACAGGCTTGTTCTGTAGAGGTCGATCTAAAATGATTGCTGAGAGTTCTCATCAAACAAGTCCTAATTTGCATAAGCTATATGGCTTAATGGTACCTCTTTCCTCTATGAGAAGGGTAATGATGACCAAAAACACATATTCTCTTTCCTCTATGAGAAGGGTAAAGATGACCAAAACCACATATTGAAATTTCATGAAAAGTGGGTTTTAAACCAATCCCACCCATCTGTACATGGATCATTGGATCCACATTAACACTCCAGTGATTCACACAAATTAAGTGATGGGTCAATACAACAAAAGGCATAACAACCGTTAAACATGTAATTGTATCAGTATGTTAATGTGGTTTGGTCGTTTCATACTTCTATGTTAAAACCAAACAAAACATGGATGGACATTGTAAGGATCTGATGATTACAAATGCTAAGATGGTATATGGATTATGGACAATGGAGGAACTACCCTCCCTCATATTCCAATTATCAGCAAGCTGGGTTGCGATGAATTAACAATACCTGTGTTCTCTTGGAAAATATGAAATAGTTAATTTTCATAATTGCACCAACTTTGTTTTAAAACAGAAGATATTAGTGCTGACAAAGAGAGCACCCAATACAATTTGAAGCTGATAAACTTACGTTTTTGCAGCCTGTCTTCCTTTACCCAGAGCAGCACCAAAGTATTTCTGTTCAGGATTCAGCTCAGTGAATAATATGCTCAGATCCCAGAAGGAACTATAAAAATATCTATGTATAAAAATATGGTGTGGAATGCTCCTATATGCATCCATTGAACAATTTAATTGCTAATAATGGTTCACATAGAGATGAAAAAAACAAAAACCAAGAGCCTAAGACGAGTTTGACTTCTTGTGTACTGTAGTGTTAGCTTACGTATGAGACTCCTGAGGGTTCGATCATGTAGAGCTGTGGCCCATCCCTATCATAACCTCCAAGAATAACTCCACAACCAAAAGGCCTGATACATGTAAATATAGTTAGAATCAACTAACCGAACAATAATTATTTTATTAAATCATGTAAGCCATGTCTCCAGTAATAATGCAACAATTATGCCAACGTCTTACCTGAGCCACCAGTAGAGTGTACAAAGATGAACGTAGCTAGCCACACGATCAGCCAATTCTTTTACAGAAATGGGTTCACCATAGACCCTAGTACATCACAGCATTAGAGGATAATCATAAAATTATGTCTACATGGCCTACAAGTTTATGTGCGTACTTCTCATAACTGGCCGCTTCCGATTTTGCTCTTGAAACAATTTGCCTGCCATCTGCAGCTAAACCAGCAACAGCCTGGAAAAAATATTTTATAGTTAAAGGACACGATGTGTTATGGGGTGAGTGGAAGACAAAGATGGGGAAAAGAAGCCCCGACAGAGAACAACTTCTTTTACCATAACATTAATGAGAATTATATCCTAGAATATAGAGGTAGAAATTAAAATATATAAACAACATCCTTGCTTTATTCTTCATCAATTGTACTTTTTTTACACTGAAATCGTAATACATTTGAGGATCTATGTACAGGGAAGCAAGATGTTACCAAGCCAGAGTGCCAGTGCACTGAATGGATCCTCCTATTAGATCCCTCCAGCATCATCTTCGAAGTTACTAGCTTCTCCACACCCTAAAGAACCAACAAACAAATGTCAATCGAGCACAAAAAATACACCTCTTTGAAATTTATCTATCAGTTTGCAGACATTACCAGGACGATTCCATCTTTGCATTTGATTCCAACAACAGTCCTGTTAACAAATATTAGAACGTCATTACATAATTGCACACAGAAAGGAAGAAGCGGTAGCAAAAGGAAGGAAAGAAAGGGGAGCAGTTAAACCGAACCCGCTGTTGTCGACAGCCTTCGTGGCATACTCAACCTGGAAGACGCGACCATCCGGAGAGAAGGTGGTAACGGACAGATCGTATCCTGTGCCTATGCTGCTCATCTTCAACTATTCTGTGTTATCTACTCCTGAAGAAAACACGAAAAAACCCTAAGGATTAGCTGTCTATAATCCACATCCACACAATCAATCAAAACAGAAGATCACCCCATACTGCGCTCAGCAATGCATGAAAGAAGATCTTACTGCGCATCAAATGAACTAAATTCTTAACTAAAAAAACATCCTACAAAATAGTCAAGAGGGGGTTCTTCATCTACGGGGCTCCACGCCTAAACCATGGGCAGGGCATGTACACTAATTGGACGGAATAATTCCCCTAGAAACACCTATATTTGGAACAGATTTCCTGAAATTCACAGCGGAGACCAGAACGAACTAGATCAGGAGCGAAATCGATCCCAGGGAAGAGCTAGGGCATACCTTACGAAGAGAAGAAATCGGCCCCTGCGTGCAGATCCCCGATCCACTCCCCGCCAACCCAGTAGAGGGAGCAGGGAGGAGCTCCGGCGGCGGTGCCGACGGCGACGGCGGAGGAGTAGACCGGAGAGGAGAGCGGCGGGGAGGCAACCGGGTGCAGACTGACGAGACGAGACGGGATCGAGAGAGAGAAGGAGATTTCTTTCTTTTGGGGTTTTTTTTTTTCACTCCCTATTTTTTTCCTTTTTTTGCTTTTTCTTACGGTCCAAGCCGAGAGAGAGACGGAGGAGCAAAAGCGGCGCGATGCGATTTGGTCCACGAGCCCATAAACGAGTCGGGCTCAAAGCTACCATCACGGAGCGCGGCCCACCATGCAAGAGCCCACTACACGCGCGCTACACGGGGAATAAGTTCTCTTTCGGTCCCTCAAATTTGTCGCTGAACGTCAAACCGGATGTCCGGATCACATTCCCCAACTTTAGAAAAAAGTGCAAACGAAGTAGCTGACATATAACACCTACGTGGCTCCTTTAACTAGATATTATTTCCACGTGACATCGATGTGACATTTACGTGGTTGTTTGATTTAAAATGATAAAAAAGAGAAAAACTGAAAACTAAAAAATCGATTTTATCTACGGTGAAGACGTCTATGACGGTGCCCGGACGACTACCCGACCTATCCGAGAGCTGGTTACCGCTGCACCAACCGATGAGCTCTCGTGGCAGAGAAAGTCAAGACTCAAGAGCGGTGATGCGAACACATGAAAAAAATAGCAAAAAACCGTACCGAAGTCCGTGGTACCTACTGTTATGGGCCAAGCGCGTGCATACGTGATCGCTCGCAGACGCGACCGTCGAAGGCTTCCTCGAATCCAATCCGATCGAGCTATGATTGGCATTCACACTTGACTCTGATTGCGACCGGGACGAAACGCATCGGATCGAACTGGTCGTGCAAGCAAACATTGCCGTCGTTCTCCACTTGCTTTCCAAACTGGAGTATATGGTCATGTTTATTTCACACCAAACTTCTCTCAAACTCCTAAATTTCCATCACATCACATCACATCTAAAACTTTCCTATTCACATAAACTCCTAACTTTTTTTTTCCAAACTACCAACTTTCTCTTAAACTTCTCCCCAATTTCAGCAACTAAACACAGCCTGACAATGATTCTTTTCATGCGTGATTTGGCACGGTAGAGACAGCAGAGATGAGAGCACCGGGCCGGGCCAACATCCCTGTATCCATTTTGCTCTGCCATGAAACCATGCAGTTTTCCAATCCAACATATATATATATATAGGGAAAAAAAAGTGGGTGTCATGTTATGAGAACCATCAATTTTGGTTAGTTTGAACAATGCATGTAATGGTAATCTCTTGTGTTGTTGTGCACCTAAGTGTTAACCATCCATTCTGGGTGGATACGTATTGCAATCAGCGAAAGCAGTGAGCCAGTAACACCCCATCCAGGAGCTTCATATCCATATTACTTATATGATCTTTTTTAAGCATTTGTGATGACCTATATATTTCATTTCCTGGTGAGTCTTTGCATCTGCTCTTTCCGACCCCTAAGTCATAGCAAAGATATACTGTACTGCATAATGTTGATTTTACCTTGCATCTTGTTGTTTTCTTACTGATGCACCATTTCATAATTTGGGTAATTTTGACTTCATATGGTTGTGTAAAATGTTGTTAAAATTTTGTCATTTTTTTCCTCAATTTCTGTCAAAATGCTGCCAAAATTTTGTCAAAATTCCATCAAATTCAAATTTTGTCCAAATTGTAATGTCAAAATCTGTCATTTAATTTTAAACATATTTAAAAACTTTTCCAAAGCCATGCATAATGGGGGCAAAACACAATTAATGAAATTAATGATTAGTTATGGGAGAGGGTATAAATGTCCTATTTAACACCGTTAACTTCTCCATCCAAAACAGGGGCAAAAGTATTTTTCGGTTCAAAAAAGTGGGGGCAAAAACGAAAACGGGCAAAATCAATATTAGAGATGAAAGTGGGGGCAAAAATGAAATTGCCCTTATATATAACGTTGATCTCCCGTGGCAGCCTCAATTAATTTTGATTGGCCCAGCAAACGCGCTTCTTCCAATTCGCCTCCTGAGCGGCGCTTTGCTAAATACATGCGCGCGTAGCACCAACACACAGACCGTAAAAGTGCTTTGCTACTATTTCTACCTATGTCTCATCGTAATATAACAACTACTAGAATCATAGTATTATAATATTTCTTATTTGAGATACACTTGATAGTGTAGTGGTAAGTGGTGTATGGTTTCAACCATAAGACCCCGTGTTCAATCCCCAACATGTTAATAGTGTCTCTCTCTCTCTCTTCAAATCTTGTTTTTTTTTTGTGTTGGCAGGAGCAGAGACCACCACTCTAAAATAAAAGTTCATTTTTTTTGGAAAAAGAACATAGGAGTACACTTTAATTAAGCCGTTCTTCGCAACTTCAAGTCTTTAGGGTGTGTTTGACAAATTGGTAAGGAGCAGCGGCGGATCCACCTCCTGGGCAGGTCAAGTGGCCGCCTGGGCTCTGCCATTGCCGTCACCTCTATTGATAGCCATTGACTTATTGACACTCATAAAATTTAATCGAGAGCTGAAAAATACTATTAAGTCGTCTGGGCTTGATGATGATGTTGGCTCCGCCATTGGTAAGGAGAGGTGGGATTGGGATGAAAAATGGATGCATGGCGGATTAAATGAGGTATGAAGAATTGATGGCTAGGATATAATATTACCCTTTGAAAGGTGGGATATTATTTTCCAACTCCATTGGCTAAACAAAGCCTTAAGGAAGAAATCCAGATCTTAACCTCAGAGCAATCAATAGTGATTTTTTTTAGATAGTGGAATAGAATCTTGGTCTTTACTCATAGAACTATAGCCAATTATTAAAAAGAAAAGAGTTCCAAATACAATCACACCTCAAAATAAGACATAAAGATATAAGGGACACATTCAAACTGACAGAGGCACACATCGGCACTAACACCAATAGAAAAAATAAAGCACTAACTTATTAAATCATATTTGTGAACCTCCAAACAAAATTAGCGAAAAGTTGCATAACCGTTAACTCCAGTTTACGACATGCAACTTTTATTAACTTAATGTCTTCATCACACTTTTGTAGAAGAGCTCATGATGAAAGTCAATATGTTGCTCTGAAAAATACCTATAAATAATATTGATATGATGTTTTATAATTATTTTTGCTTAAACATAGGGCCCAACCGGCGGCGATGAGCTCAAACAAACGAAGTCAAGTCTCGAGAGGCAGTGATGATGCAAAATCGACGAACAAATCCGTACCGAACCCGCGGTAACGAACTAACAGCGATGATCTCTGAAGATTTCCTCGAATTAAAACCAATCTGAGACTTGCATCCCGTGGTCTCCTGCCGCTGATGCTCATATCCCCATAGGATAATCGACCATGTCGTTGCCATGCCGGCCCGCGGTTGTTTTTGTCAGAATTCGACATGCGACCAAACACAAAACGCAAACAGTGCACGTCTAAAAAAACCGCATTGAGACACATGATTGCCACGGCTAGAAAAATCGTTTTCCCAGACAGCTAAAAATCATTTTCTCAGACGGGGGAAGGCTCGCCTGTACGCATAAGCCTGTGAAAATAGTTGATTTTCACAGGCAGCACCTCTATCTTCGTAGGCGTCGTATCCACCCACCTGCGAAAATATTTTGGGTGAATAAAAAAAAACGTCACCCCCCTCGCCACACCCAGCCTCCTCACCGTACCCACCTCCGCCCCCACCACCGCCATCGCCCCTCCCCTCTCCGTCCAGATCTAGGAGAGAGGGAGTGGATCCGCCACCGGGAACCGCCATCGCCTGGAGCCACGCTGCCACCGTCTGGAGCTGCCGTCGCCTCCACCAGATCTAGGAGGAAGCCGCCGTCTCCTCCACCCTCCGTGTCGCCACCGCCGGTAGCCACCGCCATTCTCTCCTCTACCCTCTCCTGTCAGATCTGGGAGGAGGGAAGGGAACCGCCACCGTCACCACCCTCCCCCTCCCGGCGGAGCCGCCACCTCCTCCTCCACCCTCCGCGCCGCCACTGCCTGTAGCCGCCACCTCCCTCCGACCAGACCCCGTGCTAGGAGAGGAGAGGTGAGAGGGGAGGGGAGGGACTACCGAGGGAGAGGTTGGAGGGGAAAGGTGTGAGGGCAAAGTGTTCTGACTTAGTATTTTGGTGGGTAGATGGTGTTTTTAACATATTTAACCTTTTTGCAGGTATACCTCTTAAGGTACCATCTACGAAAATTTATTTTTGCAGGCGGATCTGGTCCGCCTGTGCGGACAACAATCTCGCCTCACGGTTGTCATTTTCGCAGACGGCCATTTAGCTCCACGAGGCATACCCGCCTAGGAAAAAAAATGTCATCGTCTAGAAAAATGGTTTTCTAGTAGTGCGTGACAGGGAAGCATACGTTCGATTCCCCCATGCTTCTTATATATATCATCCAACTTGGCTCGTTCTGGGGTTCTATCATAGCGGACTCAGATTAATATTTCACAATTTGCAGATGTTCTTCATCTCATCTCATATATGGTTTGACCGCGATGGTTTGTTTGCCACTATTTTATGGCTTGGTTTTATAGGATCATACTTATTCAGAGAAACATCGGCATGCATTTCAGCATTGTGCTAATATAATATTAGAAAAAGCTATACGTACTAACTTTTTCTTACTATCACTGATGTGTCATGCTATGACCATATTTAGATTTTTTATAACTTATATGTATCTAAATGAAACGGTTAAGATAATTGTTAGTAAAAATTTAGTAGACTAGCAGTGATCTATACTATTTGCTGTACTCAAAAGTACTCGCGCGATCGATAACCAGAAAAAGGTGACCTGGATCATGTATTTCGCCGATTGCAATTTCGTCATCACTGCGGTTAGGATTACACTCTAGTTGCAACCGTAAATTATAGAGCGAGATCATTGACATGCAAATTCCACACTTCCACAGCAAGTTGCATTTGTTTTAAGATTGTGTTACAGATTCTTCTTGCGGGTGGCTGCAGGGCCCGAGCTGATTAACTATGAAAGTCAAGGCCAAGTCAATATACATATAACTAAACCTGTTTCTGCTTTGCAGTGCTAGCTATAAAGTCATCTAGCAGATACAGGCATACTGTAGAACACTCTTCATTAATTTGTAAAATGGCTGAAGGTCCCGTCCACTGCTAAAACAGAAGGATTTGATGGTGGTCAGCTACAGCTGCACGGCTGGTACCAAGCTGGCATGGATATTGTCGTTGCTGCTCATCCTGGTCGCGGCGACACAAGTCCATGGCGTGTCTCCTGGTGGTAATTATCAGAGCTGTTTCTTTGCGAGCCTGCTTCTTTGTAATCCATGCTCCATCTGTACAGTTCAGATTACTTCATTATATGCAGCTCTAGAAATCTGTGCATAGTAGTACTTGATAGCTAAACACTTACTATCATATACTCCCTCCGTCCCATAAAAAACCAACCTGGTACCGAATGGGACGGAGGGAGTACTTCCTCTCAAGAATAAATATGTTTTTTTAATAAAGAAAGCTTTTATTAATCTCAAACGATTACATCAAATTGATATAGAACCATACTATGAAAACTTCAGGCCGTTTATTATTTCTGATCATCAAGTTAATATAATCATAGCAAGAACAATCAAGTTGATATTTATTGAGTGTTGTGAAAGACGGAATATGGTTGACGGACGGAGAGGGTACCGCCAAACGATTAATCGGAATACGGACGATTTATCGGAATTTGACGGATATTTAACGTTATGTAAATATATGTATGTAGTTTATAATAGTTTGCCTTTTTAAGATGTAAATGCATACAACAACTTATGTTTGACCATATTCCTATAATATTTTTTAAATAGGACATCCATAACGTTCATAACGCATAGGTGTACACCTACTAAAAGAACTTCAAGCGTGCACATCTGTTTAAGATTTAAACAAAAGATTAAAATAAGATCAATAATACATAAGAAATTTTTAGATTTGAAAGAGAATTAAAGGGAAAGAAAAGAAAACAAACATATAGGCTGCACAACTAGCTATATACTACTAAGTTCAGAATATAGTTAATGGGCCGGATAGTTGTTCTGTGTACTGGGTCTTGTGATCACAGTAGATTATGCGGCCGATTAGTCAGAAACGGTTGATTAATCGGGCAATGATGGTAATTAGACGTTCTCAAACGACTAATGAAAACCGTTTTGTAAAAATGTGACAGACAACTCATCGTCTCCGATTGAACGGCCGTTTATACGGCCGTATCAACCGTTTTCCACAACACTGTTTTATTCCTCTCAAGAATAAATACGTAAACACTCCCCATATACTTAGCGACCAAATATCTAGTTGCATGATCGAACTAAGGAGTTGTTAAGATTGTAACTAAAATAAATCTTACCAAAATTTAGTAATTTGGCAATATTTTCAAAATTATGACATGATTTCTTATGTATTTATCGAAGTGTGGTAAAAAAAATAAATGGATACATATATTTGGTAACTCTAAAAAAAAGATGGTTTGATTTAAAACGGTTTCAATCTGAACAAGCCCGAACTCGCATGAACCTTAACTTGAAGCACACGACATGAATAAACACTCGTAGTACCAATTTTCTTCTCCACCAAGCATCGGTCAGTATCTGGTGTATATGTTTTAGGCTGTTATTACTTTTTATTTCAGAAAACTGTTACTTACAGGGAAGTGTGTCTGTGCAGGGTTTTTAAACATCGACTGCGGATTGACAAATCGTAGTACTTATAATGACACCGACACAACTTTGACGTACGTTTCTGACAGAGAATTTGTTGAGGGCGGCAACGGCAAGAGCTACGATATTATGGCACAATACATCGCAGATGCTACAAATGAACAAGAAAAAACGTTGAGAAGCTTCCCTGATGGCCAACGGAACTGTTATACATTACCAACCAACAGTAGCAAGAAGTATCTCATCAGAGCCACCTTCACTTATGGAAACTACGATGGGCTCAACTCGTCAGAGAAGGGTTCTCTGTTTCTCTTTGGACTCCACATCGGCGTCAACTTCTGGGCAACGGTGAACTTGACAAACTGGGGTTCATCAGATACGATGTATAAAGAGGTGATCACAGTTGCTCCAGACAAATTCATATCCGTCTGTCTGATAAACTTGGGATCAGGAACTCCCTTCGTATCTACATTAGACTTGAGGGAATTGGATGGTGCAATGTTCCCATTTCTGAATCTTTCTGTTTCAATCAGCCATTTGGCTCGACAAAGATATGGCTCGGTCGATGATTACATCACGAGGTGATTCAAAAGTTTTTTTTTTCGGTTTCAATCATTGACGTTGTAATCATAGTCTTCCTCACAATTTCAATCATTTCCATGTATCTCCTGTGGTGATCAAGATATCCAACTGATCCCTTCGATCGTTTCTGGGAGGCAGCCCTACGCTACAAATTTCCCTTCCTCAACATGACCACCAACCAAGACGTGACAAAGCTTCCTGGAAATGACGACTTTCAGGTGCCGATGCCCATCCTTCAGAAGGCCTCAACCATAAGCAGCAATTTCTCAGAGTTTAACGTCAGCGTGATATTTCCGGACAACATGAAAAACATCGACAACATCAACAACATCGACTACAGGAGCTTGGAGCTGCTACCAATCTTCCACTTTGCCGATATTGGAGGCAACAACCAGAATAGAACGTTTGATATCTATAACGATGGAAACCTGATGTTTCCCAACTACATACCACCCCTGTTCCGAGCGGAGAGCACATATCAGAGTGGTAAGTTCTTGCGCAAGAGGGGCCTCAACTTCACCCTGCGCAAGACGCCCAGCTCGGAGCTCCAGCCGCTCATCAACGCATTCGAGGTGTACTCGCTTGTTCATACAGACAACCTCACCACTTCTCCAGACGACGGTACGATTACGATCAGTAACAGATTGGGGTACAAATTAGACGTGTGCTATTTATGGCGCAGGTTCATACGATCATCGTGCACGGCAGCATGTGGTCTACAAAAGAATCCATTAGCTTTATTGAGAGCAAAGACTACTAGCAGAGAAATGAATTTAATCTAAAAACAGATAAATGAATTTTTTTCTTAAGAAAAAGTAGAGAAATGAATAATTACAAGTTAAAGATAACATTTAAATCATAAAATTATCTAGCGACTCAATAAGTGAATGTCTACAACTTACTGATCAACTAATCATGCAAGCCCACAGGTTCAACAAACGCAGCAATTCCTTTATTCCATTCATGTTTGATTTAATTATCCTTCTGTTGCTGTAGTTGATTACATGAAAGAAGTGAAGAAGTACTACAGTTACACAAGAAACTGGAATGGAGATCCATGCTCCCCAAGAGAGTATTCCTGGCAAGGTCTGGCTTGCGACTACGCTAATGGAAACAAAAATCCAAGGATCACCCGAATGTAAGTACATGACAAAACCGTAAAGTACATATCTATTCTGAAATCCGAACCTCATAATGTCATCATGATTTTAACCTTTGGAGTCAATATATGCTGATCCAAATATATTTGCCTTTAAATGTACTATTACAGTCATTATATGTATACCTAGTCATGTGTATTATTGTCTTAAGATGCCATGACTAAATTATCTGACAAGTATTACGATGTGTTCATTCGCAGTAATCTGTCAGCCAGCGGATTAATAGGTGGATTACACATAGCATTCATGAAAATGGCATCACTGGAGAACTTGTAAGTGCTTCTTCTTACCACATTGCATCCAGAGCTAAATGAAATTATGTGGACACTGAACACAAAAACATATATAGGGATTTATCGCACAACAACTTGACAGGCGCAATTCCAGACTATCAACTCAATTCACTCAGAGTGCTGTAAGCTTCAAATTAATCTTTAGTTGATATAGAATTTTAGATGGATGAATCATTTAAACTACTCTTTTCAGCAACCTATCAAATAACCAACTTGATGGACCAATCCCGGATTCTATTCTTCAAAGGTTTAAGGCAGGACAGCTTGAATTGAGGTTTGGGAACACTCCCTTGCATAGTTGCATGGCTCCTCATTGATATTAAAAAAAGAATCTAACAAAATAACTACTCCAAAAGGAAAAGACTAAAACCAACACTGGTTATCACAGAACAACAGTATCAATCAATTAAAGGTTCATAAACAACGACCACATTATCGAAAAACAACTGAAAAAGGTAAATTGCACGTAGTAGACTCTAGTGATTATAAATGCTTTAGCATCTACATGATTTCCAACAAAACAGGGACAAAATAGATCTATTAGCGAAGGCATGCACTTTATAAAGCATGTAATAGTTCTGCCTTTAGAGAAATGGTTGTTCAGAAGCACTAAAATTCAGAAGCATGTTACAATCATGATTTGAAAAGGTTGATATAGCTAAGTTTTTCTTTCCTCAGCTGATTCTATTTGTTTTTTATCTGACTAATAACTTGTATAATGGCATATTAGACTAGAAGGCAATCCCATATGCTCAAAAGTCAAAGATAGGTACTGCGCAAATAAGAACAGCACACCTATCTTGCTCATCGCAGTGATAGTTCCTGTGGTATCCCTCCTACTCCTTGTACTGGTTTGTATCCTCTGGAGGCTGTGCTGGAAAGGTAAAATAAAACATTAGTCTCTGAAGTCCTTTTGAATCAATGCAATGGGTGGTTTAATGATTGCTTGTTTGGTGTACATTAGTAATAGCTGTACTTTCATGTAAATAAAGGTTGGAGTTTGCAGGAAAATCAGCAGAACAAGAAGATTATTCTATTTATGAAGAGGAAGCTCCATTACATATCGACATCAAACGGTTCACATATGCAGAGCTGAAGCTCATAACTAACAACTTCCAATCAATCATTGGAAAAGGAGGTTTTGGCACTGTTTATCATGGCATACTGGAAAATAACGATGAAGTAGCTGTTAAGGTGCTTGTGGAGACATCTATAGCAGAGTCAAAAGACTTCCTCCCTGAGGTATTTAACAGCACAAAAGTAGATCGAAGGCCATCTAAAGCAATTCCCATATAGTCTATATTCAAGAAAGATATGTATCTAACTTCAGCCCTGAATGGCATATCCTGCTGCAGGTGCAAACCTTGTCCAAAGTTCATCATAAGAATCTTGTCACTTTGGTGGGATATTGCCAAAACAGGAAGTGCCTTGCGCTTGTTTATGATTTCATGCCTAGAGGAAATCTTCAGCTGTCATGGTCGGGATAACATATCAACGCAGAAGCCGCACAGGGCTGCAGGATACGGCGTCAGGAGATGCAGCGCAGCGCACGTAATCCGCCGTGCCGGACGGCAACAGTATTGCGATAGGATAGGTTCTGTTAGCCAGTTTCCTTATCAGTTTGTTAGCTTGTTTTCAGTAATTTGGTTAATCAGTTGTAAGCCTATTTAGAGGCACAATTCGGAGGAGTTAATCAAGCAGATTCAATCTCTAATTCTCTCACCTCCTATTCTCTATTTGCTCATCCCTTGCTGTTCATCACGGGTCGCCGTTCCTCCAAACCCCCTCGTCCACGTCCGCCAATCACACATTCATATCCCATACGTTCTTACGCCGGAGCTCGTGACATCAGCAGCTTTTAAGAGGAGGTTTTTGCCTTTTTCCTCTTTCAATTTCTTGAAATTTCTATCAAGAAGAGTTGACTCAAGTAGTTAAGTCATACAGGTCTGAATTGCACATTGTTATGATCACCAATTTTATTTTAATTTTCTACTGTGATCAGTCATACTTCTGACTCAACAAAACTGAATCATTCAAACCTGAAATCAGTTCAAACAGAAAAGAGGTCGGACAATTCAAGGTTCACATTGCGGAACAACTCATAGCCATCAACAGATTTCGCTAATTACTGGGAACAAAGTAGTTTTCAAATTTTCAACAATAAAACAATAAATCATGTCAAGCTCATAACGCTTAATTGGGAATAATCAGCTAAAGCATATTTGACACAGGGGAAAAAGAAAAACTATGCGATAAAAGTAGTTAGGGTTTCAAATCCAGTGTCAACGGGATATTCTTGTTGCAGGTGACTAGTCTATTACTGCTAGTTTGTTTAAACTTTGAACCTGTATGGTCGTAGATATAGAGAATGTATGGACGTATGGTCATAGATATAGGGAATTGCGAAGTAGTAAGCAAGATTCTCGTAAGTTAGTATCATGTAAGAGGCAAACTTCTGCTAATTCTACAAAACTGGATGGACAGCACGTAGGTGAGCATAGAATGTAAAGGTCTGGTTGCCTAGACAGCTATTGGTACCAGTCAATACATATATAGACAGCTGACTAATAAAACGACAATCGTAAGGCGTTGTACTCTTAAAGCTACATATTCTTAATTTTCCATCAGTTGATTGGTAACCTTGTTAATTGAAATTTATAAAAAGGTGCTCTACGAAAGAGAAGGAAACCTGGTATCCTTTTAAAGGTCAAAGTGACTGCTTATATACATACAAATATAGATTGGAATATTATTACACCAAGTGCTGCTATTCTTTTTTTCAATATAGTCATCCCTTGATAACCTCAAATTATCCAAATGACATATAGCAGTATTTGCACAACCATACACATATTGAATGGCCTTCTATAGTACTAATTTCGCACACTTTGATGCAGGATATGATAGTAGTTTGAATTGGGAAGAACGACTTCACATTGCACTTGATGCTGCACAAGGTCTGTATTTTGAAATACACATCCAACTTTTTTAGCACATATGTGTGTGCACTGTGTTTAAAACATGAATTTCAATGGATATAGGACTGGAGTATCTACATGAATCATGCAGCCCGTCAATAGTTCACAGAGATGTGAAGACACCCAACATCCTTCTGGACAAGAATCTGGTGGCCAAGATATCTGATTTTGGGCTTTCACGGGCTTTTAATGCAGCTCACACGCATATATCTACTGTTGTTGCCGGCACCCTTGGTTACCTTGACCCTGAGTATCATGCTACTTTCCAACTTACCGTTAAGACAGACGTTTACAGTTTTGGAATTGTCCTCTTGGAGATTGTCACTGGTCAACCCCCAGTATTTATGGATCCCCAAACCGTCCACTTGCCAAATTGGGTGCGGCAAAAGATTGATAAGGGAAGCATCCACGATGTTGTGGACAAGAAACTGTTAGATCAATACGATGCCACTCACCTGCAAACTGTGATAGACCTTGCAATGAACTGCCTTGAAAACACATCAATTGACAGGCCAAGCATGACTGAGGTTGTTTCTGTGCTTAAGGTGTTGTTTACGGTGGCTATTTCAAGTGAGAAACGATCGGTTACATCAACCCCTCAAGAGAAGAACGTCATGGATGCAGACATTCCACGGCAGTTCCACTTGATGATTTCTGGAGCTACAACAACAAGCTACGACAACGAGGGCAGTTCCTCACAGTCTGGTCCTACCGGTGGGATGTCAGAAATAAGCTACATTTCTGGACGGTGAAAGGAAATGCTATTTTACTGCATCTGTTTTGGAGATGGTTTGATCATTTGCTCGCTCCTATGACTTGTCCGTAAAAGAAAATGTCGTTGTTACTTGTTAATTATCCCATATCTTTTCAAGATAATGGAAATATCGTTGTTTATTATCCCATATGTCATCCGGAAATGCATTAAGGGCTTCATATGCATCAAATGCATCCTACGCAAGAGTTAATATGGGCATTCTATACAGAGGTCCACGCCTAAACCATGGGCGCATGTACACTAATCGGAACATTTCGATTTGGAATAGATTCCCGTAGTTTAACGCAGAACGAACTAGTTCAGGAGTGAAATCGATACTAGGAAAGAGCTAGGGCATACCTTACGAAGAGAAGAAACCCGTATATCCCCGATCCATTCCGCACCAATCCCGGAGAGGGAGGAGAGAGAAGCTTCAGCGGCGGTGCCGACGCATGTGCCGCCGGCGGCGGCGGCGACGGCGACGGCTGAGGTGTCAGATCCCGGGGTTCTGAGTTCTGACATGAGGGCTCGAACGCTGGTAGAGACTAGAGACTGGCGAGATCGAACTATCCAAGAGATGTTTTAAATAAAAAATTATATTATAATAGTTTATTTAATAATAAATCTAGTAACATTAATTTTATATGATTCATCTTTTTTATCTTTTTATTACTAATAATGAAAGTTAAAAATATTTGACTTGTCACTGTGCTTCAGAATATAAGTATTTTTAGAGTTGGACACGGTTATTAAGAAATTATGTAAAACTATATGTGAGGAGGGTTGTGATTGGATGAGAAGTGAGGGTAGGTGAAGAATTTAAATGGTAAAGAGTTACGATTGGTTGATAAGAGAATATTGGCGTAGAAGTTACTATATTTTAAGACAAATTATAGAGGCTACATGTTGTTATATTTTAGGACGGAGGGAATATATGTTTTGTGTGGTTTTATTTTTGTCCGGAACTTTTTTTTTAGAAAATATGTAGTGTAAATCATGTATACATTGAAACTTTTAAAATGAATATTTTAGATTTATTCACGTCACAAAAATAAAAATTTAACTTGAGAAATAAATAACGTGAGCTACATCCATTTAAAACGGTAGTTTCAGTACTGTACTACAGAGTTTTTAGTACATTTTTTTCCCTTTTTCCGGCTTTCGTTTCACTCGCGGCCGAGCAGAGAGGGACGAAGCGACTGTTTTGCGGTTTGGGCCAGGTGCGACTCAGAGCAAAAGCATACTAGCACGGCGCGTCTCCGGCCCATGTGCTGGCGTCGTGGCCCCATCATCATGCAAGAGCCCGCCACGTGCCCTCCCGTGGCTCACGCGGGCCTCTATGTTGCTCGGCCCAGGGAGCGGGATCTTCGCTTGGGTGGAGGAGCAACCGAGCAACGGAAAACTACTCATGTTTTCTTTTCTGCGAGAAGCAAAACTTTTTTTAAAAAAATAAATTACTTATGTGACTGTGTCTGTATATAATTTAGTGTTTTACTTGTTGGACTAAGTGTAATATTTGACCGTCCGAATTTTTATAGAGAAATTGAACGATCAATCCGTCGCACCCATCGGTTGGCTGAATTTAAGCATAAGTGAAACGGCATATTTGTAAATAAGAAATAATCTGTGAATAAACTTTTACATGCGTGTTCTTAGCGTCCAAAAAGCAAAGGCTGAAAAATAAACTTCGATGGAAAAAAAATCTTAAAATCAGCTTCAAATTTAAGGTTGAAAATTTAAGTTTTAACTGATAAACATAAGTATTTGAAATTTTAATTTTCAATCTTAAATTTAATTAATTTTAAGGTTTTTCTTATCAAAGTTTATTTTTCAGATTTCGCTTTTAGATCACTAAGAACACATATAAAAAAAATTTCATATATTTTTTAAATATGTTGTTTGGGCCGGTAGTTTCCTCCAAACTAACCAACGGATTAGCTCTCCCTTAAAAAAACCGATGAGCTCTCAGTGCAGTCGTGCTCGTGCCAGAGAAAGTCAAGAGTGGTGACACGAACACAGAAAAAAAATAATTAGTAGCAAAAAGACCGTACCGAAGCCGTGGTACCTACTGTTCTGGGCCAAGCGCGTGCATACGTGATCGCTCACAGACGCGATCGTTGAAGCCTTCCTCTAATCCAATCCGAGCTACTTCGTATATGATTGGCATGCACACTTGACTCTGATTGCGACCGGGAAACGCATCGAACTGGTCGTGCAACCAAACATTGCCGTCGTTCCGCTTGCTCTCCAAATTAGCCACTTCTTTCGTTTCATATTATAAAACATTCTAGCATTACTAACATTCATATATATGTATGAATATAGATAATGCTAGAAAATCTTATAATCTGAAAACGGAGGTAGTAGCTATGAGTACAACGACGAGGATTCTTTTCATGCGTGATTTGGCACGGTAGAGACTGCAGAATCAGAGCACGGGCCAACACACCCATGTGTCCATTTGCATCTGCCATGGAACCATACAGTTTCCCACAAAAAAAAGAAAAAAAAAGAAAATGCAGTATTCCAGTCCAAACATCACATTGATTCACCTTCCTAATACACGCCTGTGATGGAAAACACCTTACTATAACATTATAGAAGCACCTTACTACTAGTAAAGACCATTGAAAAACCGCTTACTACTATTAGTAGAGGTCATCATAAAACATCTCGTTATTTGTAGATATTGTTGTAAAAGTATTTGTTTTCTTGAAAAGAATAGTAAAAGTACTCTTGATCGGGCCGTTTCTTCGGAACTTTAATTCAAGGAAGAAATCGAAACCAACCGACGGCGATGAGCTCGCGCAAAACGAAGTCAAGACTCAAGAGGCAGTGATGATATGCAAAATCGACGAACAAATCCGTAACGAACCCGCGGCATCCAACCAACTAAGCGCGTATATTGTATAATCTCTGAAGAACGTTTCCTCGAAGTCGAAGCCAAATAACCAATCAGAACTTGCATCCCGTGGTCTCCTGCCGCTGACGCACGTACGGATGATCTTAGCGCATATTTCGCCATAGGATAATCGACGATGCCGGCCCGCGGTTGTTTTGTCAGAATTCGACATGCGACCAAACAAAGCAAACAGTGCACGTTTGAAAAAACTGTATGCAGACACCTGATCGCGACAGGGAAGCATACGTTGCTTCCCCTGCCTCTTATGTCATCCAACTTGGCGCATTCCGGGGTTCTACACTCTGATTAATATTTCGCAATTGGGAGGAAAAAATCCTAATGCCCCCCCCCCCTCCTAAAAATCACTCATCTTTCTAATCTCTCCCCTACAAATTAATTTCGTGCAAAACACTTCTCGCAAATTCATTTTCTCTTCCAACTTCCTATTTCTATCAGTTTCCGGTATTTTCTCGTGCCTTATGGGCCTGCACTATATTGCTACCCTTGTCATCAAAGGCAGTTCTCCTTTTGCTTTTGCTTTTGTATGCTTTAATTTATCAAAGGTGTGGCGATAAAACACGAAGATGACCCCATATTATTAAATAAGTTGTATTAAATCTTATGCCCAATAACAGAGAATATAAGTGTTAACTTCGCTCACCATGCTGGAGGTCCATACGATGTGAGAAATCACCGATGAATGTAGTGAGAATTACTTAAAAAACTAGACACAGGGGGGAAGTTGAAAAGAAAATGGACTTGTGGATAGTGTTTTGTAAGAAATTACCTTCTCTTTCTCAAAATGTGGTTATCTAGGATAGGATAGACCCGAAAGGGGTAGTAAGTTGTAGAGGAAGATTCAAAATACCAATGGCTTGTAAGGGGTTATCTGGATTTTCACCTTCGCAATTTGCAGATGTTCTCCATCTCATCATCTCATATGGTGTGAACGCAACGGTTTGTTTGTCCCTATTTTATTTAATTTGGCATGGTTGACAGGATCAGACTTATTCAGAGAAACATCAACATGCATTTCAGCAATGCGTTAATATACTATTGGCGATCGATAACCAGAGAAAAGGTGACCTGCATCATGTATTTCGCCGGTTGCAATTTCGTCATCACTGCGGTTAGGATTACGTTCTCGTCGCAACCGTAAATTATAGGGCGAGAAGATCATTGACATGCAAATTCCACGGCAAGTTGCATTTGTTTTAAGATTTTGTTACAGATTCTTCTTGCGGGTGGCTGCAAACCCCGAGCTGATTATCTCTGAACGTACGATCAAGCCGTCAAGGTCAAGTCAATGTACATATTACTAAAGCTTGTTTCTGCTTTGCAGTGCTAGCTATAAAGTCATCTGTAGCAGATACAAGCATAGAACACACTTCATTAATTTGTAAAATGGCTGAAGGCCCCGTCGTCCAATGCTAAAACAGAAGGATTTGATGGTGATCAGCTACAGCTGCTCGGCTGGTACCAAGCTGACATGGATATTGTCGTTGCTGCTCATCCTGGTCGCGGCGACACAAGTCCATGGCGTGTCTCCTCCTGGTAATTATCAGAGCTGTTTCCTCTGCGAGCCTGCTTCTTTGTAATCCATGCTCCATCTGCACAGTTCAGATCACTTCATTATATGCAGCTCTAGAAAAGTAGAAATCAGTGCATAATACTTGAGAGCTAATTAAACACTCTCATATACTTCCTCCCAAGAATAAATATGTAAGCACTCCCCGTATACTTAGCGACCAAATATCTAGCTGCATGATTGTATGATGAACTCGCATGAACCTTAACTTGAAACAGTTGAAACACACGACATGAGCATCGGTCAGTATCTGGTGTCTGTTTTAGGCTGTTATTACAGGGATGTGTGTCTGTGCAGGGTTTTTAAACGTCGACTGCGGATTGACAAATCGTAGTACTTACAATGACACCGACACAACTTTGACGTACGTTTCTGACAGAGAATTTGTCGAGAGCGGCAAGAGCTACGATATTATGGCACAATACATGGCAGATGCTACAAATGAACAAGAAAAAACGTTGAGAAGCTTCCCTGATGGCCAACGGAACTGTTATACATTACCAACCAACAGTAGCAAGAAGTATCTCATCAGAGCCACCTTCACTTATGGAAACTACGATGGGCTCAACTCGTCAGAGAAGGGTTCTTTGTTTATCTTTGGACTCCATATCGGTGTCAACTTCTGGACGACGGTAAACTTGACAAAGTGGGATCCATCGAGCACGGTATGGAAAGAGGTGATCACGGTTGCTCCGGACAAGTCCGTATCTGTCTGTCTGATAAACATGGGATCAGGAACTCCCTTCATATCTACACTAGATCTTAGGCCCTTGCAAGACACAATGTATCCCTTCGTGAATGCCTCAACGTCCGTCAGCTATTTTTCTCGGATAAGATTTGGATCGGTTGATGAATACATCACAAGGTGAGATCGAAAACTGCAGTTTCGAATCAGCTGATCAGGAATGCATGCTGCTAGAATACTGTCGGATATCCAGATAAAACGAATTCTGTAGATTGTAGAACACATCTATAAAGTAATTACATTTACAGATTACTAGCTCCGCATCTGTTTTACTTGGTATTTTTTGACTTTTTAGAATCTTAGAGGTGCAGTTTGAGCATTAAACACATCTATATAGTTTCAAACATATTAGCAACCAAACTTTCAGGATATTGACACCTATATACTGTCAATGTTAGGAAGTGCAGCCAAATATAACATCATTTTTCATTGGCACAAATTTTAGGACTTATAAGAACAGTTTCATACCCCGTATATTATCCGTATATCTTGTTATAGTTGAATACCTTTTGATCATAACTATTTGATATTTAAGATAAGATTTGATTAAGATAACTTAAACTATAAATACTTTCTCAAATTATTAGCTTTTTTTTACCAGGTCAGCCGAAAGATTCGGTTGACCAATTTCATTAAGAGGGAAGGGTAGTTCATTACATTTGAAGCTTACAACGACAGCATGCTGGCTGTCGAGATGGATGGGAAAGTCCCCAACCTAGTAAACTAAAGTTACATGCTACGTGTCATTACAAATTATTCACTATCGCCATTGCAGGTTGTGAAAACTCCTGCTGTCTTCCAAACAAGGATTTCCTCTTTGAGGCTAGTGAGTGGATTTGACTTGAAGAGTTCTATCATAATATCATAAACCTATTAGATTTTTATGAACTTAAATAACATAAAATTAATGGTCAAAGGCTCGAAGCTTTGAAAATATGATCAAAATTTACTCCAAATATCAAATATTTATGACCGGAGCGAGTACATCAATAGCCATAAGCCTTAAAGCTTAGCAAAAACAACGGCAATGACAATGCTGAATCCAGTTATATTTACGTTGGCATAATCTTTTCTTTGTTTTGTCCTCTGTCATGGTCAGATTCCCAACGGATCAGTATGATCGCTTCTGGGAGGGCTGGGTCTTTACCATGCACACCTTTCCATGGGTTAATAAGAGTAGCAACGGCAAGGTGGCTGAACTTCCTAATATTGACACCTTTGGGCTTCCTCCAGCCATTCTGGGAAGCGCTTCAACCATAAACGGAAACTTCTCTTGGCTCAACATCAGCGTTAGTGCCAGTAACTCTCTCGCAACAGACCTAGAGCTTCTTCCAGTCTTTCACTTTGTTGAACTCGGCAATAATGGTTCAAAGAGAATTTTTGACATCTACAATGTCGATGAACCGCAAGCACTGTTCTCCAACTTCAGCCCACCGTCATTCCTGAGCTCCATGTTCCACAACTGGTTCTTGCGCAAAGGCAGAAGGGCATATTTTCAGCTTCGCAAGACCCCAGACTCACAGCTACCACCTCTTATTAACGCATATGAGGTGTACTCCCGTGTCCAGGTGGAGAACTTCACCACTGCTTCAAGTGATGGTACGTCAATTGGCTTCACTATTACTCATTCCAATTTGTAAGGAACCTGTTGCATAACATACAGTAAACACATCAATGCTAATGTAGATTATCCTGAGACCAAGCTGACTGAAGCATCATATATTGACACCTATTCTGTGTTGTTTGTACCATTTGCTTAGTTGACTCCATGAAAACAATCAAAGAGAAGTACATGGTAATCAAAAACTGGAACGGGGATCCATGCTCACCAAGAGAGTACATCTGGAATGGTTTGACTTGCACCTACCCTAATGGTGGCCAGAACCCAAGGATTGTTGAAATGTAAGAACAAAACATTTTGGTTTTGAAAAAAAAAATGATGGTGGATATTATTACTATGTTAAAACGAGTTGCTATGCAGAAATCTATCTGGCAGCGGTCTGCAAGGAGAGTTAGAAATATCATTCATGAAAATGTCATCACTGAAGAAATTGTAAGTGCTATCTACCATTCACAAACTAAATGAAATTGGGTGGACATCGATGCAATCCTAAACATCTAAAAACATGCAGGGATTTATCACACAACAACCTGACAGGCACCATTCCAGACTATCAAGTAAATTCCCTCACTGTTATGTAAGTCTCTACAGCAATTGATGGGATCTTTAGTGCCTAATATAAAATTTAAATGAATGAATGATTTGAAGTGCTGTTTTTTCAGTGACTTGTCTAATAACCAGCTCAATGGATCCATCCCTGATTCTATTCTTCAAAGATACAAAGCCGGTTTGCTTGAGCTAAGGTTTGGCTTCTCCTTGAACATGGCTCCTTATCAATAGAAGAAAAGATGATAAAAAAAAAACTGCTCAAAAGGCAAAATCAACTAAAGGTTAACCATCACATGGAAATACGACATCTGCACATAGAAAGCAAACCTTCTGAATCCGAAACTACTTGAGGGGCAGATGTGAAAATATTAATAACTGCATATGCTTTAGAAACATTTAGTTTTTTAGATTACAATTGTAATATAAGGAGGTTGGTCATGTTAGAAAAAAGCAGGTGTCCATTGCAATAATTTTAAAGATATTTCTAACCTATCTCTGTGTTTTTACTTTTGTGTTTCTTTGGCTGATTTAGTTCATGTTTATCTGCTGTGTAAATGAATCACTAGACTAGAAGGCAATCCCATATGCTCCAAAGTCAGAGCTAGCTACTGTGGAAATAAGAAGAACACACGCACACGTATTTTGCTCATCAGTGTGTTAGTTCCTGTGACATCTCTCCTAGTGGTGCTGTTCATATTCTGGAGGTTATGCTGGAAAGGTAAAAGAAAGTGCTTTTTGGTTAAGTCCTGTTTAACCAATGCAATAAGTGTAAAACAATAGACAACAGTTCCAAACATTTACTTCCATGAAAAATGCATCTTCTGGAATTTGCAGGGAAGTCAAGAAAATCAGAAGAAGAAGATTATGATATGTATGAAGAGGAGACTCCCCTACATATCGACATCAGAAGGTTCACATATGCAGAGCTGAAGCTCATAACTAACAATTTCCAATCAATCATTGGAAAAGGAGGTTTTGGTACTGTTTATCATGGCATACTGGAAAATAATGATGAAGTAGCTGTTAAGGTTCTTGTGGAGACATCCATAGCAGAGTCAAAAGACTTTCTCCCTGAGGTATGCAACAGAACTAATTAGGACAAAGCGCTGTTTAGTTCAATCCGAAGTAGATTGAAGGACATCTAAAGCAATTTCCATAGTCTATATCTATACTCATTTAAAATGAGGTAGTGGTGGTGGCCATGAATTTGCCACCCCACCAACTCCCATTGTAAATTTTGCAAATTACTCCTTGAACTTCTTAATATTAAGAAACAACCAAATCTTAATGGGTACCGACATATAAAATCAAATCAAGGTGAATATTCCCTATAGAAAAAAGATGTATAACACATTTTAAGGAAAATATATTTTTATTTATTTTAGGAAATATTATAAAATAATTTCTTTTATATGTCGCAACGCACAGGCATTTAGCTAGTACTTCCTCCGTTTCACAATGTAAGTCATTCTAGCATTTCTCACATTCATATTGATGTTAATGAATCTAGATAGATATATGTATAGATTCATTAATATCAATATGAATGTGGGAAATGCTAGAATGACTTAAATTGTGAAATGGAGGGAGTATTTAAGAAAGAAATGCAACTGACCTCAACTCTACATTGTTTGAAATGGTATCTCCTGCTGCAGGTACAAACCTTGTCAAAAGTTCATCACAAGAATCTTGTCGCTTTGGTAGGGTATTGCCAAAACAAGAAGTGCCTTGCACTTGTTTATGATTTCATGCCTAGAGGAAATCTTCAACAGCTTTTAAGAGGAGGTTTTACCCTTTTCCTCTTTACATTTTTTTAAATTTCTATCTGTAAAAGTACAACTGACTTAACTAGTTAATAATACAGGTTGGAATTCCATGCTGTTATGATCACTGACTCCTATTTTAATTTTTTTACAGTATCCAGCTGTACATCTGACTCAACAAACTGAATCATTCAAACCTAAAATCAGTTCAAACAGAAAAGAAATTGGCTAATACAAGGTTTAGATTGGGGAACAACTCATAGGCATCAACAGTTTTCACTAATTATTGGGAACAGTGTACTTTAAAAATTCTCATTAGTAAAAATATAGTAAACATGTCTAGCTCATAACCCTTTAATTAGGAATAACAAGCTAAAGGTGATTCGGCACTAGGGAGAAGAGAGAAACTTTAGGATAAAACTAGTTAGGGTTTGATGTCCATTGTCGGAGTGTCAACTTGAACCTCATGTCATATGCAACCGGTTAATCACAGCTAATTCTTGAACCTGTATGGTCGTAAATATAAAGAATAAATAAACAAGATTTTTCTATCGTAGCATGTAAGAGGACATATCTATTATATTGTTAAAAAAAATTTGAAAGGAAGTACCACAATAGCTATGGAGGCTAGAAATTCCCACATTAATCGGAGGAAAAAAAAAGAAAAAGAGAGTCCACGTAGGAATACAATTTAGAAATAACTGAAATTAGAAAATAAACATAATCAATATTGGAAAAAGAGTGCATATAAGAACCCAATACGAGATTTATTAAAATTCGTAATAAAAAATAAAATAAATTCTGAAATTAAAAAAAGAAAAAAGAAGTTCAAGTAGGAATACAATTTGAAATAAAAGAAGAAATATCGAAACAACAATTAATCCATCTAGAATACAACATGAGTTAAATTGAAATTCGGAATAAAAAATAAAATAAATTCCAAAATTAGAACAAGAGAGTTCAAGTAGAAATACAATTTAAAAATAACCGAAATTCGCAATTTAAAATAAGGAATATTGGAATAACAGTCCATATAAAATCCAATAGGAGATTAATTAAAATTTAGAATAAAAACTAAAATAAATTCAGATATTATAAAAAGGAAAAAAAGAGAGTTTCAGAAGAAATACAATTTAAAAATAAATAAAATTCGGAATTAAAATAAGCAATATTGGAAAAAGAGAACCCAATACGATATTAATTAAAATTTAAAATAAAAGAATAATGTCTAAAATTATAAAAATAAAAAAGAGAGTTCAAGTAGGAATACAATTTTGAAATAACTAAATTTCTAAATAAAAATGATTATTGGAAGACACTACAGATAGAATACAATACGATGCTAACTAAATTCGGAATAAAAAATAGAATAAATTATGAAAATTAGAATAATAAAAATAAGAGTTCAAGTTTGAATAAAATTTATAAATAGCAGAAAATTTTATGAAAAATATTGAATTTTGAAAGAACAGTGTCAATCACTCCATCTAGAACACAATTGTAGCAAATGACAATAAAGAGCGAAGGAGCATCAAGCCCGTAAGAAATATGATGGTGGTGGTTGATGGGACATCTAAAACTATAAACGAAACCCCAAAGATGGTTAGATTCGATTTTAGAATCCCAATAGCGATTAAGAGGAGGGATAACGGGAAGGCTGTTAAGCAGCATAGTCAGGGCAGTGGGCGTGACTTCTAAAAAGTAAAAAAATGAACCCCCAACAATATTATTTTTTATTTTTAAAATCCCAATGACAATGAAAAGGGGAGGCAGCGGGTAGGCCGTAGAGAGTGCATTGGTGGCGTTTGACGAGACTTCTAAAAATTATAAAAACGAAATAAATTTTAGAAACTAAAAAGTCCAATTTTAAAAGGTTTTAAGGAGGATGAATAGAATCCATGTAGATCGGGCAAGCAAATAAAAGGGTTGACAAAGGAGTAAAGGTAGCAACAGGTTTGACTTTTAAAAACTATAAAAGTAGAAACCCAAGGATGATAAGGTTCGATCTTTGATAGTCCTAAGACAACGAGATGGCTATTTAACAAATTTTAAGTAATCATGTGTAAAAATAGACATTTTTGCGGGTGCTAGCGGACCACCCACCTAGTTTTGATATTTCGACAAAATTATGCACGGCATGCATGTGAGTATAGAATGTAAAGGTATGGTTAACACAATTATAGGTACCAACCAATACTATATATGGACAATGGACTAATAAAAAGGGCAAATGTAATCATTGCATTCATAAAGCTACATTTTCTCCAAGTTATAGTTATCAGAAATTATAAACATTATTCAAAGGTACTTAGCTCAATGCCAGTGAGGAATAAAACAAGAACAAGAGTTACATACATATTCAAATGTACATTTGTAAATGATCAATTTCCCCTCAATAGATTGGTATTCTTGTTAATTGAAATTTATAAAATGTGCTCTATCAAGGAGAAGACAAGCTAACGCTGTTTTAAAATTCAGTGTCTGCTATAATTATATAGCATAAAAATATTGAATTGCAGTTTTAGTACACCAACTGTTCAATGATTCTTTTTCAATATATACTCGTCCGTTCATAACTTCATTTTTTTCCAAATGAAATAAAGTGGTATTTGCACTACCATGCACATATCGAATGGATTTCTATAATGCCATTAATGTAGCACACTTTGATGCAGGATATGACAGTTTGAATTGGGAAGAGCGACTTCACATTGCACTTGATGCTGCACAAGGTCAATATTTTGAAATACACATGAACTTTCTTTTATAGTGCATATGTTTGTGTGTGTATTGTGTTTAAACCATGAGCTTCAACAAACTGTAGGTCTGGAATACCTTCATGAATCATGCACCCCATCAATAGTTCACAGAGATGTGAAGACACCCAACATCCTTCTGGACAAGAATCTGGTGGCCAAGATATCTGATTTTGGGCTTTCACGGGCTTTTAATGCTGCTCACACGCATATATCTACTGTTGCTGCTGGCACTCTTGGTTACCTTGACCCTGAGTACCATGCCACTTTCCAGCTTACTGTTAAGACAGACGTTTACAGTTTTGGAATCGTCCTCTTGGAGATTGTGACTGGTCAACCCCCGGTATTCATGGACCCTCAAACCGTCCACCTGCCAAATTGGGTGCGACAAAAGATTGCTAATGGGAGCGTTCACGATGTTGTGGACAAGAAGCTGTTGGATCAGTATGATGCCACGCACCTGCAGACTGTGATAGACCTCGCCATGAACTGCCTCGAAAACGCATCGATTGACAGGCCAAGCATGACCGAGGTTGTTTCCGTGCTTAAGGTGTGCTTGCCGATTTCAAGCGAGAGACAATCGGCAACTTCAACCCCTCGAAAGAAGAACGTCATGGATGCAGAGATTCCAAGACAGTTCCAGTTGATGATTTCTGGAGCTTCAACAACAAGCTACGAGGGCAGCTCCTTTCAGTCTGGATATACCGGTGGGGTATCAGAAATAAGCCACATTTCTGGGCGGTGAAAGGAAATTGCTATTTGTTACATATGCTGGGAGATGGTTTGATCATTTGCTTGCTCCATGTCGTTGTGACTTAAGAATGGATGTGTGTATATTGGATTTAAACATTTTCGTGAAGCCATCTGGGGACTTGAGAGTGGATGTGTGTAGATTGGATTTAAACATTTTTGTGAAGCTATTTGGGACACTACACTAGACCAATATAAGTCCAGGAGTGGCGCCTTCAGTAGCAAAGTACTCAGAAGAGTAACTTGTATGTCTCGTTTTCTTTTTCAAATAAAAAGGGGAAACACTCTTGCATTGCTATATAAATCCCCTATACTTCACAAATAGAAAACACAGTCAAATTAAGTTTTCTTTGCTTTCTGTTCACAAATCCTTCGGCCCTCCAGTTGGATGGTTGGTTGCTTGGTTACTCTATCTATCAACAAACAAACTAGACTCGACCAACAGTACAAACCTCGCACAACAACGGCAATGGCGATCTCGACGCCGAATATCTAGGAAAAGAGACGAACGAGCGGATGAATGCGGCAAGTGCCCGACGGCACGAGTGTAATACGCACCTTAGGTCGTCGCGCAGGCAGGAGCCGCCGCCCGGTGCGGCCACCGCCACAGGCCCCGTCCCTACCTCGGCTGCCCGGTGCGGCACCGCCGCCTCCGCCGGATTTCCCACAGGCCCCAATCCCCCCATTTGCCGCCGCGGAAACACACGGCAGCGAAGCACAAGTCGTCTCGCATCAAAAGAGGGGCCGAATCGTAAAATAGTCCAAGAAAGAGGGGCCGAAACGCAAAAGAGCACAAGAAGGGCGGCGTGGCCCGTGGGCCTCTGCCGGCGGGTGCAGAAGGCGAGCCCACCAGTGACACCGGAGGCCCATCAAGCAACTCATGGGCCGCCAAAACTGCTGAAGCAGCCCGTCGGCCCAATATGCAAAGGAGCGGACCGGCCTAATATCAGTCAAAAGGAGAAACCAACCCAAACTACTTCTGTACAAAATGATTATCAAACCCCAAATTTCCCTTTCAGTTTTATTTAAAAAAGGTCCTGACCTCAAACTACTTATGTTCAAAATTATTATAATTCTCTGACCTAAATGTCTATTCCACGTTCAACCATTTTAGAAATTTGTAGATCACATCGTGCTACAGACTTACAGAGTAGCATGGCACCGGTGACCGGGTTTAGAAATGTGAAGTTGACATTTTCTCATAAGGTTGACGGTGAACTTGACATTTTCTTATCAAGTTGACTAGTGAATTTGTAAATGCAGTATTCAACGAGATAATTTAGACCCACGATAATTGGATATTTCGACCGATGTCATGTCAAACTAGAAAAATCAGCAACAATGATTTTGCAGCAGTAACAGGTCAAGGAGCTAACTAATCCCAGCGACATGTTCAGGCAAATTGAACTCTTCTCGTCGATGCATAGGCATGTAAATTATGTATGCACGTTGCACAATTGCGCATAGTTAACGATTAATAACCAAAGCCTTGTCAAATTGAAGAAATGATTCAGTTTGCATATATATACGCTGTCTTTTTGCTGGACAACAAAATACTCATCCGCAGTAACATTTCGTAATGCTGCTTTTGTCAGGGTTGTTCTGAAACTTGCAACAGTAAGATCATGGCTATCGTTTACGTTTATCTGACGAGTACTGGAGCACTACGATGGCTATTAGCCTTCCATCTGTTTTTGGCTGCCTCAATGATTCAGGTCCATGCCCAGCCTCCCGCTGGTAAGCTCATGTCGCAGTTTCATCAGTTCTATTTTGGACACATCCTTTGCTTTCTTGTCCTGTTACATTCTTTCCATAGTGAACGGTTGTTTGTTGAAATTGCTAGCAAGTTATTTGTTCCAAACAAACTAAGTTAGATATTGAGAAACTATATTATACTCCCTCCGTCTCAAAATATAAACATTTTTAGCATAGTGACAAGTCAACCATTTTTAACTTTTACTATTAATAAAAAAATAAAAAAGATCAATCATGTAAAATTGACGTTTCTAGATTTATCATTAATCAAACAATCATAATATGCAATTTTTTTTATTTAAATTATTATATTTTTATAGATATTGTTGGTCAAAATAGCATCTCGAAGATTGTGTTGAGATCCAAAAATACTTATATTTTGTGACAGATGGAGTATATCTCAAAATAATTCCTTACAAAAATCCACGTGAAAAATTTTAGAATGTGATAGTTGAGTCGCAGACTCGCAGGTGCTTTACTTAACCCACCAAGTTAATATTGACACCTAAAACTGCTATGAACTTAAGTATTCCCCCGTCCATATAAACATACATCTGTACAGATTCGTAATACTAGAATATGTTAGATCTGGTCTTAGATTCATTTTTTATGAGACGGAGAAAGTATGTGTTTTTAATAGAAATTTAGTGAGTTTTCCTTTAAGCATACTAGGAGAGTAGGCTTTAAGCTTACTAGGAGAGTATGGTCTTTTTTTTAATGATATTATATATAGGTTTTTTTTGCGCATATGCATGTACTCTCTTCGTCCCATAAAAAAATGAATTTAGGTTGATACTAGGATGTGTCACATCGGTACAGATTGATTTTTAGTGACAGAGGGAGTAGCTCTTTTATTAATTGCAAAAAATCTTCTTGTGCTAATTTCATTATGATTGTCGGTTTGTGATAGTCCATCAGTTTTAGGCAGTTTTCACCTGGGAGATGGAAAGGTGAACCCTGAGCCCCACAATAGTGAGGCTTCTCTTCTCTAGTGTTATGCTCATGTAAGTCCAATCGATTGGAGCTCCTCTAATATCATGCTCGTGAAAGTCTAATCGATTGGTTGAGCTCCAGGGATGATTAACCAAAGAAAACCAAAATAGCCCATTTTAATTTCCGATCACTTTAACCCTAAACATTTTTTTTCTTATTTTACCTTTAAACTATTTGAAATGGTTCACTTTACTTAACAATATTTCTGATCTTTGTTCCTCTTTAAGCTGAAAATTTTTAGAGCCATAGATAACACTATTATTAGAGTTCCAAAATACTTTTAATTTCTTTCATGGCTATTTACTTGGAATTAAAACCTTGATGTATAAATCAATCTTAGTGATTCTAGCCTCTATAAACAGTGATAAAAGAAATTGTAAAAAATATTGAGAGGTAAATTATAATGCATCTATCAGTCCTACTGAATTTCAATGCAAAATGCATCTTATACAAAGAGTAAAAAATAAAAAGAACAGAGAAATATCATTTAAGGTGAACTATTTTTAATAGATTTGGGTGTAAAATGAGCTGAAAAATCATTTAGGAGATTAAGCGATGCGATGAAATAATTCAGGGAGTAAAATGTTGCATTCCAGAAATCCTGACACCACCACTCCACCAGCTCGAAGGGGAAAAAAAACTCGCAGCCTCGCGTCGCAGGGCTGCACAGCTTTCTTCTCACAGACACAGTTACTAGTAACCCGCAGTAGGAACACCAGCTTTGAATCTAAAAAACTTCCATCCAATTATCAGAAAAACAACGGAAGCAGCAAACGGAGCTCTCTTAAAGTGTTTTTATATGCAGGGTTTTTAAGCATCGACTGCGGATATACAGATAGTGCTGGCTATGACGACAAGAACACAATGTTGCCATATGTCTCTGACAAAGGATATATAAAGGGCGGCAAGACCTTCAGTATTCTGTCACAGTACATGAAAGAAGCTGCAAATAAGCAAGAAGAAACCCTGAGAAGTTTCCCTGATGGCCAACGGAACTGTTATACATTACCAACCAACCGTAGCAAGAAGTATCTCATCAGAGCCACCTTCACTTACGGGAACTACGATGGCCGCAACTCATCAGAGAGTGGTTCACCGTTTCTCTTTGGACTCCATATCGGCATCAACTTCTGGACAATGGTGAACCTGACAAAATTGCCTTCATCGAACACAATCTGGAAAGAGCTGATCATGGTTGCTCCAGGCAATTCCGTATCTGTTTGTCTGATAAACAACGAATTGGGGACTCCCTTCATATCGACATTGGATTTGAGGCCCTTGCAAGATACAATGTACCCCTTTGTGAATGTTTCTGTGGCCGTCAGTTATTTTTCTCGGCAAAGATATGGACAAGTCAATGATGTCATCACTAGGTGAGATCATATCAGCATGTTGAAATCTGTTGCAGCCTTAGATTGGTATCACCAGGGACAGTATGACCTATATATATGCCATGTAATTTAACCGTGGAATATTGTTTCTGCTTTCTTGTCATTCATGCATGCAGATATCCAGAGGATGTTTACGACCGGTTTTGGGAGGGAGCGTTCCACACCAGATCCTATCCCTGGATCAACCTTAACACAACACAAGAAGTGAAAAGGCTCCCAGGTGATGAAAAGTTCATGGTGCCGAATACCATCCTCCAGAAAGCTTCAACCATAAACATCACATTCAGTTGGCTCAACATCACTGTGAGGGGCGCCAACAACCTGCTTGGCTTGGGGGATCTGGAGCTGCTACCGGTCTTTCACTTTGCTGAGATAGCCAGCAACACGACCAGGTTGTTCGATATCTACAGCGACAGCGAGGAGCTGTTCGCCAACTTCTCACCATCCCCCTTCCAGGTGGACAGCATGTACCAGAATGGCCGGTTCTTGCCCGGTGTGAGCTCAACTTTCACGTTGCGCAAGCAGCCCACATCACAGCCACCGCTCATCAACGCGTTCGAGGTGTATTCACTTGTCCGGATAGCTACTGCTTCTGATGATGGTATGATCAGCAATATATTGCAAGAGCACACTACACATTCATCATGTATGCAGCAGGTTCATAGGATCTGTGTAGCAGCATCTCAGCATTAGTCCACAATATAACTCATGAGCTTTATGCAAACTAGAAGAATGAATTCGTATTAAGTTAAAGGCAGCATTAACATATCAAAAATTACTTCGCAGCTTTGTAATTTACTGTCTCCATCTTATTTATAGTAAACATATAAGATTGCAGTGTAAACAAATATATCATCTCCTTATTCCTTTATGCTCTTCATGTTTTTTTTTTCAATCCCATGTGCTCAAATATAATTGAAAGCGACTGTACCACACCAGCAGATAAGGCGAGGAAGAATACAGCAACATTGCTCATTGCAGTGATAGTTCCTGTTGTAGCTATCATACTTATGTTAATTCTATGGATGCTCTGCTGTAAAGGTGAACAAAACAGTGGGTTAAATTCAGATATTTTCGTGTATACACTATACAGTAGAGCAAAGTGGATTGAGCCATTTGTGAATTGTGACTTAGCAGGAAAATCAAAAGAACATGATGATTATGATATGTATGAAGAGGATACTCCCCTGCATACTGACACCAGAAGATTCACATATACAGAGTTGAAGACTATAACTAACAACTTCCAGTCTATCATTGGAAAAGGAGGATTTGGTATGGTTTATCATGGCATATTGGACAATGGAGAGGAAGTGGCAGTCAAGGTGCTTCGGGAGACATCTATAACACTATCAAAGGACTTCCTCCCTGAGGTGAACTATCAAACTACTTAAGTCGGATCATTTCCCTCTAGAATGTAAAGATGTTATGTGCAGTCTTGAATAAAAATCAAGATGCTAGATGCCTGTGATATCTAGAAGTCATAGTTCCACACATCTTTTGGATGTCCACTATTTTTATTGCTTCCAATGAAAGCCTGTTTGTATGACATCTGCTGCTATTTCAGGTGCAAATATTGTCAAAAGTTCAACACAAGAATCTCGTCACGTTTTTAGGATATTGCCACAACAAGAAATGCCTTGCCCTTGTGTACGATTTCATGGCTAGAGGAAACCTACAAGAAGTTTTAAGAGGAGGTTTGCATTAATTACAATAAATTTAATGTTGCTCACCCTACATGACTCAAAATTCTAAAGATAGTACTTATACGCAAGGAGTAAACGCCTTGATCTCTGCAACCTATGGCGACGCAACAGCGACACCATAGTGATGCCTTAACAACCATGTATATTGCCCATACATGTAACATGCCCAATATTACTAATGAGTGTCAATTTGTTGCACTTTGAAACAGGACAAGAATACAGTTTGAGCTGGGAAGAGCGACTTCACATTGCACTTGATGCAGCACAAGGTCCACTTCAATCTTGTACCTCTTTTAAAAACTAAACAGAGTAGATGTTGACAAACATATGAACCTTGATGAGCTGCAGGACTGGAGTATCTGCATGAATCATGCACCCCGCCAATAGTTCACAGAGATGTGAAAACTGCAAACATTCTCCTGGATAAGAATCTTGTGGCCATGATATCTGACTTTGGTCTTTCACGATCTTACACTCCAGCGCACACACACATATCAACTGTTGCTGCCGGTACTGTTGGCTACCTTGACCCTGAGTGAGTTATCCTTCACTGACCGATATTAGTTCAATACACTTCTTCTCTAGTTCGAGTCAAGCGAGAAATGCAGATTAAAGAGAAGCGTATTTTGTGCTGTTCTTACATCTCATTCTCAGGTACCATGCTACTTTCCACCTCACTGTGAAAGCAGATGTCTACAGCTTCGGCATTGTCCTCTTGGAGATCATTACTGGCCAACCTTCAGTGTTAGTGGACTCAGAACCAGTGCACCTACCAAACTGGGTGCGCCAAAAGATTGCTGAAGGGAGCATTCATGATGCTGTAGACAGTAGACTAAGGCATCAGTATGATGCCACTTCCATACAGAGTGTCATAGATCTTGCCATGAGCTGTGTGGAAAACACATCCACTGATAGGCCAAGCATGACTGACATTGTTATCAAGCTCAAAGAATGCCTACCGGCAGGTACAGGTGAAATGCAACTGGTGTCTAGGTCCTATAAACAGAAGGAAGCCATGGACGCTGACATAGCGAGGCAATTCCAGCTGCTGATTTCTGGAGTTTCAATAGAAAGCATTGAGGGCAACTCAAGTGGGACCACAGAATTAAGATATCCTTCGGGAAGGTGAGATGAAATGATTGATAAGTTACTGTTGCATATGCTTGGAGAAGGTTTGATGATTTGGATAATAATGGGATCGCTTTTGGGCAGTTGGCATGCATATGTTGACTTCCTTTGTCATTTGTTTTTTCTAATTTACTAGCTCAACCTTGGAATAAGAAGGTGTCCTGAATTGGCAGTATACACCTAAGTTGTAATAAGTTCCAAACAATCATAAAACGATGTTGTGTCTTCTGGTTTTCTCTAGTTTTTCTGCAAAGTTTGTGGAATTAAATATTTGTTGTTCTGTTATGCGATTTCCATTCTATCACGAAATTCAAGTTATCATCACAAAACAGTATTGAAATGGGAAACCATGTGGCAATAATAACAAGGAAAACAAACAGGATGAAGATGGATGTGCTACACAAAGAGATGAGTAACTAGTGCAATGGAAGGATGGTAGAAGGCATACCTAGCCTACCCCTTCGGTTGTCGTCAGTCAAGCAGCTGCCCACCGGCCATCGCTCCATGTCCGTCGTCTCCACCGCCAGCCCTGGTGCTTCCTCAGCCCCCAGCCTGGAATCCCCTCCTCAGGCTACGTCTGTAGGAGACGCGGGGAGCTACCGGCGGAGCAAGCGAGGGTCGCCGATTCGAAGCAAACGCCGTCGCAGCCACCGCCGCTGCGGAGCTATCGCCGCCTCGCCCGGTGAAGCGGCTCCCCTTTCCGATCGACCAACACTCCAACAGTACAACCATTAGCTTGATTAATAACGGGAAAAGCAGCCGAAGATCCAGAAGGGATGATCGATGTGTGAAACGCAGGCCGCCGCCGCCGCATGTTCCCGTCCCCGCCTCGGACGCCCGTTGCGGCCGCCGCCGCTCGACGCCGACTCCCCGTCCCCGCCGCGGCAGCTCGATGCGGCCGCTGCCGCACGCTATGGGCCGGGCCTTCGCCGAGGCACATGGGGGAACCAGACGATGCGAAGAGCCCACGACTGACTCCGCAGGCCCAGACGCGATTCATAGGCCGAGACTGCGAAATCAGCATATACTGCTGGCCCAATTTCCTTGTACCCGGCTTTTCGGAATTTTTATTGGAGCTTGTTGACCACCAAGTTATACTACCTCTTTTTTTAAAATTTATTAGAAAAAAATACCCGTGTGTTGCAATGGGTGAAGGTTATTTTAATTTTATTATTGTTATATAATTTAGGTAAGGTAAAATCTATGGTGGGAATTTGCTTCGATATATATATATATATATATATATATATATATATATATATATATATATATATATATATATATATATAGAAAATCATGAACGGTAGTTAGGAGTTTGGTAGTCTCAAGTTAGCATACGAGTTTTTTTAAAGAGATTTCTTATACGACTCTTTCTATATTTTCAAAAATGAACAAACTTAAAAACCGACTCAAATAAGTATATGTATTTCCAGCTCCGGCCAACCAACGTGTCGTCGACCGCCGCAGTCGGCGTTGGCCCCCATCGCTGTCCTCACCGTCGCCAGACACTGCCAGATCTGGTCGAACCCAGACCCGAGCGGCGCAGCGCTCCCCCCCGGCGGGCTACCATGGTGCCCGACCCACGCCCGCGTCATTGAGGGAGGAGGGAGGAAGGAAAGGTGCCCCACTGGCTTGCCGGCAGCCTGCTCTGGCAGCGGCGAGGCAGGGGAGAGTAACAAGGGGGTGGACGGCTACTGCTTGGGTGCCGTCTGGGTCGCCCCTAGGCTGGAGCAATCCGAACGGAAGGGCTTTCCCTTCCTTAATTCTACGGCCAAACGGAAGAAAATAGGGACGATTGCAACAGCTAATTAAGGGCCTGTTTAGTTCGCGAAAAGAAAATTTTGGGTGTCACATCGGATGTTTGACCGGATGTCGGAAGAGGTTTTTGGACACGAATAAAAAAACTAATTTCATAGCTCGCCTGGAAACCGCGAGACGAATCTTTTGAGCCTAATTAATCCGTCATTAGCACATGTGAGTTACTGCAGCACTTATGGCTAATCATGGACTAATTAGGCTCAACAGATTCGTCTCGCAATTTCCCTCCTAACTGTGCAATTAGTTTTTTTTTAAAAAAAATCTATATTTAATGCTCTATACATGTGTCCAAAGATTCGATACGATGTTTTTGGAAAAAACTTTTTGGTAACTAAACATGCCAAAATGTTTTTCCTTCACAAGGGGGTTTCTGAGGGCGGTGCACCTGGTTTGGCACAAATCCAATTTCTTTCAGTCCAGCTGGAGAGTGAAGGAGCACCAGGAAAATAACAATTGGACAGCAGAGTTTCTTTTTACGGGCATTGATTATTTTTGTTAGATAATGAAAAAGAACATATAAATGTGACTAGTGAACTTGGCATTTTCTCATGAAGTTGACTTTTGTTCAACAAGATGTTTTGCATGCACAAAAATTGGATATTTAGACTTATGCATATCGAACTAGCAAAGTCAACGTCAGTGACACAACAACAGGAAGTAGAGGGCTAAAGGGAGCTAGCTATTCCGAGCAACGAGTTCACAGACATTGAACAGTTCTGAGTTCTTATCGATGCATGACCGGAAAGGCATACATATACACGCTTTGGCTCAAGTGTGTATATTTAATTAACCAAAGTCAAGTCAAGAGAAAGGATTCGGTTCATTGTACTCCGTATGATGCCTTTGCCGGAGCATAAGAGGAACCCATCCGTAGTACCCTCATCCACAACAAAATCAACACTGCTACTATCCACGGTCGTTTGATGAGTACAAAAGCGCGATGGCTGTTGGCCTTCCAATTGTTTTTGGCTGCCACGATTATTCAGGTCCATGCCCTTACCCCACCTGGTAAGTTCACGATTATTTCTCTGCGACAAGATTATTTGTCAACTGGATTCGCTGTTTGTTTTTCTGACGAAACACGGTAGGATTGGGGGAGGTCGACTAGTTATAATGATATAACTAGCATGTTGTCCCGCACAAATTGCACCGGCTAGCATCATTATATTTTCTCTCATATGTTCTTATTTTTTAATTCAGAATTTTCATTAATTCTAAATTGTATATCGATATGGACTCTAGTCTAATCTTCCAATATTACTTATTTTTTAATTCCGAATTTTAGCTATTTTTAAATTGTATTTCTATATGGACTCTGTTTTTCTTTTTCTCCGTTTAATATGGGAATTTTTGGACCATGAGAGTAAACGTAGAGACTCCTTTTTCTATTACTTTAATATAAGTTAGTTAATAGATAGATAGATTGGGAAAACTACAATTGGTTTTTCTCTGTGGATTACCAAGGTGAATTTATACTTCAAACGCCTTTTTCATCCGGAGAGTTGCCTGCAGGCGATTGTGCTGTTTTTTCTTTGTTCTTTTTTTTTTACAATCTCACGGCTAATGCGTAACTGTTCGAAAAAAAAAGGGTGAATAGCTAAAGTGGTCCTCCAAGTTTCATGCAAGGATCAGTTTAGTCCTTAATGTTTCAATGTGTCCATATTAGTTCTTTAAATTTTTATTTTAATTCAAACTTATCCTTGAACCCACGTAACCAACAAATCTTTTGATAAATGACACTTATGCTCCCTCATTCACATATATAAGAGAAAAAATTGCATGTAATGAATTCTTTTTATAGATAAAACAAAAATAAATTATGTACTTGCAAGTGTATACGATAGCCATTAGGCTCAATTTCCATGTGCACATGTTAAAATAATGGGAAGTATATATGCAATGTTGTTTATTCATTTTGGTTTTCTTTTTTCTAGTGTATAGTTGTATACAGGTTAAGGGCAAAAAGGACATTTTCTAATAGAATTGATGACTAAAAATAGCCAGATGGCATATTAAGTGGGCCCAATGATGATTTTAGGCCAAAATAAATACTTAGAGGACTTATGTGAACAAAATGAAACCTGAATGACCAAAGTGAGCATTCAGTGAAACTTGAGGGACTAAATTAGCTATTCACCCAAAAAAAAAACTACTCGTAATAATTCTTTAGGATGAATTAAGATACTAGCCTAGATTTTATCTCTAGAAATTAATTCTTTTTGGGATAGAAGGTTTACTATTATAGTTTTTTTTCGCTGGACCAGGGGAAAGGAGGCCGGTCGAATTTAGGCCCTGTTTAGTTATAGGGGAAAGTTTTGGTGTGTCACATCAGATATAAAGACACACATTTGAAGTATTAAATATAGACTAATAACAATACAAATTACAGATTCCGCCTGTAAACTGCGAGACGAATTTATTAAGCCTAATTAATCCGTTATTAGCAAATATTTACTATAGCACCACATTGTCAAATCATGGAAAGATTCGTCTCGCAATTTACATACAATTTGTGTAATTAATTTTTATATATATTTAATGTTTCATGTATATGTCCAAACATTCGATGTGACAAGGTGGGAACTAAACAGGGCCTTATTAGAGCATATGAAACCAAGTGGTACAAACGCGGGAATACAGGATACACGACGATCTCATGGGATACCTGCCCTGAGGGCTACGAGCTGAACAAAGAAACACTATGCAGGCTCACAGCAGCCAGCAGGACACAATACAAGATGCATGCTGTCTTCTGCTGGTGTTGAGCATTTCTGAAAAGGCTGTGCTATATGCTGAAAAGCGTTTCGCTCCTTCCAAACTTGCCAGACGACCAGGATGACTATCGCATTTCCTGCATACTAACTCTTTACCAGAATACTTGTCATTCTAAATTATTTAGCATGTGCTAAGGTTAGAAGAAAAAAACTATAATACCCTTAATAAAATGTGGAATAGTGGTTAGGGGTATCATGGAGAGGAATTTAAATTGGAAGTGGTTGATGTGATAAGTGGTACTTCCAAATGACAACTATTTCAAGATAATTTTTTAATACTAGAGAGATAAATATTGTTGGACGGAGGAAGTAACTTCTGGAAATCCTTCCGAATTGCAAGCCACCACGCTACCAGGTCATCCCCATCGAAAGCCGGTGCAATTCCGAAGTGTTAACAGACCTGCGCCCCTATCTGAAGGGAAAAGAGGCAGCCACCGAAAGAATGTTTGCAGGTCTCTTCTACTGTCTGACAAAGTGGGCAGAAGGTCTGACTTGGCCACCCACGCTTCCGGAGATTATCAGCCGTCAAACACCTCCCACGGCTGACAAACCACAGTTTTTTTTTCCATTTGCCTGGAACGAATTATTTTCCAGAAGCTGCAACGAATCCACCCTGATACGCACTGGACGCCGGGTAGACCCCTGACGTAGAGGACGACCACACAAATGCTATTTTAAAAAAAATCATCAGGAGAATGATCAGTGAGCTGCACTGTGGAGCAGAGATCCCAAACGTGCAAGTATTGCCCTATATGGTGTTATGTATCTATACTCAACTCATTGTTAAGCCGATAAATTGGCCATAAGCCCATGAACAGAATAGTTCATCTTAACTTACGTTATAAGTTCCCCAGAAGAAAACAACAAAAAAAAGAGTCAGGCTTAAGTTGGTACCTTACCCTCACAAGCATTTCTGTCTGTATATGCAGGGTTCACAAACATTGACTGTGGCTTCGTAGACGGCGAGAGTTACACGGACAGCACAACAAATTTAACATACGTACCTGATCATGAATTCGTTGAAGGCGGCACACACCATGAAGTTGTGCCAAAGCTAATTAGTGGATCCACCGATGAGCAAGAGAAAACCTTGAGAAGCTTCCCTGATGGCCAACGCAACTGTTACACAATACCGTCCACTAGTGGTAAGAAGTATCTCATCAGAACAACCTTCACTTACGGAAACTACGATGGACTCAGGTCGTCAGAGAACGGTTCCTTATTTCTGTTTGGACTCCACATCGGCGTCAACTTCTGGACAACGGTGAACTTGACAAAACAGGACTCATCAGACACTATCTGGAAAGAGGTGCTCACGGTTGCTCCGGACGAGTTCATATATGTGTGCCTGGTAAACTTTGGATCAGGAACCCCTTTCATTTCTGCATTGGAGTTGCGGCAATTGGATGATCCAATGTACCCATTCCTGAATCTTTTTGTGTCTGTAAGCTACTTTACTCGAATGAGATTTGGGGCAGTCGATGATTTCATCACAAGGTGAGATGAAGATTCTTTTTTTTCTGTTTCTTTTATTATACCATATTGCAACCGTAGGTGCCCTGTATCAATTGCTTCTCCATTTATGTTGCCGTGGTGATACAGATATCCAACTGATCTCTTTGATCGTTTCTGGGAAGCAGCCCAATGCTACTCCTATCCCTGGCTCAACCTGACCACCAACCAAACAGTGAACAAGCTCCCAGGAAATGACAACTTCCAGGTGCCAACACTCATCGTCCAGAAGGCATCCACCATCAACAGCGGTTTTTCATGGCTCAACATCAGCATAACGGCCGGTGATAACCTGAATGGCCAGAGCCTGGAGCTTCTCCCGATCTTCCACTTTGCTGAGATAGAAAAGAACCGCCCAAATCGGACGTTCCAAATCTATAGTGATGGCAACGAGCTGCACCAGGCCTTCTCACCGTCCTACTTGCAGGTGGACAGCGTGTACCTGAGGGACCGGTACCTACATGAGTCAGGTACAACTTTCACCCTGTGCAAGACAAACAGCTCGGAGCTCCCACCACTCATCAACGCCTTTGAGGCTTACTCGCTTGTTCGGATGGAAAACCTCACCACTGACACCATCGATGGTAAACCTGCGTTACATCATGGTTTTCAGTTCTTGCTTAGCAATACAGTTAAGATAAGAGTATTTGTATTCCATTATATCATTTACAACATTATGCTATTAGTAGTATTCAGGTGTATACAGATGGGCCATATATTCATAGTTCGTTTCCTAAAAAATGGAGTATGTGGAAATGAAAATTTATGTTTTTATTCTTCACCCTTGTTTTTTTTCCCACATGATCTCCAACACCCCCCCCCTAAATAAATAAATAAATAAAAATAATTCAGCAATCGGGCGTGCTTGTGCAGTAACCTGCTGGCCCAGTTTAATTCCATAGAGCTATTTGTAGCATATTGCACAGGCCTGTTCCTGCCCCATATCCCTTTGGACTGAACTTGAGTATTGTTGAATTTCGGCCCAACGAAAGTTGGGACTTTCAGCCAGTACATGCTCACCCAAAATAGGTGGGTTTGTGGGGATTAGGAGGAAGATGCTCTCCTCTCAGTAACATACTGACATGTGGAACCTGGCAAGAAAGAGGCTTTTCATGATTGATCTGTGACGCAATGACATGTTCTGTCATCGTCACACAAAAGAACCATTGACACATACAAAAAATCGGACTGGATTCTGAGTTAAAAATAATGGTTGAAAAACGAACAGTCAGTCTGGATTTGAAAGTTAAGTTTTTCCTTGAAACAGTTAGGATTGGAAAATTATTTTTCCCTTAAAAAAATCTTCATTATGGAGTACTGATGCGCGCCTATTCTTCATCTATTATGTTTGTTGTTATGCAGTCAGTTCCATGAAACAAGTAAAGACGCAGTACAATGTGCAACGAAGAAGTTGGAATGGAGATCCATGTTCTCCAAAAGAGTATACCTGGGAAGGTGTGAAATGCAACTACTATGATGGCAAACAGAATCCCAGGATCATCCTAGTGTAAGAATATCAATAAGCAAGTCTTGTAATTCATGTTTCGAAATGCAGCAGTTCAGCACCATTGAAATTTGGATAGCTTGTATTGGATAACCTGCAGTTAAAAAATGTTAAAGAAGACATATAGCAATTTACTTAATTGCTGGAGACAGCATCCAAAAGGTTATTCTCCATTCGTTTGGATTTTTAATGAAGAAGGCACATGCATGTACAATTTAAAACATGAAGTGATATTTGCAGTCTTGAGAATATAAAAGTTTTTTTACTAACAGGAACTGAGATGATTTTGCAGGAATTTATCTGCAAGCAGACTGAGTGGTTGGATAAATCCATCGTTCAGAAACATGTCGCTGGAAATATTGTAAGTGCAATTCAAATTTTAAAATCACAAACAAACTTAATTTGCAAAACATGGTGAAATTGCTATTTATACAAAATTACAGGGATCTATCACACAACAACTTGTCAGGCACTATTCCATATAATCAAGTAAACTCACTGAAATCTCTGTAAGTATGTGCTTATTAGAAGTTCAGAACCATGCTAAACCTGAGCCTATAGATCAATTATTTCAAATTTTGTGTTCTCATCTGTAGAAATCTATCATATAACCAGCTCATTGGATCGGTTCCTGACTATCTTTTCAAAAGATATAAAGCTGGTTTGCTTGAACTAAGGTTTGGTTGCTGTTCTCGCATTGTGCTATACTACTATATTTGGCAGATTTCACTTTATCTTATAAATTGATTATTTCTGTCATTAGATTAGAAGGAAATCCCATGTGCTCAAATATAAGTGAAAGCTACTGTGCCATGCAAGCAGATAAGGCGAAGAAGAATACAGCAACATTGCTCATTGCAGTGATAGTTCCTGTTGTAGCTATTACACTTATGTTATTTCTATGGATGCTCTGCTGTAAAGGTGAAACAAAACAGTGGGTTAAATCCAGATGTTTGCGTGTATACTGTAGAGAAAAGCAGATTGAATCTTGTGCAACTTTGCAGGAAAACCAAAAGAACATGATGATTATGATATGTATGAAGAGGAAAATCCCCTGCATAGCGACACCAGAAGATTCACATATACAGAGTTGAGGACTATAACGAACAACTTCCAGTCTATCATTGGAAATGGAGGATTTGGTACAGTTTATCATGGCATATTGGGGAATGGAGAGGAAGTCGCAGTCAAGGTGCTTCGGGAGACATCTAGAGCCCTATCAAAGGACTTCCTCCCTGAGGTGAACTATCAGACTACTTAAGTCAGAACACTCCCCCTAGAATGTAAAGATGTTATTTGTGGTCTTGAATAAAAATCAAGCTACTAGATGCTAGCTATATCTAGAAGTCATAGTTCCACACATTATTTGGATGTACACTATTTTTATCGCTTTCAATGAAAGCCTGTTTGTATGACATCTGCTGATGTTTCAGGTGCAAACATTGTCAAAAGTTCATCACAAGAATCTCGTCACATTTTTAGGATATTGCCTAAACAAGAAATGCCTTGCCCTTGTGTACGATTTCATGTCTAGAGGAAACTTACAAGAAGTTTTAAGAGGAGGTTTGCATTCAGTACAGTAAAATTAATGTCGTTCACCCTAAATGACTCAAAATTCTAAAGATAGTACGTACTCCCTCCGTTTCAGGTTATAAAACGTTTTGACTTTGGTCAAAGTCAAACTGTTTCAAGTTTGACTAAGTTTATAGATAAATATAGTAATATTTATAATACTAAATTAGTTTCATCAAATCAATAATTGAATATATTTCCATAATAAATTTGTCTTGGGTTGAAAATGTTACTACTTTTTTTCTATAAACTTGATCGGAGTATCAGACTTAAAGTAGTTTGACTTTGACCAAAGTCAAAACGTCTTATAACCTAAAACGGAGGGAGTACAATATATTACCTTTATATGTAGCATGCCCAATGGTACTTATGAGTGTCAATTTGTTGCACTTTGAAACAGGACAAGACTACAGTTTGAGCTGGGAAGAGCGACTTCATATTGCACTTGATGCAGCACAAGGTCCACTTAAATCCTTTACCCTCTTATAGAAACTAAACAGCATAGAAGTTGGTAAACGTATGAACCTTGATGGACTGCAGGACTGGAGTATCTACATGAATCATGCACCCCAGCAATTGTTCACAGAGATGTAAAAACGGCAAACATACTTCTCGATGAGAATCTTGTGGCCATGATATCTGACTTTGGTCTTTCACGATCTTACACTCCCGCACACACACACATATCAACTATTGCTGCCGGTACTGTTGGCTACCTTGACCCAGAGTGAGTTATCCTTAACTGACTGATATTAGATCAATATGCTTCTTCTCTGGTTCAAGTCAAGTGAGTAATGTAGATTAAAAAGAAGCTGACTTTAATTATGTTCTTACATTTCAGGTACCATGCTACTTTCCAACTCACTGTGAAAGCAGATGTCTACAGTTTTGGCATTGTCCTTCTAGAGATCATTACCGGCCAACCTTCGGTTTTAGTGGACCCAGAACCAGTGCATCTACCAAACTGGGTACGCCAAAAGATTGCTAGAGGAAGCATTCATGATGCTGTGGACAGTAGACTGATGCATCAGTATGATGCCACTTCTGTACAGAGTGTCATAGACCTTGCCATGAACTGTGTGGGAAATGTGTCCATTGATAGGCCGAGCATGACCGAAATTGTTATCAAGCTCAAAGAGTGCTTACTGGCAGGTACAGGTAAAAAGCAACTGGTGTCTGGCTCCTATAAACAGAAGGACGCCATGGACGCTGGCATTGCAAGGCAGTTCCAGCTGCTGATTTCTGGAGTTCCAATAGTAAGTAACGAGTGTATATCAGGTGGCATCACAGAATTAAGTTATTATTCAGGAAGGTGAGAAGAAATGCTTAATATGTTATTGTTGCATCTGCTTGGGCAAAAAAATGATGATCTGCATAAAAGTGGCATCGCTTTGGGGCAGTTTTCATGCATATATTGACCTCCTTAATTCCTTTGTCATTTTTTTCTTGTTTTACTAGCTCAACCGTGGAACAAGTTGGTGCCTGAATTGGCACTCTACTCCTCCTAAGTTGTAATAAGTTCCAAACCATCTAAAACGATGTCGTCTTTCGGTTTCCTCTAATTTCTCTAAATTTCTCTGAGTTAAAATATTGTTCTTCTCTCGTGCTAGTTCCATTCAACCACGAAATTCGAGGGATAAAAAAAAATACCAATCGCTACTATAGTAAAAGTAAATGGGCAACCATGACGCAATAACCAAGAAAAAAAATAACCAGGATGGAGATGGCTGTGCCTGTGCTACACATAGAGAAGAGATGATTAACCACTGCAATGGAAAGATGGTAAGAAGGTACTACAATACCTAGCCGGCCTTTCGGTCGTCGGCGCCGCAGCCGCCACCGGCCATCCGACCTACCATCCATGATCCGCGCGCGGCGATGCCTCCTCGCTCGGGCGCGCGCCCGGCCGTAGTAGGGCTCGGGGAGCTAGCGGCGAAGCAAGCGGATCGCCGATCGAAACAGGGCAGCGCCGCGGCATCCATGGCTGGTGGGAGATTGGGGGGATTCTGGGAGGAGAGAGAGTGTGGCAGGGCGGCGTCGCGACCGGGCGACGCGTGTGGCCCAAGCAGCGAGCGGTTACGGGCTGGCACGCGCACACGGCCCACAAGCCACGGCCCAACGCCCGATCTACCGCCGAATTTTTTTCGTTTTTAGATTTTTTTTTTAATATTTACAGAAATAATCTATCGACCAAAAAAAATTGCAGAAATAGCCCCTGCCGCCCTAATGGTGGGCGGCAAGCTGACGTGGCAGACGGTGGGTCGACCGCGCCGTCTGCCGCCGTCGGCTAAAATTGCGATTAGGCCCTTGCCGCCCGTACAGAGGGCGGCAAGGGGCTAATTGCAATTTTGGCCGCCCATAAAGAGCTTGCGGCCGTACTTTTTCATCTGGGTCCCTTGCCGCCCCAGGGACCCAGATGAAAAAAGTACGGCCAAAAGATTTTTCTATGTTATGTTAATAATAAATAAAGAAGTATTTATTGGTAAAACTTGTTAATATTGTTATAAAAATGTATTGAAGTTGGTTGTTGCGCAATTTCATATGTTAAGTGAGGTATTATTTTGTACCTTATTCGACGTATTAGTACTCGGATAATTTATATAGGCCTATCGCAGTCTGGGTCGTAGAAACATTATATGGACTTAAACAAGGAGAATTATGTAACATGAAAAAATAGTAGTACAATTTGAACATGATACAACTATTTGCATTGCGGTTACATAGATGATATTAGATTCGAACTAGGAGGGATGTAGTGCAATAGTTGAACACAACGACGATGTAGTAATGGGACAAGGAAGCATGACAGTAGAAATTTCAATATGCCAAGTTGTCCGATAATAGCTAACCCCTACGTGAGGATCCCTCTCCTCTTTCAAACCGCGCTTTAGTAACCCTGTATTGCTCTGGTAGTTCAAGCTGCACAACACGGCTAGGTGGAGTTAGAACCCTTCTGGTGTCTATCCATTCTCTGTATTGACATCTCCTTGGTGGTTCCTGGGAGGAAAGAATAGATGTAAAGCAAGCAAAGTTAGTAAATGTTGTGAGAAAATAAGGATTCATGTAATCAAAATATTCTTACCATGAAATCGTCGTCAAGAATATTTGGACAAACAAAGAACCTTCGACCCAATGTTGTAGGATTTATGGAACGAAGAACCTGACAACGATCACCACACCTGCATCTTGGACGGGCTTCCCATGGAGGGAGTGCCGTAGTTAGCACCCGCCAGTCGCTCTGTTGTTCACGACATTGTCGTTCATAAGCCGCTTTTCTCTGTAAGTATTGCTCAGTACTTTCGGATGCGAAATACCAGCGACCTTCTTGTAAACAAGTGGTTAGGTCGAGAACGGGATTTTCTGTATCGACCCACTCGATGTATGCGCAAGCCGTAGTGCGGGTCTGCCGAATAGAGTAATGTTACGAAGAATAAAGCGATTGCCCATACGGAATGAATAAGCATATGCAGATAATAAAATACCTCACGGTCATAGTTAGGGCACCTAAAAAAGCGCCTTCCTCGAATATCAGGATTCCTCGAAGCCATTAGTTGGCATCGATCACCGCATAGGCAGAGAGGACGCTGGCACCAAGGTGGTAGTAGGTATACACAAGGATCGCTACGCCAGTTTGGATCCTCAACACCTCGGCGTCTAGCCATTGACGAAAGCCGGTCGGATTTGTAATGAAGCAAGTAGGGAAGAGAGTACTGAATGTGACTGAGTTCTGAAAGATTGTGAGGCCTCACTCGTTAAGGCGACTTATATAGGCGCAAAAAATCGAGTGATACCCCTGACATGTGAACGTGGTGGGGTATGGTGGGTACGCCTGATTGGCGCCGAAAGATACATGCATCATCCGTCTCATCATCTGACGAATCACCTTCCTCTACACGCTCGTTGTCAGAATCCTCCCTCTCCATTTCATCCACAATGGCACCGACAGTCTCCCCCTCGTCGGCCACTCCACCTGGTTGAATGCCCACTGGAGCTACTACGCCCCCGTCCTCTCGTGCGTTGACCTCCTCCACAGAAGTCTCGTTTACTTCAGCACTTGGTCCCTCGCCATCATCCATGTTCGTCTGCACACCTGGATCCTTCGGGTGAACAAACGGAACCAAAGCTAGAGGCCACCCGCGTTGCAATGCATTTTCCAAATACCATCTCCACACTCGAGAGTTTTGAACTGGCATTAGTTCCCAATAAAAACCCTCAGTTGCCCGACTTACTATAACATTGATTGTTATGTCACTTGTCTGTGGATCAACTCTCAAGCCCCTCATTAACCATCATTTTATAGAAGGTACACTCCTCTCAGCCGGTCTATCAATTCCCCTTTCTGATACAATAAAATCTGACAGATCTACCCCAGTTGGCCCGTAACGGACGTTTCCTGGTCCATGGTAAACTTGGAATATTTGTTTGTTCGACATACCTGTCAACGAAATAACTAGATCATATTACTCTTTCATGCAATAAACATCTACAACGTAATATCTTCTTGTGTAAGCCAATACAACGGTAATGTATTGATTCCAAACTAGCAGATCTACGTAGTTACCGATATCTACAATACGCACTTCTAGATTAGTACAACTAAAACCCTAAAAATATAATGCATTTATTCAAACAAATTTTTAAAGAATACACACTATTTAACTCAATAGTCACATATAGGATCTATGAATATTACCTGAAATCGGCGTCTGAATCCGGCAGGGCTTCGCCCCTTCTTCTCTTCTCCTCCCCTCTCTTCTTTTTTTTCACTGGAATTGAGGAGAGAAGAATGAGGGCTGGGGGCTGGGCAGCAGGCCTTTTATAGGAAGCGAGGCCTGCCGCCCGGCCAGAGGGCGGCAAGGGGCCGCCTGCAAAATAGCCGGCCCCGACTGGCTTTTTTGCATTCGGGCCCCTTGCCGCCCCACCAGAGGGCGGCAAGGGTTTTCCTGCAAAAAACCCTCCCTCCGTCACCGCCCGTTCCTCCCCCGTTTGCCACGTCAGCTTGCCGCCCCAGAGGTGGGCGGCAGGGGCTATTTCTGCAATTTTTTTGTCGATAGATTATTTCTGTAAATATTAAAAAAAAATCTAAAACCGAAAAAAGTCATCTACCGCCTGTAATGGCTTGTTTGAAGAAACAACGGGCTGATAGTCAGCTTTTAAGAATACAAAAAATTGATTTTTTTTTTAATTTTTGTTTACTTTTAATTTATTTTCTAGATTATATAACTGCAGTTTCTGACGATACTTGTAAGAATATGCATGGATGGGATATAATAATTCATATTTTATTGGACATGACGATCAATTTTTTTTATGGATAGGATGGTCAAATTATTTGTTTGGTTGAAGGGATATAGTATGGATGGGATAAACCAAAATTTAGTGGGGCCCATTTATCATATTTTTTTTTTATCAAAATATAATCATACGAGATCTTGCTTAAAGATTTTAATTGCAATAAATATAATGAAGTGATCGGATCATAAATTAGATAAACGTTTTATGAGAGAAAATCATTTGGAGCTTGGTACTCCCTCCGTTTCACAATGTAAGTCATTCTAGCATTTCTTACATTTATATTGATGTCAATGAAGCTAGACATATATATCTATCTAGATTCATTGACATTAATATGAATATGAAAAATGCTATAATGACTTACATTGTGAAACGGAGGAAGTAACATAAAATCAAACTAACCACAACCAATCAGAATAGGACGCATCACCCAGACCAAAATATGGATGGCTTCATCCAGGCAAATCGGCCGGATGCACTCATCTAGCATATCGAGGGAGTATTCCTTTTTCTAGGTCGTCCCATCCACCCTGCCTATCAACCAAACCACACCAAAAAAGACAAACCCTGGGTTTCCGTGTCCAACTTTAACTGTCCGTTTTATATGAAATTTTTTTATAATTCGTATTTTCATTATTGTTAGATGATAAACCATAATTAATATTTTATGCATGACTTGTTTTTTTAATTTTTTTCATAATTTTTTTAAATAAGACGAACGGTCAAACGTGACACGGAAAACATGGTTTGTTTTTTTTTTTTTTTTTTTGAGACGAAGGGAATATGTACTAGTCGAGCAGGACAAAACTGAAGGAAAGCCAGGAAGAAGCTCGTATCCAAGCCGGGCTCGAGTTGCCACTTGCCTTTGCCGACAACTCGCGGAGGTGATTTTGGATGGTTTCGTTTGCTGCCATTTGAAATCTTACTAAATTTGATTTTAGTATTGCTATGAAATTTAGCACTGCCAAATTTAGGAAACACGAGGATAGAAAGAGTAAGTTTTGGTCTGTTGCCCATGGGCCGGCACGGGCCCACAGCGTACGGACTACGGACTACGGCTGTGAACTTGCACTGGCCAGTGTTATTTCTCGATCTTTCAGTGGAGCATCATACTACACGCCCACACAATTGTTTTGCCATTTTACAACAACACACATCATTCGTGTAGCTCATTGACTCATGAGAATCTCAGTGCTGGCTCAATTATTACAGGATCACGCACTTCTGGCCACGCTTGCTCGCCGGCGCGGCGGAGGGCCCTGCACTCTTCGTCCTGCTGCCGCCGTCGTGGTCCCTCTTCTCCTCTATCCTCTTCCTCCTCTTCCTGCAAACACACACACGTACGCGGTCACAGCGTCACAAATCAATCATCCGATCAGATAGAAATATTTTCATCAGAGAGAGAAAGGAAGACCAGGTTAATTTGTATATGTGTGCATTGCTCACTCACTTGGCCATCATGCACTTGACGAACTCCTCGTAGTTGATCTGCCCGTCGCCGTCGACGTCGGCCTCGCTGATCATCTCGCCGACCTCCTCGTCGGTGAGCCGCTCCCCGATGTTGGCCATCACGTGGCGGAGCTCGGTGGCAGAGATGAAACCGTTCTGGTCCTTGTCGAAGACGCGGAATGCCTCCTTCAGCTCCTCCTCGGAGTCCTTGTCCCTCAGCTTGCGCGCCATCAGGCCCAGGAACTCCTTGAATTCGATGTTGCCGTTGCTGTCCGTGTCCACCTCGCTGATCATGTCCTGCAGCTCCGCCTCCGTTGGGTTCTGCCCTAGACTTCGCATCACGGTTCCTAGCTCCTTGGTGGTGATAGAACCTGGATGCACAGATTTAATTTCATCGCTTCCAAAGTCCGAATTTCGCTGAAACATTTGTAGTCAGAACGATGCTCAGCGTGATCTAGGGAGTCATCGGTTGCCCATATTTCCTAATAAGCTATTTTTACTTATTAAGAAATAAAAATTATTTTATAGGTAAAACTTTTATATATGTGTTTCTAACTTCTTAAGAACTAATATCGAAAAAGAAACTATGTTAACGATATCTTAAAATCAACTTTAAATTTAATCTTGAAGTTTCAAAATTTTGGCTTTGGCTTATTAGGTTAACCAATAGAGCTCCTAAATTGTCACGGTTTCAGTTTATATCACAAACAATTTTGCTCAAAACACCTCTGGTCAGAAATATTGATAGGTGAGTATGAGCTACAGAGCTAATGAAAATGGATAGCACTTTCTAGTATTTTCCATCTTATTTCAAGCTCATGAGATACAGTGGCATCGAAATAATCTGGTCTGTATGAGTTGTCCAGATTCTCTCACATCACCACTTTATTCTACACCCTTTTCCATATGTATGGTGTATGAAAGAATCTGATTCCATGGCCACGGGGCAACTAACTGAAAGAAGCTGATTTTTCTGGGTTTTACTAGATGCAAACACACATCTTAGGAAGTATCTGATACTCTTGAAACAAAATTAGAGCGTGCTAAGGAGCACAAATATCTTCCAAAATTGGTCAGGTGATTTACTAAAGAAAACAATATGACTATTGACTAAATAATCTACATACCACAAGTACTACTATATCATTGCCAGTTGCTAATGTTTGAATGCTAGGACTGGTTAAGCAGCAGGCATATCAACTCCACATCGAAATTCATGTCACACATCACACCTCAATTTTTTCCCCTTAAACGGCACATAACCAGGAGCAGTTCATGTAACTGCATCCTCACATATTGTGAATTCATGACACTACCACAAGCACCCAATTTCATAAATCCTTGTTTCTTTAGATAATAAATCCTTGTTGCTAGAATCATTTTGGAAGCAACTCCAACGATAAGCCAGGTCAATTAGGGACTGTCCACTTTGACGCTATTTTCAATCATACCAAATTTTAATAAAGTTACCAAAAAAATAGCTACATTTAGTTTGCTGCCAAATTTTGGTAACTATGGGCTTGTTTGCTTCTTTACCCTACCAATTCATTGGTAGTGCCAAAGTCTAGGCAAATTTTGGCACTACTAAAATATTGGTAGGGTAAAATTATTTAGCTAACATTTGGATTGCTACCAATTTAAAGCCAAATTCTTATAGTATAGTGAAAAAACTTATAGAATATGATCAAATATTTTAGGGTCACTACTAAATATTTGGCCTCAATCCAAACTAACACACAAACTATTCAATTTGCCAATAAATTGGTAGGGTATATTTTTGGTATCAAACCAAAACGGCCCTATATAAGAAATCCTACAAAATTTTGGTAAGTAGCAATGCCAAAACTTGATAATTTTTTTTTTGACGACTAATCGATCACTAAGAGACTACTTAATATAATACTCCAGTCAGTAGCAATAGCATACTACTCCTACCTAATGCAAAAGTAAGGGGACAGAGATAGATATATTCATATTTACCGTCGCCGTCCTTGTCGAAGAGGCTGAAGGCCTCCCTGAACTCTCCAATCTGCTCTTCGGAGAGCTGGTCCGCCATGGCAGCAGAAGCTTCGAGAAGGCGAGCAAAGCTGAGATGCTGGTCGTTGATGGCTAATGCTGTGGAGGTGCGCGGGCTGTGTCGGAGAGGAGGATGATGTAGAGAAAGAGGGCTTCTTATATAGGAGTAGAAGAGTGGGGAATTGGAGATAGTTTCGGCACCTGGCGCTTTCCCTCCTTTTCTATTTTCCCTTAGCTTTTCTTTTTCTCTTCATTTCTGGAGTACAAATTAATTCTTTTTTTTAAAAAAAATGATTCCATGTTGTTTGGGAATGTTTTTATCTGTAGTTTCTGTGGTTGGCGATTGTGGAACATGCATCGGAGCAATTAGATGAGAGGGCCTTGTGGTTCGTGATATCTCTCTTTGTTCCCGACTTTTCTCTCTCTTTATTTCTTTTGTTTATCTTTTATCCAATACAGCTTGAGCTTTTGTCCATTCCTCCGTTAGGCGACCACCATTTTGATCTGCTTTATAATCTGTATAATAACTAGAACGAGTTGTCATACTGCATTATTGAGATGGTATCGATGCCCTTTTTGATTAAAAAAACAAATCCATTCGAACAAAATAGGTCATCAATCAAGTTTAATTGAAATTTGTACATTTTGAATGATGGTGTTATGAAAACTATTATTTTGGAATATAATTTAACCACCAATATGTGAGTGAAAAAGTGAACTATTTTTCAGAGCTGTATTTCTTGAAGTGTGTACTCTACTTTTCTCACATGGAGCTGCATATATTATTTTAAAATATCTCATTTCGTTTTCAATACTGTGTGGACGAATATCCACACTCATCCACACGTGTCATTAAAAATAAAAATCTGTGGACATGAATCAAACTAGCAAATATAGACGACGCTGATAGAAAACCAAAAGAAAGCAGATGTCTGCAAGTCAGACAGACGCGAAAGCACACTAGTGATCCATGCTACACCACAAGAAATGCGCTGATGTGCGTGCCAAACACTACCTCACCATATGAGAATTCACGTTAAGCAATCAGATATATCTTGCGGTATGTGATCATTAAAAAGTTCATGTCACACCTTACCTGCATATCAACAATTAATTTATCGACAACACATCATTCAAAGAACAGGGGAACATATCATCAAGTAATAACCCTGAAAATGCATTACACCTCCAAACGAAAAAGGTTAACCTGAAAATGGAAAGTCATTAGAAAAAGGAGTACAGTACTGGAGAATATATGCAAGACGAACTGATGAAGTAACATATATGAACCCACCTACTACAGAAGAAATTTGGCATGACAAACAAAAGAATAGCTTCGTAACTGGAAGTCCCCTCATAAGTCACAAGCCGTAACTATATACACATCTGCTTTGAAATCATTGCCAATGGAAACAAGATGGTTTCTGAAGGCTTCATGCTATTATGGTTTCTCATGGCTTACCATTAAGGACAGAAGCAACGTGATCATCAGATGTCTTTCCAGACCTTGTAGTCAGTATTCGAGCTGTTGGGATTTATTGGCGTGTCCTGACATCCCAAGAAGAAGGTTGGTCGCACATCCATATTTATCAAGGCATGTGCAGTTGATCTTGCGCTTGCAACAATGGCCACCTCATCAGCGGCAATCATGGCTTCCCCATATCCTCTATCATTTACATCAGCATTTTCTAACTGTCAATTATGGAAAAAGTGTCAGGAAATACTTCAAATGTGCAATTGTTAGAAATTTCAGAAGATCATTACCCGGAATTTTGTCTTTGCACCCCAGATGACAAATGTCTCATTGCATGTATGGTGGCGATGATTGCCACGTAAACCACCTGGCTGGATCTGTCCCACGTGTAGTGATAAACAAACCAGTGCTCCTCCTGTCACAATTTAATATAACAATGACCATCCAAGCAATTTCAAGAAAAAAAAAACTACCTATGTTTCACTCACATATCTGCTCCATAAGCCATTTTAACCGATTTTAGTAAACATCTCAAAACTTCCATGTCATCCTCATACAAAGTCCATGACACATTTATTTTGTACAAGGGGATATAGTTGCTGCTCCCTAAGCTGTGAATTCTACATAGTCCTGTCCAACTAAATATTTAGTGCACATCTTAGGGAGCAGCAACTACATCTTCCCTTAGAAAGACAGGTTCCCTAAGGTTTTATGGAGGATATCAAATGCGCATCTTGGCTGTCTTTCTTTGGCACCATTGTAAAGTTGTAACCATGGCAAAAAGAAAAGCCTGAAGTTTTGCAATTACAGGTGAATGGTATGTGGATTTTTCTTATATATGAAGAAAGTGGACGTTTTCTCTAGGAGAAGAGGGGGTGCAGTTTACTTTCAAAAATTAACACATAAGATCTAAAAAGTTTAAATGCCTCATTTTACTGCACTTTTACAACATCAATGAAGATACTCAAAATGTTATAAGATGATTTGATCGAATTTGCAGAATGAAGTAAAGTGAGTAATAATACTGCAGTCAAGTTGAGAAAGTTGCAGTTGAAACAAATATTATAGGACTAAGCAGCCTAAGCCAAAGGATGCAACACAGATATTCAGTATATTGATTCCAACGACCAATCCTACAATTGAGAAAGATCCCAAGCTCAATGCAGCGGTAACAGTGACAATGGTATTCTGTTAAGAATCATCAAGTTCTACCCTAACAAATAAAATAAGTTAATGGCACTGGCTAAAGGTAAATGAAACTTATAAGGAACTTGATCGAAAGTGTCAGTGATGGATAAAAATCTAAGTTGATAAGCTCAAAAGAATTGGTTGTAAGCTGCTACATACTCCAAATGATCGATTTCTCTTCCTTTTTCCAACTGGGCAAGTTGCAAGGATAAATGAAGAGATGGTTGTGAATGAAGCCCTTGTTCTGTTGTTTCTTAGTTCACTGTCAAATAAGTAACCCACTACAATCTATTGATTTGCAGTATAACCTTAGTTATTTTTATGCAGCAAAAATACTATGTCAATGAATAACCAAGTACATGTTCAGGTAAAAAAACATACCCAAGTACATGCGACATAAAAGAAGCATAGACAAAACTAATCCAAACAGCAGGATAGGGTCAGGAACTCTGGAGAGCAACCACACTTGATCTAGTAAGATGCAGCAACTAAAGGTCAGTGCTGCTCCAAAGGTTCACATTGCCACATGACAATAAACATGTTTTAGCTGCAGAAAATACTAATGTGCTGTTCAGTCGTTTCCTAGCATCAGTTCCTACTTCAGCAAATCCTTATCAGACACAAACTACATGATCGTGGAATTGTGGTATCGATTACAATTGTGCGTCCACAGTCCACATAGGCTGGATTCAGCAAGATTTGACGCGATGGTAATATGCTTTCGATTCTAAGCATTCGACTACACCACTCAATATTTCCACAATTCCATTCCATCACAATTTTCTTTAGCACAGCAATATCACACTGTTGCATCACGCAGACACATAGAACGCACAGTGGACCAAAATGCCACAGGTAGGATGCATCAGCCTAGGCCCTAGGGCCTAGGATGAACTCACCTGGTAAGCCGGCGTCTCGAGCAGCGGCGACGGGGTCAAGTAGCCACCCGCGCCCGTCGGCGGCGATGGGGGTGGGGTACAGCGCGGCGGGGTAACGGACGAGGTTGGCCTGGGGGTCGTGCACGACGGGGGCCCTGAGGACGGAAGCCGAAGGGGACGGGTGGTGGAAGCGGAGCGAGATCCAGGTGAGGAGCACGAAGAGGGAGAGCAGGAATGGGAACGACGCCGGCCGCTTCAGGAAGTGGACCAGCGACGACGGCAGCGAGGGGGACGGCGCGGCGGCGGGGGCGGCGGCGAGGGGCGTCGTCTGCGTGTGGATTTGCAGCGCGATGGCTCTCCTCGGGTTCGCCATGGATGGGTGGGCGGCGAGCTGCTGCTGCTTGCTGCTGGTGGTGGTGGCGCTGCCCGGACTCGGCCGCCGCCGCGGCGAGCTGTTGGTGGCGAGACGGGCCCGTCACTAACCCATCCCGCATATGGCCCAGCCCAATTAACTCTCAGTCTCGTTGGGCCACACGCAAAGCAGATATTTTTCCGTGTCGCAAAGCTCCTCCAATCGAGACCGTTGATCACGAAACGGACGGCTCAAAGTTGTTCTCCGCTTATCCTCTTCCTCTTCTTCTTCCTCAAACCCGCAAAACCCCAAGCCCCGAGCTCACACACCACCACCACCGCCATCGCCATGGCGCCACCTGCCATGGCCTTCCAAGCTCTCGCTCTCGGCCCCCTCCCCCTCCCCCTCCCCGCGGCGCGTCGCCGCCGCCGCGTGCGAGTCCTCGCCGTGGCCGCAGACCACACCCCGCCGCCGCCGCCGTCGCCGTCCTCCCCTCCCGAGCCGGCGAACAGCCCGAGCCGGCTCCTCCGTGAGCTCGCGGAGCGGAAGAAGGCCGTGTCCCCGAAGAAGAAGCACCCGCCGCGGCGCTTCATCCTGAAGCCGCCGCTCGACGACGAGCGCCTCACCCAGCGGTTCCTCAGCAGCCCGCAGCTGTCGCTCAAGGCGCTCCCGCTGCTATCCTCCTGCCTCCCGTCGGCGCCGCTCTCCGCCGCAGACCGGACATGGATGGACGAGTACCTCCTCGAGGCCAAGCAGGCGCTGGGCTACCCGCTCGCCCCCTCCGAGACGCTCGGGGACGGCGACGACGACGGCTGCCCCGCGCGGCACTTCGACGTGCTGCTCTACCTCGCGTTCCAGCACCTGGACACGTCCTGCGAGCGCACGCGGACGCGGCACGTCCGGAGTGGCCACTCCAGGCTCTGGTTCCTGGGCCAGTACGTCCTGGAGCTCGCGTTCTGCGAGTTCTTCCTGCAGAGGTACCCCCGGGAATCCCCCGGGCCGATGCGGGAGCGGGTGTTCGCGCTGATCGGGAAGAGAGCGATTCCCAAGTGGATCAAGGCAGCTAGCCTTCACAATTTGGTGTTCCCTTATGACGATTTGGATAAGATGATTCGGAAGGACCGGGAGCCACCAGCAAAGTAAGTGCTTACTACATTATCCATTTCCCCCATTGTGTGCTGGAAAATGTGACATTTGGGAATGTAGGATTACAGTGCTGGTTTCAGTGTTTTGCGATCATTCATTTGAATCATGTGGGTAACTAGTGATGCTGCGTGACCTTGGCTTGTGTAACATTGTTGCAATCATCAAAGCCACCTAATTGGCATATTGAAAATTCTAGATTGGAATCAAAATAACAGCATAGAGGCTTCAATACCTGAATGTCGTCTGTCGGTTAGATTGTGATCAGTGTTTTCGCTTGAAATTAGTCTGCGTCCTCAGTTTATCTTCTTTGGTAACCTTGACTCCTGAGTCCGTATCATTATGACGATTTAGTTGCTGATTTGATCGAGATCCATTTTATTGTTCGTTACTCTTTCTGGAGTATTGTTAGTTAACTTCTTTGATACACTTGCTTGCTTGAGTATAATATTATTAATGTGATTCAATATTACATGTTGAATGTTTTGCTGCCTTGTTAATGTCTGAGTTGGCTCCATTTTTAAGTGACGTACCGTATAAAGTTATAATGGTCGAGTTACATCCTTATATGCCAATATTGTTCGTACTTTTTTACACTGCATTGTTATTTGCTCATAGTAAGTGCTAATTCTTGGTGGAAGATTTTGTTGCATGAGAATATGGAGAATGCAACATTAACTTTGCATACTAATAATGGAACATTCTTTTTTGAATACTTAGTCTGCTACAACAGTTTGTGCTACTAACTTATGGACATGCCAGGGTAACTCTTTAAGAAAAATGGTCTGGGTAGCTCTTTAAGCAAAATGCCATTTGTGTTACAGGGCTGTATTCTGGGCACTGTTTGGAGCTATATATTTGTGCTTTGGAATGCCTGAAGTCTACCGTGTTCTTTTTGAGGCGTTTGGCATGGACCCTGAAGATGAGAGCTGCCAGCCAAAGCTGCGGCGCCAACTAGAAGATGTTGACTATGTATCAGTGGAGTTTGAAAAGAGACAACTCACATGGCAAGATGTTGCTGCCTATCGGGTAATTTCCCTTTCTGTTGTTTGCTGCCAATCTTCCTTCTTGTCTTCATTCTTACGTTGTTTGTCATTGCATGTCATGCAGCCACCACCAGATGCCCTCTTTGCTCACCCTAGGCTATTTCGAGCATGCGTGCCACCAGGCATGCATCGTTTCAGAGGAAATATTTGGGATTTTGACAATAGACCCAAGGTCATGAACACACTGGGATATCCATTGCCTATGAATGATAGAATTCCAGAAATCACAGAAGCAAGGAACATAGAGCTTGGACTTGGTCTTCAGGTAACTAGCACCCCTAGGCCCTTCTTTATTTACTATCTTCTTCTTCCTTTCAAGCATTTATTTTCCTCTTTGCAAATAATTTCTTTGGCATAGATCTACACTTTATAGTGTTGTTTGTCAAATTATGTTTGTAGTTACTAAGGTTGTTATTTACAGCTTATACCCAGCACATTGCACTCAAGGAAAACTAAAGCTTTGTTCAATGTTCCTCTGGTTTCATTATCACTTTTTACTCAGCCAGTACAATTACTATCTTTCTTAGATAAGTAGATAATCATGCGTAATTACGACAAGTGTGATAGTTCTAAAACTTTGAGTGGAAGAAACTGCAGTGTTGTAGTGTTATTGAAATCAACAGAGTTGGGAATGATACTTCTCGCAGCATGAATTCTATTTTCTAGGAACTTTTAGATGGTGGGGATGCCATTTTCACCTGTAATATCTGGATAGAATTAAGGAAATTAACTTGTGCTATAAACTATGAGGCTGCAATAATTGTAGTTATGGGCTTATGGCAGCAGATTGGCAAGTTATTGTTCAGAACTTCAGATAAACAATGTGGTTCTAAAGATGTTTGTAAAATAGTATAATAGGACTTAGGCACTCAGCAGTGCAATATAGTGGGCCTATAGGGGAATCTTGTGAAGGTCGTACATGCATACTGAAAGTATCTGTTACAATTTCATTGTTGTTATTCTTGTATGATACTTTAGTCGCCTGCTATTTTGCAAGTGTACAGGCCTAAAAAAAAGTGTTATGATCACCAATTTACCTTTGAATCTGAGGTTAATTGTAAGTTGTTTTCAAGTGTATAGGTTTGCCCTATCATATGGAAAAGAGAAACATTACTGACCCACCACTTCAATCACTGTAATGATATAATGTCTAGATGTAGATTGCATTATTAAGCTCTATCTTGAATAATTTTATAATGTCGCAGCCATTGTGATTGCTTTGCCTTCCTGCAGTTGTGCTTCTTGCATCCCTCAAAGCATAAGTTTGAGCATCCAAGATTTTGTTTAGAACGCCTGGAGTATGTTGGACAGAAAATTCAGGTTTGCTTTTCACTCTTTATGAACATTTCAGGATCTAGCAACGGTCCATTGGGCCAAAGAATCATCCTGAAACTCTGAATTTCACCGTGACCAGGATCTAGTGATGGCGGAGAGGCTGCTCATGAAGCATCTCGATGCACCCGGTAGGTGGTTGGCAGAGAAGCATCGGAGGTTGCTAATGAACAAATACTGCGGACGATACCTCCGGGACAAGCACCTGCACCACTACATTATCTACGGGGAGTCGGTGCAAGACAGATTTGAACACAACCGCCGGCTGAGAAATCCTTCCACGACCGCCGTCCAGCAAGCAATACACGGCCTTGCTTACTGCGTCTATGGCAAACCGGATGTAAGGCGATTGATGTTCGAGGTGTTTGACTTCGAACAGGTCCAGCCAAAAGCAGTATGAGGGTGGTCACAAAACCTGTGCTTGTGCTGAGCTGCTGATACGCTGACATTACCGGCGTTTGAAAGCTGAAATGCTTCAGTGTTGTGACCTGTGAACAGATCCAAGCGCAGACAGTTCTGAGTCTGATCCCCGAAGTCGAAAAGCAGGTTAACACACGTAACTCATGCACCCTCGTTTCTACGAGATGAACTGGATTAGAGATGTTGTAAATCGAACGCTGTTGTTTTCTGAATTTACAGTTTTGACGATTTGATGTAAATTTCCATTTGAGCAGAAAATGCAAGCAGCATCAGAGACAAAAAACAGCATAGGAAGAATTTTTCCTGTGAAACATGCTTGTAAAGGAGTTTGTAATAGATCTGCAGAACATCTTTGCAACCAATGATACAAGCAGCTTCATCTTTTACATATCAGTGCGCAATTCTTGTAAGTGTAGCAGTCAATGAATGCATCATGTGTGTTCTCTCTCTCCCTCTCTCTGTTTTTTGGGAGAAATTGTGTTCTCTTTTACCTTTTCAGTAATTTTATTTCACTTACTTAAGCCATGATTTTAATCGTTGTCACATGTCAGCATCGTTGGTCATGGAATTAATCGGTAATCGGTTTGGTTGCAACGAAGCGAGTAATTCTAATATGGGCCGTCAGGCCCAATTTATAAGAGGTCAGTTTGGGCTGGGCTGCAGGGTTGTACCGCGTCTTTCGCCTAAAAGGGCCCAAACCCTGAACCCTAGCTTTCTCCTCCTCCTTCCCCTTCCCCCTTCCTCTTCTCCGGATTCCCTCTCCTCCCCACGGCGTCGCTACTCCCAAATCCGCGAAAAATCGACAGAGACCAGCCGCCCAATCTGCCTGATCCATCGGAGGAGGACGACGAGGAGGAGGTTTGCGAGGCAGCGGCAGGGAGAGGAAGATGTCTTCGCTGCGGAACGCGATCCAGCGGCGCGCTCACAAGGAGCGCGCCCAGCCGTAAGTTCATCTCCACCCACTAACGCTTCAGACCTCGAGCCTGCTCTGATCTTGTTCGATTCTGCATGCCATGGCGCCGCCGCTGGGTGCGCGGGCGCCACTTGAAGGGATTTTCTTATGCGCTCTGCGGCAGTTTCTGTGTTGTGTGCCGGATTTCTGGACTGACCTGGGATTGTGGTGGGGTTTGTCAGGGAGTCGAGGAAGAAGTTCGGGCTTCTGGAGAAGCACAAGGACTACATCGTTCGGGCGAAGGCTTTCCACCAGAAGGAGGAAACCATCAGGGTATGGTTCTACACTTGACGTTTCTGGCGCTTAGGAAACTCGGGAAATTAGCTACGTTTTACCAGAACTGCAAGTGTTTGCATGTTACTCCTATAACCATCCAACATTCTATTGTCTCAATTGTGTGTGCTAAGCGATTTTCTGTTTTCAACGATTCTGTGAGATTGACTAGCCGTTCCCTGATAATGGAGCTATTTATTATTGACATTTAGGGGGATTTTGGGAGATTTGTATTTGCTTTTAGGAATATTAGGCAAATTAAATCTTAGACTTTGGATGGTGTAAGTTAAAGTTTAGTCTCCTCTGTAGGGAGACATCACCATATTTGAACAGTTGAACAGTTTAGGACGTAGGGGATACAGAACATTTTCTTCTGTTTGTTGTTATATTTCTTGCGATTATGAATAGTGCAACTGTCCTAACCTATGTGTTCCTGCTTAATTACAGAAATTGAAGGAGAAGGCATCATTTAGAAACCCTGATGAGTTCTATTTTAAGATGATCAACAGCAAGACTGTTGATGGAATTCATAGGCCTAAGTATGTACAGCTTGGTTCTTTTTGTAGTTTATGGCTTGAACTACTAGTACTTCGTGTTTTAATTTTAATTTGGACTGTCATATACAAGGCCTGAAGCAAACAAGTATACTGAAGATGAACTCATGCTGCTAAAAACTAAAGATATGGGATACATCCTTCAGGGTATTCAGAGTGAAAAGAAGGTTTGTGATGATGTTCAGCATATTTAAAGCAAACAAGTATACTGAGGAGGAACTCTTCAGGTTAAATGATTTATTCTATCCTAATTTTGAATTTGACTCCGTTGTAGAAAATTGAAAAATTAAGCTCCATGCTTCATGAACTAGACAACAAGCGACCAAACAAGCATGTTTACTTTGCTGAAGACAGGTACATGCCACTACATTCATGTTGAGTTTCAAATTTGTCGTTGCCATTTTGAATTGTTAGCTAGCTAAGCCTATGTCAATGTTGAGTTGAATATTTGTTTTGTTTCAGAGAAGAGGTCAAAGAAATACAATCTAGAATAGAACAAAAGAGCAGTTCACTTGGTTTGGACAACATCCCTTCCCGTATAAAGAGGTACATGGCACTTCTATTTGGAACAAGGTTAATTATTAGTATTATACTCATGAACAACCAGTTCCACACTTTATCTACTTAATGAGGTACTTGTTTTCATCTTTTGTTGGAAAACTACCTTTAGTTAATGAATGTACGTGTTTTTGTGTACGTGCATGTCCTGTTCACCACTGATGTGCTTGCCATAACGAAACTACTTAGTTGTAATGTTTTTGTGTTGTATGAGTTTGTTTCTCCAGCTTAAAGAATTACCATGTGCACTTTAGTGCATTGACCACTACATGATGAACTTATCCTGCCATCAAATCCTTTCCAGGAAAACTGCTTCGTCCTATAGGGAGTTAGAGGAGAGGAAACAGAGGGTTCAAAAGCTTGAGAAACTGTATGCAGACATGGCCTTGCAGAAAGAGTTGAAGGTATTGGATATCTGTCATTAAATAGAGTTCTTATCTTTGCATAGGTGTAAGTCTTTCTAAGTACTTTGGTGAGTTGAAGTTTACTTAGAATGGTACAATGATAAGTGGTAAGAAACTGGATTGAATGATTGATGCTGGTTGGGTGCAAATAAATGCTAACTGTTTGGATGGAACTTGCTCACTGTTTGGTATATAGTCAATTATGCATTTTTTTGCAGTTTCTCTTAAATAAAATTAGTGAAGTTCAATGTTTGCACTTAACATATTGTGAGTTAAGCAAGTCAGTTGAACCTGATCATATTTCAGAAGCACTATAAGCGTAAAATGGCCTGAATTTAGAATCTGCAAAGTATTTTGTGAGATTTTTTGAGCAGGTATTTGATGGTACAGGATATTCTATGATCGCTTCTATTTAAACTTGATTGAATATTTATATTGTTTAACTGTTCAACTACTAACTTTTCTAATTTGGGGTAGAAACCTGGACGGAAAAGAAAACTCCGTGAGGATGAGATTGAGAATCAAACATCCCGGCCTGTTTATAAGTGGCGAGCACAACGGAAGCGGTAAGGTACAATTGCTGTCTTTTGCTCTTACTTCCTTGCTGACCTATTGATTTCCACTTACCGTCGTTCATCGATCTTCAGATGATGTGAATGGCTTACAATGGAATCATTGAGAATATATGGAGTAACCAGTAGATCCTAAAGCAAACGGAGACTATTGTTTATTTTCTTGAATTCTAATGCATTTACATGTAGCAGTGCCCCTCCACAACCGTCTCTCTTCATAGCCTTCACTTGATTGTATTTGTGGATCCATGTTGGATACCACTTTCTGCTACCTGCTACTGATGTGATGTACCTCTGCTTTTTACAAAATGTTGGGTAACTACATCAACAATTGAGAACCTAAACGGTCCGAATCTTCACGCATCGTCCGTAATCAACATTCCAAGGTTAGCAAGCACAGTGCCACCAGAATTAGGGCGTGTTCACTTTGCCGGAAAAAAAACATACCATTTGATGGTAGAGCCAAATATTAGTAATGCCATTCTTTGGTAAAGTCAAAATATCAATGTGTCATTGGCTTTGATACCTTACTAAATTTTGGTGTAATTTTTGTGAGTGGAAGGTTCCGGAATTACCAAATTACCTTACTAAATTTTGGTGTAATTTTTGTGAGTGCAATCCTATTTGTTTGTTACCCTACCAACAAAAATTTGACAATACCAAAATTTAGTAAGGTTTATTCTGGTAGTGGAGTGAACAAGCCACTCTTTAGTGTATGAAGTATTTGATATATTCTCCAGAAAAAAAGGGGTTATGCACAGCAAAAAGATAACAGTATTGCATATTTGAATGCCAGTTTTCGTGCTTCTCTATACATTATTGCAATAGCTAAGTTCGGATCTCAGCCAAACTGCCAAAATATAACACTTGCAACACAGCTTGCAAAATCCTCAAAAGAAAGAAAAGAAAACAAGGAATACAAGAATTGCCTTGCAAGCCTATCAAGTTGCCGAAAGGTGTTTTGTTGATGCAAAGGGCAAACAAAGATCACAATCATAAATACACAAGTAATGTGATTCACATGACCCTGCCGGCTTCCGCGCCGCATGAAGGCGAGAATACCTTGAAACAAAGTATGAAGTGTTGACTCGAGGGGCTCTCATCTCAAATACCTTGAAACAATGTATTCAGCAATAGCCAAACTTGACGTCAGACCAGGGGATTCTATTCCAAACAAGTTGACCAGCCCAGGAACACCATGGATATCCTCCCCCTGCAGTAGTTAGAGAATTCAGGTTAACCAGTTCATATGCAAGAGAGCTATAGAAATGTTATAACAAAAAGGACCTGAATAACAAAATCTGAAGGAGGCTGCCCCGGGCCAGAAAGCTTTGGTCGTATCCCAGAATAACTGGGTTCCAAAGAATCATCCTTGAGGTTAGGAAAATACTTCCTTATTACAGGATAAAATTTAGAACATCTGGTAGGATTGACTGAGTAATCGAACCTGACGAACAATAGATGCCAAGGTTATGTAAGATGGTCTGCAAAACTGGAAGCACTTTCATAGTAACCATTGGATAATTGTAAATGTGGAGACCATTACAAAGATAAACTAGATATGCACAATCAGAAATGCAAGTTCACAAGCTCAACAAACTAGAATTTCTTACCTACTCAGGAAGCATGACGTGACATCCTTACCACCATCTATCCACTCAACATCTGGGCCAAATCTAACAACACCATTCAAATCTAGCGTGACATGTACCCCTATGCCACCATCCTCTGGTAGAGGGTAGATCAAGTGGCTGAAAGGGCTCTTGGTTTGAGAAAGGGTGAAGTAACATCCACGCGCATAATAAGCAGGGGGCACAAATACTTGGTTAAGGCCATGGAATCTTTTAGCAAGTGGAGCCGCACTCAAACCTGCTGAATTTATCAGAAGTTTTGGAAACAAAATGAGTTGTGGGGACACAGGAGAGCCCACAGAATGATTCTCCAGTGCTTTGCTTTCAGAAATATGAAGCTCGAGGCCTTCATCTCCAATATATCCATTTGTAACCGTTGTGTTGTAAGATATGGCTGTTCCTAAATTCTCAGCATCAGCCTGCATAAGCAGAAATAGCAAGATTATGTGAAGGTAAAGGATGGTTTGGTGTTATGCATGATGCAAAGCAGATAAACTGGACTGACATGGCCACCATTTCAAAGTTAAACATGCGGAGGGAAATAATTTCCATCTTTCTGTTGACCAAAAATTGTGTAGATATGTTTTTTTGGAGGTATTGCAAGGAGCCCTTTTGATGTAAAAAAAAAAACACAGTTCTTTGTGCAGTGTTGACTTTCTAGCTAAAATGCTTCAATTGGGCAGAGGCCCTACGTTTAACCCACGTTAGCTATATACTACTATAAATTTTATGGTGCAAACAGAAAAGAGAACTTCCAAAAGAATTAAATTTACAGTGGTCAAGTACCAAAAGGGAGAGCATGAATGAATGAGAGTCAACAATCCCAGTACGAGGTGACAGTAAAGCCTTAAGACAGCGAAGTTCAGGTTCCATCTCCATAGCTTCAGAACCCTCCATCATCTGAAGATCATCCACCCCATTTTCTTTAGCATTCTTGAGAAGCATGTCCAATTTTGCCGTCTCTGCAACACCAGTAGCAACGATGAGTTTACCGAGCTGTTTATGGGGAATTTCTCGTTCTGCACAGTACTTGTAGAGCATTTCCCTTCCTCTTACACAAAGACTAGCCTACAAAAGAACATTTAGTAGGTAAATCAATAAAACACGAATGTGATAGGGTTTGAATAAGTTCCTTTTTGTGTACCATGTAGCTATAAGAACTTAAGCCCTTCTGTACTATTCAAGGGAAAAGTCTTGTCTTCTTAGTTGTAGCATCGCAATCAAATGCCTTAGCAATGAGTGATTCATCACAGCATACAGTCAACAAAACCTACAGTTCCATTATAGAATAGTGTACTTGCCAGGTATGAACCAGAATGTTCAGTGTGATGCATAGAAACTGGAAACCCAAAACAGTAATGGAACTCACCATGCCATTGCACTTGGTAAATTAGTTGAATGCTTTGCACAATAGATGCATAAATCCCATACTATTATTTGTGTAACAACCCAAATCCCAAACTCTGACACTTACGAGCCTGAATTTTTTCAGATTAGTGTGAACTACCCCAAGCAGTGAGAATGATAAACTGCCTGCAAATGATTTGCATGAATAACCCAAATCCATCACATATTCACATGTCTAAGCTCCAGTGATAGACTAAATTCCTTTCTAAATCTATTTTACAGTACAACATCTAGAGCAAATTTCAGGGATACATCCAAAATTCCCATAATCACAAAATTATTAACCGATCTCACCTTTAGGCTGCCGGGAGGGTAGTAGATGCCGGCGTGGATGACCTCGCTGTTGCGGGAGCTGGTGCCGGTGCCGAAGCTGGGGGCGGCCTCGACCACCACCACCTCGCGGCCGGCCATGGCCAGCGCGCGCGCCACCGCGAGCCCGACCACGCCGGCGCCCACCACCACCGCGTCCGCCGCCTCCCGGGGTGCTCCGGGGGCGATCCCGGCGAGGCCTCGCCGGCGGCAGGCCCCCGCAAAGCGCCGCAGCGGGAGCATGGCTGGGTATCGACCGCGCCCCGCTCCTCTCACGGTCTCACCTCGCCGGCAGTTGGTTAACCTGCGGCGGGGACGATAACCTCTGCTTAACCCCGAGTTAGCGGCACGATAATTCTTCTGGATTACAGCATTTTTTTTTCTTTTTGGTGTTGGTGAGTAAGCATCACCGTGACCCGTTCGAATGTAATGTAAAGGGTGGATTAAATTTTAGATTAAAGTGGCACGTTTTTCAAACTGCTAAATGGTGTGTTTCGTGTGAAAACTTTCTATATTAAAGTTGTTCTAGAATATCAGATTAACCCATTTTTCAAGTTTGTAATAATTAAAACTCAATTAATCACACGTTATTACCACATCGTTTTGCGTAAAATACTTAATCTTCATCTTCATCTTCATTTTCAGGAGATTCAAACACCACAAGGTGCTAGGAGGAGGAGGCGAAGTGGGACGCGGCGTGGATGCGGTGCGGCGAGAGATGTGGTGGGGAAGGGCTCGATGCGGGATGGATCGATCGCTTATTGAGATTGAACGGTCGGGATAAAGTAGGGTGACATGGAAGCACCAAGAAGCAAAGAATTCTAGTAGTGGGGTGGGGATGATTTGTATAGGTATATAGGATTAGTAATTCGTCCGTTTTAAACTTCTGCTTATAGCAAAATATAGCCGATGCGCCTATAAATCGAGCTTCCGATTTTTTTCTCAAAAATCGTGCGCGCATTGTTTCACCAAATAGATCGAAAATGTTTCACCAAATAGATAAAACAAATGTTTCAATCTTTTAAAAAGCTAAAACACAATAAAATCACCCTATGAAAGATTTTGCTACAACGTATGAAACAACGGTTTGCAAAAATCAGACGTTGTTTCACCCTATATAAAATAATGTTTCTGCAAATAGCGAAAAAATGTTTCAATTCTTAAAAAAAGTGAAACATGGTCAGATCACTAGTTGAAACAATTTGGTTCAACATATGCAACAAACGATTTAAAGCCATTGAAACACTTAAACCCTTGTATACATCAACAAACCACGTGTCCATCAAGATAAATTATTGTACAGTATCAAAAATCCACTGCAACATTTGATCCATACAAAGGGAAACATCACAAGTACACTAGCTGAAACATTGCTTTTGAAACCATTGAAACATCAACAACCTGTGTGTCGAAGTTAGAAATATGAAACACCATTGAAATATCCACTGCAACACCATTGAAACATCACGAGTACACTAGCTGAAACACGCAAGAAAAACACACACCCGTGGTCTAGACTGCATATTCCTCCTCTCCGGAGCTACGTCCTCCTCCGCCCACTGCGCTCGGCCGCGGCTGCCGAATCGAAGTCAGTCTCTCCTTCCTCGCAAAGCTGCCTTTGACCTCCAAATCCAGCAGCTTCCTGCTCCATCCGGGCCTCCTATGCCTCTGCCTCCCTTTCCTTTGATTTGCGCTGCTACTGAACATCCCTGATTGCCGATGTGGAGGCTGAGCTCAACGCTGCGATGCCCATCCGCTCTTCGAAGAGTATCCACTCTGCCATGCGCTACGCCGTCCTCCCGAGGGCCAGCGACGAGGGCACCGCCAAGCACGCGCCCCCCGGTAATGTGCGTCGCGTTATGCACAGCCGCGCTCCCCACAGCCGTCGCCCTCGAGATGCTCCACACGGCGTCGCTCGTGCACGATGCGTGATAGAGAGAGAGAGAGGGAGTGAAGAGAGAAGAAGGGAGAAAGAGGGATGAGGGAGCGAGTGGAGCGCCCAATACAATCTTCCCACATTGGGCGCTCGAAAACGAGCATTTTCGAAATATAGCAATAGTTTCAATACAAAATAAACATTGTATGGAAATATATTTAATAAAGCTAATTTGGTGTCGTAGGTATTGCTAAATTTTTAATAAGTTAGAAGAAATGCGAACACAGTACTCCCTCCGTTTCATATTATAAGTCGTTCATAAAATTAATCAAATGTCGAAACTAATTTAATCAAATCTAAACATAATTTACATATAAGATAAAGTAATTTACATATATAATGAAAGTAATTTACAACATATATATTTTCTTTTATCAAAATATGATCGTGTAATATTTTTTATAAAGATTTAATTATAACGAACACGATGTTTGTAATTGGATTGTAGATTCGATAAGTAATTTAAGAGAAAATTTTGTTTGAATCTTAGGTATTAGGAATCCTTTTCTTACAACATGAATTTGGTAGCCGGTTAACACTTTTTAGGATGTGTTCGGCATGTCTGGTTCCCAACCAGAACATTACACACGGAAAACAGAACGGTCCATTAGCGCATGATTAATTAAGTATTAGCTTTTTTTTTTCAAAAATGGATTAATTTGATTTTTTTTAAGTAACTTTCATATAGAAACTTTTTGAAAAAAACGCATCGTTTAACAGTTTGAAAAGCGTGCGCGCGAAACACGGGGAGAGGGGTTGGGAACCCTAAGAAAAGAACACAGTCTTAGTGTACTGCACCGTGTATTCCCATCATTAAAATTAGTAATAACAACATATTGGGCTCTAACTCATGTTTATATCTACTCCATCAAGGAGACTTGGAAAGGAAATATAATCAAGAGAAGCAATCAACATGGAGACCTCAACACCAACATTATTGAGTTGTAATGGGAGAAGAAAATACCGCATAAAGTAACGTGAATGATTGTATTAAGCCTCGTGAACCTGTATATATATAGAGTATAATAGATAGTGAAGAAATAACTCTAAACGAATCAGTCCTATCATACTAATCCTCTAACTACCGTATACTCCATTCGTCCCATAAAAAATAAATCCATATTCTAATATTACGAATCTAGACGTACATAAATCTAAATATACATATGTCTAGATTCATAGTAATAAGATATATTACATTCGGTACTAGATGATTTTTTATGGGACGAATGGACTACTTTACTAAGAGGGTGTTTAGATTCAGGGTGTAAAGTTTTGGCATGTCACATCGTGTATTATATAGGGTGCCGTATGATGTTCGGCACTAATAAAAAAACTAATTACAGAATCCGTCGGTAAACCACGAGACGAATCTACTAAGGCTAATTAATCCGTCATTAGCAAATGTTTACTGTAGCACAACATTGTTAAATCATGGAGCAATTAGGCTCAAAAGATTCGTCTCGCAAATTAGTCGCAATCTGTGCAATTAGTTATTTTTTTAAACCTATATTTAATACTTTAATAAGTGTTCAAATGTTCGATATGACATGGTGAAAAATTTTAGGATGACATCTGAACAGGGCCTAACATTACTGCTACTGCTCCTCTGACGGCGGCGGAGACGGCTTCCTGTAGAGCCCTGGGCCTGCAGAGCTGGATGCAGTACCCCGCGGCTCGCTCGTACCACTCCCTCGCCTCCGCGCCACGTACATCCGGGCTAGCTCCTCGCAGGCGGACGCCGCCAGCTGCGGCTGGTTCTCCAGGACGAGCATGCGCACCGACCTCTTCAGGTCGCTCTCGATGGCGCGTGCGGTTTGCTCGTCGTCCGGGTCGAAATCCCGCATGTGGCATTCCGCCGATTCCCATAGCACCACCGCAGCTGCCAGCCTACAATCTCGACCCATCTGAGAAAATTAATTAGCACATGTAGCTGAATTAATAACGGATTAGTTGGTGGGACTGTGATGAATTAACGCTTCACAACACATAAATAAAAACAGTATATATATATATATATATATATATATAGACACGTTTTCTTTACTCTTCAAACTAAAGTTTTCCTCTCGTCTAAAAATTATCCTTTTTAGCTTATAAATTTGTACCACAAAGAGTATCTTTTTAACTGTGAGAGTTCGGTAGAACAATTAGGGGATGTTTAGATCCAGGGGTATAAAATTTTGGCGTGTCACATCGGGTATTATATAGGGTGTCACATAGGATGTTCGGGCACTAATAAAAAAACTAATTACATAATCCGTCAGTAAACCACGAGACGAATTTATTAAGCTTAATTAATCCGTCATTAGCGAATGTTTACTGTAGCACCACATTGTTAAATCATGGAGTAATTGGGTTAAAAGATTTGTCTCGCAAATTAGTCACAATCTGTATAATTAATTATTATTTTAGCCTATATTTAATACTTTATACAAGTATTTAAACGTTCGATGTGACAGGGTGAAAATTTTTTAGAATGATCTAAATATGGCCTTAGTACTTCAATCTCCTTTAGATTTCTTCCCCTTCTCGTTTTCTCTATGTTAATAGAGATTAGAGAGGATGGTAGTCTTGCATTTTTAATATGCAAGCAACAGTCCCTCTTTTTAACTGAGGGATTTTTTTTTTTGAAAAGAATAAAGGCACCGACCTTTATACAGTACGTGCCATATTCGTGATGTGCCAACGCGGCTTTTCTCCCTGCAATTCAATTCACATGCATGCGATGAGGTTAATGTTCAGAAAGTATATATATATATGCATGAATCAAGATTTTTATATATGTCATATGTGGATGGAGACGGGTAATTAATTAACCGACAATTCTTGGCGAGACGATAGGCTTTGGCGGCCTCCTCGAAGAAGCCGGCGGCGTACGAGTAGGTGGCGCTGGCGGGCAACAGGCAGGACCAGAACCCCGTGAGCTCCCGCCGCGCCTGAGCCATCAGGCGGTCGCCCTTCGCCTCGGCCGGCGGGCTCGCCGCCGCCATCTCCGCTCGCAGCGCGTCCTCCCATCCGCCGCCTCCGCTGCTTCCCATGCAGGCTACGTGCAGCACGGTCGGTACGTAATTGAGTTTGGGGGAAGATCGGAGCCCTAAATTAATCGAGACGTACGTACGTACTCGATCGTAGAGAGTCGGAGGATATCGCATTGTTTGGTTAATTTTTATACACATCGATTTAGACGCCAGTCACAGGTCCGGCGTTTAGGATACGGACTAGGAAAAGGGGTCAGGACTCAGGACATATCCGTATATGCATCTGTTTTCTTTTACGGAAAAATAAAAGATCGGATTGACGAAACAACTACGAATCGGCTGTCTGATTTTTTTGAAAAAATAGGACGTTGTTTCCTCTCTTACATAAAAAAAATATTCCAATAGTTAATAAAACAATGTTTCTTGAAAACAGTGAAACACAATTTAATCACCAGATGATACAAATGATTTAA